GTAATAAATAAGGCTTGGGTTGAAGTTACAGTCACATCAGAAATTTAGTCGATTAATTTCTTGATTTCACCTCAATGTTGCTGAAAAAGCCTGTAATTAAAGTGATTTTTAGGTCTCTTTGCCTCATGGAACATCAAGGTTTGCTCTGAGGGCTCTGAGGAGCTGTCTGGGTATCTGAGGGTGATGAATAAGGCCTTGGGTTGAAGTTACAGTCACATTAAGCCTTTAGTCAATGATTTATCTCTTGATTTCACCTAAATCTTGCTAAAAGAGCCTGTAATTAAAGTGATTTTTAAGTCTTTGCCTCATGGAACGTTCAGGGTTTGCTCTGAGGGCTCTGAGGAGCTGTCTGGGCATCTGAGGGTGATGAATAAGGCCTTGGGTTGAAGTTAAAGTCACATCAGGCCTTTAATCAGTGATTAATCTCTTGATTTCACCTCAATGTTGCTGAAAAGAGCCTGTAATTAAAGTGATTTTTAGGTCTCTTTGCCTCATGGAACATTCAGGGTTTGCTCTGAGGGCTCTCAGGGGCTGTCTGAGGGTAATAAATAAGGCCTTAGGTTGAAGTTACAGTCACATTAAGCCTTTAGTCAATGATTTATCTCTTGATTTCACCTAAATCTTGCTAAAAGAGCCTGTAATTAAAGTGATTTTTAAGTCTTTGCCTCATGGAACATCAGGGTTTGCTCTGAGGGCTCTGAGGGCTCTGAGGAGCTGAGGGTAATAAATAAGGCTTGGGTTGAAGTTACAGTCACATCAGGCCTTTAATCAGTGATTAATCTCTTGATTTCACCTAAATCTTGCTAAAAGAGCCTGTAATTAAAGTGATTTTTAAGCCTTTTCTCACCTGTCAGGCATGACTTCCTTGCAGAGATATTCCCTTTTATTCTCCCCTTTTTTAAATATTATTTTTGTTCCCAAGATGTGACTTTCCAACAGAACAAACACCAGTGGTTGCCTGACAGCGAAACAATAACAGGCCTTGCAGTAGGGGAGCTTTATTTATAGCTATTAATAAGAAGAAGGAGCTAAAGAAAGGGAAAATTTAAGATGTGGAGTAGAAAAACTGCTGATGTGGCTCTTTTTTCTGGGTGCATTTGCAAAATTCCACAGTCCTTTCCCAAGGGAAATATTGGGGGGAAAAAAGCTGGGAAGAAATCAGCATGATGGATGGGGAATGGTGTTGTGTGGAAGCCTCTGAAATATTGGTGAGAACCCCCCCATATTTCTGAAATGTTCTAGTACAGCCTCTAGTGATTTATTATTATTATTATTATTATTATTATTATTATTATTTCTTAGTGTTGTTTTTTTGTGGTTTTTTTTTTAAATGTTATTTTTTAGGTGGTTTATTATTTTCTTGCTGTTTCTCTCCAATTTTATGCTTTCAACACCTGGAATGGGAGAAAGAGTAAACTAAAAAAAAAAAAAAAAGCATTTAACAAGCAGCTGGCTCCAATACCTCATTCCAATCACAATCCATAGGAAAAATATCCAATCAACTGGGATATCATTACATGATGGGCTCTTACTCAGCAAATATATATATATATTTTTTAGCTCATTTCTACATATTTTGTGTTTAGTGCTCACACAACCCTTTTATCTCATTATCCCATTTTATTATTATTTTTTTTTAATTTTAAGCTTCCTGGTTTTCATTTCTTTTCCCATTAAACTGACTGGGAAATCATTCTAGAGGGGAAAAATGTGAGTTTAGGATGAGTGGCTGTAAATGGTTCTCTGCGCTGGGGCTTCCAGAGAAGGACTAAAGGCACATTATCCAGATTAATTTACGGATCCCCTGGCACAAGGATGAAGGAGAGGTGGGTTCTTATCCCCTAACTGGAATTCCTGAAACACTTGGACTTCCCGTGCCCCACAACTCTGGAATCACAGGATTGGCACAAACTACTCCTTGAAAGGATGGGATGAAATTCCTTTGGGAAGGGATAATCCTGGAACTCCTTCCCAGATCCCTAAATCTACCAACTGCTTCCTCTCACCCACACCAGACACGCTGGGAAATGTCTTAAGCATTGCCAGAGGAATCCACTGTTAAGGCCTTTTCCTTGCTTTTCCTTGGAGCAACCTGGTAATGTGTGGATGGAAACGGGAAGGTTTTATGGGAATGAATTCCCACAGGGTTGTGATCACCTGCAGACCACTCAGATTTTGGTTGGAGTAGCTTTTTTTTGTGCAGGAGACACAGCAGCTCTGAAGGGCTTTGGCTGCTGCTCGTGGTAAATGGCTACTCAAAGCTTGTCTTGTCCCTGGGGTGCCACAAAAACTCTTCATTCCGAGGCCATTCCCGCTTTACTCCCCCCCAGGGAATCATTTCCCGCAGTGGCTGAGCCACAGGAGCTGGAATTCTGGAGCTGGTGCTGTGGGGTGAAGCCCTTCCCTGCAGCTGCCTGGGTGATGGATTAATTGACAGCAGGAGATGAAAATCCAGGGCTGTGCTCGTGGCCTGGGCTGGAAATCGGGAGAGAACTGGGAGAAGGTTTTGTGGAGCCAAGCACTGGGATGGATTTCTCCCTCCTGACCGAGCTGTAAATGCTGCCAGACCTGTGCAGCTGCTTTTTTATTGTCCTCTTGAAGCCAGGAATCATTTCCTGCTCTGACCCAGCCATCATTTCCCCCTCCCAGCTCCAGGGAAGTTGGTCCTGCTGCTGACAATCCCCAGGGTCCCAGCACCCACCTCCTGGAGGAACCCGAAGAGGAGCACCAGGATCCAAGAGGAGCTGGGAATTCAAGGGGCAGGGTGAAAGGTTTGAGCTGTTTTCATGGAATCACGGGAGCACAGGGTGGGTTGGGTGGGAAGGGACCTTAAAATTCCACGCTCTTCCCTTCCACTGTCCCAGGTTCATCCAACCTGGCCTTGGACACTCCCAGGGATCCAGGGGCAGCCACAGCTTCTCTGGGAAACCCAGTCCAGCCCCTCCCCACCCTTCCAGTGTCCCATCTGTCCCTGCCCTCTGGCACTGGGACACATTCCCTGTGTCCTGTCCCTCCATCCCTTATCCCAAATCCCTCTCCAGCTCTCCTGGAGCCCCTTCAGGCCCTGCCAGGGGCTCTCAGGTCTCCCTGGAGCTTTCCCTTCTCCAGGATGAACATTCCCAGCTCTCCCAGCCTGGCTCCAGCCCTCAGGGCCTTTGGACACTTCCAGCATTCCAAAGGAACCCTAAAACCAGTGATGGCGTCTCCATGAAGTTCCTCCCCCTCTGGATGAGGCGGAGCAGCCACTGGAAAAGCTGGAGATTCACCCCCCAAACCCTCCAGCTTTTCCAACTGGGAATTCGGGATAAACTCCTGGAAATATAAAAATCCCTCTGGGTGATTGTTCCCTTCTTTCCCATTCCTGCAGGAGCTGGTGAGAACCTCGGGAGAAAATCCAACAAATCCAAGTGGGGCTCTCCCATCCCTCAGCTCCTCCCCCTGCAGGGCTCCCATTCCAAGCCTGTCCTGCCTCCAATCCCACCGGGAATGAGGAGCAGCAACCTTTGATGGCCCCACCCCCCTCCCTCCAAATCTCAGCCACCCTGACTCAGGTTTTCATTAATTTAAAATTAATTCAATTAATTCATTGATTTTAATTCAATAATTCAAAATTTTTAATTCACTAATTAAAAATGAAATGGTAAAAATAGCAAAAATGGCAATAAACCTTCAAAACGAAATCCTAAGGAATGAATAGGAAAAGAGAAATGCTGAGAAATAAATAAATTGAAATGCTAAAAATAAAGTGCCAGAAATGGGAAAAATAAGTAATGAAAAGAAATGCTAAGGAAAAAAAAAGGGAAAGATAAATATTGAAAGTAAATCCTGAAAAATACTGGAAAAATAGATATTAAAAAAGGCAAAAATTAAATGCTAAAAATACTAAAAATACAAAAAATACTAAAATTAAATACCAAAGATAAATACTAAAAATTACTTAAAATACTAAAAATACTAAAATAATACTGAGAAATAAATCTTTAAAAATAAATACTAGAAACAAATACTTTAAAATCCAAAAAATGAAATGCTAAAATGTAAAGTACTATAACTAAAAGACAAATTCTAAAAGACAAATTCTAAAAAATAAATACTAAGAAATATTTCAAGTCTATCCAAGATTATCACTAAATCCATTTCTTATTAACCCTCAAAAAAAAAAATCCCCCAAGTTATTTATTTAGAACTTTATTTTAAAAAGTTGTTTCTCTATTTCCCAAAGCTAAAAAAAAAATTATTTCCCTGGGCACTCCCAGCTGGGAAATGCTGGAGAGTTTTTTTCCCAACAGCCACAGGGCCATATTTTCCATTCAATTCTCTCTTTTTTTTATGGAATTAATTGAGGTGTGGAAGCAACAGGGAATTATTTTGGAAGGGGGAGTTTGTGGAATGTTCACGGGTGAGTTGGGAGTGAGAAAATTCATTCAAAATCCCTTTTTTTTTAAAATAAAACGTGTTCTAGTCATAATAATCTGATTTTCAAGTGCATTTAAACAACCAAGTAAGGGCTCAGCAGCCAAAATTAATGCAATTACTGAGAGCTGGCTGGGCAAGGGGTGAGGATTTGTTGTTTGTTGGTTAAATGGGATGAACTGAAGGGATCAGATCCAGCCTCAAATCCCAGGAAAAACCTCAAATCCTGAGGGTTTGAGTCTTGTTTGGGGACCTCAAATCCTGAGGGTTTGAGGATTGGAATCTTTTAGGAGAACCTCAAATCTGGGTGGTTTGAGGCTTTGAGTCTTTCAGGAGAACCCCAAATCCAGGTGGTTTGAGGGTTTGAGTCTTTTAGGAGAACCCCAAATCCAGGTGGTTTGAGGGTTTGAGCCTTTCAGGAGAACCCCAAATCCAGGTGGTTTGAGGGGCTGAATCTCGTTGGGGCCCTAAAATCCTGAGGGTTGGAGGGGTTGGAGTTTTTTTGGAGAACCTGAGATCCTGAGGGTTGGAGTTTTGCTCAGGGACCTCAAATCGTGAGGGTTTGAGGGTTTAAATCTTTTAGGAGAACCTCAGATCCAGGTGGTTTGAGGGTTTAAATCTTTTAGGAGAACCTCAAATCCAGAGGGTTTGAGGGATTGAATCTTTTAGGAGAACCTCAGATCTGGGTGGTTTGAGGCTTTGAGTCTTTTTGGGGACCTTAAATCCAGAGGGTTTTGCTTGGGGACCTCAAATAGAGGTGGTTTGAGGGTTTGAATCTTTCTGGAGAACCTCAAATCCAGAGGGTTTGAGGATTGGAATCTTTTAGGAGAACCTCAAATCTGGGTGGTTTGAGGCTTTGAGTCTTTCAGGAGAACCTCAAATTCCAGGTGGTTTGAGGGTCTGAGCCTTTCAGGAGAACCCCAAATCCGGGTGGTTTGAGGGGCTGAGTCTTTTGGGGCCCTGAAATCCTGAGGGATGGAGGGGTTGGAGTTTTGTATGGAGAACCTCAAATCCTGAGGGTTTGAGGTTTTAAATCTTTTAGGGGAACCTCAGATCTTGAGGATTTGAGTCTTGCCTGGAGAACGTCAAATCCAGGTGGTTTGAGGGTTTAAATCTTTTAGGGGACCTCAAATCCAGGTGGTTTGAGGGTTTGAATCTTTTTGGAGAACCTTAAATCCTGAGGGTTGGAGTTTTGCTCAGGGACCTCAAATCCTGAGGGTTTGAGGTTTTAAATCTTTTAGGGGAACCTCAGATCTTGAGGATTTGAGTCTTGCCTGGAGAACCTCAAATCCAGGTGGTTTGAGAGGCTGAGTCTTTTTGGGGTCCTGAAATCCTGAGGGTTTGAGTCTTGTTTGGGGACCTCAAATCCAGGTGGTTTGAGGGTTGGAATCTTTTAGGAGAACCTCAAATCTGGGTGGTTTGAGGGTTTAAATCTTTTAGGGGAACCTCAGATCCAGGTGGTTTGAGGGTTTAAATCTTTTAGGGGAACCTCAAATCCAGAGGGTTTGAGGGATTGAATCTTTTAGGAGAACCTCAGATCTGGCTGGTTTGAGGCTTTGAGTCTTTTTGGGGACCTTAAATCCAGAGGGTTTTGCTTGGGGACCTCAAATAGAGGTGGTTTGAGGGTTTGAATATTTTTGGAGAACCCCAAATCCTGAGGGTTTGAGGATTCTTTCTCTGTTCTCCAAGGCAGGAGAACCAGGAGGTGATTTTTAGATTGGAGATTGGGGGGAAAAAATATTTATATAATTGGGGGGGAATGATATTGTATATATTTGAATTAGATAAAATTATGAATTAGATGAATTCTATCAATTACACGAATTATAAAATTAATTATATTGAATTATATGAATTATAAAATTCATATACATATTATAAATTTATAGTATTATAAATATATAATTTCATATTACAAATTATAAAATTATATTAATTATAAAATTATATGAATTATAAAAATATGAATTATATATATAAAATAGATGTGAATTATATGAATTATAATTAAATTTATAAAATGGAAGGGGTGGAATTAAATTTAGAAAAGTGGAGAAAATTGGAGGTTGGGGCAGAAAAACCCCCCTGGAACAGGGAGGGGGTTTCAAATCCCTGGGGATGTGGCACTTGGGGACGGGGATTTGGGGTGGCCTTGGCAGGGCTGGGGGTTGGTTGGACTCGATCCCAGGGGGATTTTCCAACGGGAACAATTCCAGGAGTGTGGATTCCACCATCCCCCCACGGTCCCAGTCACCAGCAGGGGATTCCCAACAGCAAAGGGGGAAAGGAGGGACAAAACCAGCACAGTTGGAAGGGGAGACAGATTTATTGGGCTTGAAAAAAGGCAACAAAACACCCCCTAAAGAGCCTAAAATACCCGAGAAAAATATCCCAAAAATACCCCTTAAACCCCCCAAAAAATCCCCAAAAATACACCCTACACACAAGAAAAATATCCACCAAAATACCCCTAAACCCAAAAAAATATCCCAAAAATACCCCTAAACCCAACAAAAATATCCACAAAAATACCCCTAAACCCAACAAAAATATCCCAAAAATACACCCTAAAGCCAACAAAAATATCCCAAAAACACACCCTAAACACAAGAAAAATATCCACCAAAATACTCCTAAAGCCAAAAAATATCCCCCCCAAATACCCCCTAAACACAACAAAAATGTCCCAAAAATACCCCTAAACCCAACAAAAATATCCCCCAAATGATATCCCCTAAATCCATAAAAATACCCCTAAACCCAAAAAAACCCACCCCACAAAATACTCCCTAAACCCAACAAAATACCCCACTAAACCTAAAAAAAAATTCCCTCGAAATTCATAAAAATACCCCCAAACCCAACTAAAATATCTCACTGAAACCAATAAAAACACCCCCTAAACCCAACAAAAACCCCTTAAACCCCAACAAAATACCCCCCTAAACCCAACAAAAACACCCCAAAAAAGACACCCAAAAAGACACCCTAAACCCAACAAAAACACTCCCTTAAATCCAACAAAATCACCCCCTAAACCTTACAAAAATACCCCCAAAAATACCCCCTAAATCCAATAAAGTACCCCCTAAACTCAACAAAACCCCCAAAATATATGCCCTAATCCCAACAAAAATACTCCCCTAAACCCCCCAAAATTCCCCCTAAATCCATAAAAACACCCCCTAAACCCAACAAAAACCCCTTAAACTCCCACAAAATACCACCCTGAACCCAACGAAAATACCACACTAAAATCAATAAAATCACCCCTAAACCCAACAAAAATGTCCCCCAAAACATCCCCCCTAAATCCATAAAAACACCCCCTAAACCCAATGAAAACACCCCAGAAAATACCCCCGAAACCCAACAAAAATACCCCTAAACCCAACAAAAATAACCCCAAAACATCCCCCCTAAATCCATAAAAACACCCCCTAAACCCAATGAAAACACCCCAAAAAATACCCCCGAAACCCAACAAAAATAACCCCAAAATATCCCCCTAAATCCATAAAAATACCCCTAAACCCAACAAAACCACCCCCTAATCAGCAACCATCACCCCCCAATAAATCAGCACTAATAAATCACCCCAATAAATCCCATTTATTTGGGAGAGGGGGGGATTGAAATCCTAATTTTGCCTCCAGCAGGAAGGGAATTTCTCCCAAATTTCTCCCAATCCATGATAAATATTCAGGAAGCTCCCAAAACAAACAAAAAAATCCTGGGAGCAGCACCAGGATGGGACATCCCTCAATCCCTACCCCAGCATTTGGAATTCTGGGATCTGAAACCTCTCCCCCTGGAATTTCCTCATCCCAAATTTATGTGGCTTTTCCCACCCCCATCCTGGGTGGAGCTGAAGCTTTTGGTGAGTGGATTTGATGGGGAAAAAGTGGGATAAAGGATTTGCCTCTCCCTGGATCCTTGAGGAGCCACCAACCCACTGGAAGGGGAAGCTCGAAATCCTTGGGAATATCCCGTGATTGACACTTAAAAAAGGGGTTTTTTTCCAGGCTCAGGAAAAACAGAACTGGAAAATCCTTCAGGATTCCAGGATGGAGCTGCAGGTCCCCTCAGCTTCCAATGGCTTGGGATGGGATGAACTTTTCCCACAGCAGATTTTTTGGGATCGAGGTCAAAGCAGTGCTGGGAACGCAGCAAAGCTGATCCCAAGGGATGGGAAAAGAGAAAAATCCTTTGGGATTCCAGGATGGAGCTGCAGGTCCCCTCAGCCCCCAATGGCTCGGGATGGGATGGAGGGAACTCTTCCCACAGCGGGTTTTTGGGATCCTGCTATTCCTGGTGGGATCCTGCAGCTTGGGAATCACCCCCCGAGCCGTTTTCCAGGGCGGGATCCACTGGGTGAACTGGGAGGCTCTGGGTGTGTCCAACACCCTCCCAGCACAGGTGCTGCGATCAGGGAACAAGGATTGGAGGAACAGGGGACAAAGGACTCAGGGAACAACCAGGCCTGGAATTTCCACTGGAAAACTTCCACTGGAACAACCCAAGGTGCTGCTCCAGCAGCTGATCCAAGGCTCAACCTCTGGAATGTCAAAGGATGGCACCCAACAGGTCCAGCTGCTCCAAGATGGGAAGAGCCAACAACAGAGATCCAGGTCAGCTTTGACTTCCAAAGGCTCATTCCAATGGGAAAACAAAAACCAAACACCACAAAAAAACAATCCAAAAAAAAAAAACAGGAGGAAAAGCTGGAAGCAAAAAGGGGTTGTATTAAAAAACCCCAAGATGTGTCTGTCCATGATCCAGCCCAGTTTTTGGGAGCTCGGCCCAGCCAGCCCCCCTTTCCTGTAAAAACCACCCCCCTCAAGGGGGAGGGAATTCCCTGCTCCCAATTTCCCATCCCTAACTTTTGGGGGGGGGGTGGATGTCACTCCTCCAAAGTCCCCTCCCCAGTTTTGGGGGGTCACTGCTCCAAAGTCCCATCTTCAACTTCAGGGTTTGTGTCACTGCTCCAGTGTCCCCTCCCAATTTTGGGGTTTGTGTCACTGCTCCAGTGTCCCCTCCCCAATTTTGGGGTTTGTGTCACTGCTCCAGTGTCCCCTCCCCAGTTTTGGGGTTTGTGTCACTGCTCCAGTGTCCCCTCCCCAATTTTGGGGTGTCAGTGCTCCTTGGCCCTGCCCCGGGCACGGATGGCTCCGATGCCGTTCCAGATCTCGGAGTACAGGAGGGTTCCCAGGAAGACGAGGGCGGTGCCCGCCCAGTGCCAGGCGGTGAAGGGGTTTTGGAAGTAGAGGATGGACAGGATGAGGCTCAGGAACTTGCGCAGCGTCACCACCAACGTCACCGTCAGCGACGGGCACTCCGTGGTCAGCGTGAACACCCCCCGGATGCACACGTACCTGGGAATGCAGCTCAGGAATCTGGGAGATCATGGGAATGGGGAATGGGAGGGACATGGAGCTGGGAATGCAGCTCAGGAATCTGGGAGAGGGAGGAGAGACTGGAATGGGAGGGAATAAGGGATGGGGAGGGAGCGAGGAGGGATGGAGAGGGGGGAAGTTCACATCTCGGGTGGGGTGGAACGGATTGTGGGAAGTGTAGGGATACACGGATACAGAGGAAACACAGGGATACCCCATAGATCTAGGGATACCCTACAGACACAGGGATACCTCACAAACCCAGGGAGTAACATCAGGACACCCCCCAAAACAAGGGAAAAACCCAAGGACATCCCACAAACCCAGGGAATAACATCAGGACACCCCACAAACCCAGGGATAAACCCAGGGACACTCCAGGGGAACACCCCACAAACCCAGGGACACCCCAAATCTCCCAGCCTGCCCCCAGCCCTGCTCTGGGACCGAATCAGGCTGGAAAAGCGCTCTGGGATCATCCAGCCCAAGCCCTGGGGGTGTTTGAGGACACACTGGACGTGGCCTCAGTGCCACAGGCTGGGTGACAGGGCGGGGTTGGGTGACAGGTGGCACTCGGTGATCTCAGAGGGCTTTTCCAACCCCTCATTCACCACAGGGCTGGAGATCTCCCTCCAGGGCAACAACTCCCACCTCAACCGGACAACTCCTCACCTGAGCAAAGCCTCCCAAGCACAGGGAGGGCTCCAAGGACCCCACACCCCCTTCCCACCCGTCCTGCTCCCTCCCAGAGCAGCTGGGAGGCCAAAGGATACTGAGTGAGGACGTTCATCAGCAGGTAGAACCACATGATCGGCACAGTCAGCCCGAGCAGCGGCACCCGGAACGGCTCTGGGGGCACAGGGAGGGGCACAGAGGGGGGCACGAGGTCACTCAGGGGCTGGGACACCACCCAAGGGACCCATCCCTGCCCTGGCCAGCACTGATGTCCATCCCTAATCCAGCACTGACCCCCATCAGCACTCACTGCAGCCCCAGGGGGCCCTTCCTGCCTCAGGCACAGCGAGATCTGGGCATGGAATGGGGTTTTGGGGCAGTTCTCTTGGGCATGGTTTGATTTTTTGGGGGGTGAATTTGTCCATGGTTTGATTTTGGGGCAGTGAATTTGTCCATGGTTTGATTTTTGGGGAGTGAATTTATCCATGGTTTGATTTTTGGGGAGTGAATTTATCCATGGTTTGATTTTTGGGCAGTGAATTTATCCATGGTTTGATTTTTGGGCAGTGAATTTATCCATGGTTTGATTTTTTGGGCAGTGAATTAGTTCTTGGTTTGATTTTTGGGCAGTTCTCTTGCCCACGGTTTGATTTTTGGGGGATTTAACTCATTCTTCCCATGGTAAATGAGAACCACAAGAGATTTTGCAGATGTTTCTGCTTGGAAAGGAGGAACAGCAGATGACAAAACACCTTCCCCTGGCCCAGGTTGCTCCAACCCGGCCTTGGACACTTCCAGGGATCTCTGCCGGGGCCTCCCCACCCTCCCAGCCAGCAATTCCTCCCTGAAAAGGCTGGAATATCCCAAAGTGACACCTGGAAGGTATAACTGCCACCCTGGGAGCTTCCAGAGGTTGTCCAGGAAAACCCAGGACGAGGATCCCGGTTCCCAACTCACCGGACTGGCTGAAGAGCACGGCGTGCCGGTAAATGTCGGGAGCCAGCAGGAGGAACCCAGGGAGTGGCAGAGCGTGCTGGGGGGAGAGAACAGAGCCCTTGGGGGTCACTGGGGTGATGGGAACCCATCCCCACTTCCCAACCTCTGGAAAATCCACCTGTAAGGATTTATAATGCTAAGATAGAGGATATTTCGCTGTGAGAACATAATCTTATGTTTCAGCTGTGAAAACGTGATCTGCTGTTCTGATGGCCTTCTGATGGCACCAGGATGGGAAAGATCCACCAAAAAAACCAGCAGCAAAACCAGATGTACAAAACAAAATCCCAATTCCAGCTCTCAGGGTGGGAAAGGACATAAAAGATGTTAAAGAAACAAAAAGCTAAAGGATGAGTATTGTTAGAAAACTGCTGCTGGATTTGAAGGAGCAGCTGCAGATTTAAAGGAGCAGCTCCAGATTTAAAGGAGCAGCTGCAGATTTAAAGGAGCAGTTCCAGGTGGCCCAGCAGGAGCTCCAGGAGGTTCCCTGAGGGACTCACGTTGTAGAAGAGGGCCTCTTTGGAGTGCTTCCCAAACCTCTGGTACAGCGTCTCCTGGAAAATGCCCATCCTGGCCGACGTGAGGAGGGCGAAGGTGAGGGCGGCGATGCCTGCAAGGGAAGCACAGACTCCAATGTGGCACAAGCCAAGCCTGGAGATTCCCCAAATTTGCCATTCCAGGCAAAAAAAGCCCAGTCAGAAAACTGGGAATGGCCCTGGGGCGTAATTTTATCCCAAAGGCCAAAAGACACGAGTGATTTATTCCAACCTCTTTGAAATAAATGAGGCTCAGCCCTAAATTGGTGGGTGCCAGGAAAGGTTTTTGCCTCTCCTGACAGGACATCAATCCCAGATTTTCCCAGAGCCCCCACCCCAACCCCCAGGGATAAAACCAAGACTGAAGGGGCAGATTTGAGATTCCCCCGTGGAATTGTGAGCTGAAGGAAGACCTGAAGCAACCCCGCTGTGGGGTTCAAAAAGCAGAGGAATTAAAGCCATGGAAAATATTCCAGAAATTCTCCTGGCACTCACCCAGCAGCCACCACAGGAAAGCCTGGAGTCCATCCTCTTCGTTCAGGCTGGAGTCAGAGGCCTGAGGGGACGCAGCAGAGTCATCATCAGCACATCCCACCTGGCCCCTGCTCTGTGCCTCCTGTTCCAGGCAAACCCCAAGGGCTCCCATTTTCCATCCCCAGAGCTGCTCCCCTGGCACAGTTTGGTCCCCACCCTGCAGCAGATTCCACACAACACCAGTGGCAGTGTCCCACCAAAAGGGAGCTCCTCGGGAAGAGATGCCCAGACTTGGGACATGGAAACAATCAGAGCCACTTGGAAAGCTCCCAAAAAGAGGTTTATTCTGAGCAAAAAGCAGGTTTTAAAAGTATTTATAATTAATTTAAATCCCATGTTTCTGCTTGCATTCCTTCCCTGCAAAGCACAGGGAGATAAAACCAGGAATAAGAGGAGGTTTAGAGGGAGGAAAAGGGAATTAGAGGGAAGGGGTGGGAATAACGAGGCCCAGAGCCACGATTGGGGTTCTTTTCCCAGTCCTTACCACTTGTTTTGCAGACATGAAAGTGCAGGTGAAGATCCCGAGGGACACCAGGGCTATGGAAGTGTATTTGGACACGCTGTACCTGCCCAGGGGAGAGAGAGGAGACCCCTCAGTGACCCAGCTCAGCTCCTGCTCTCCCTCAGAGCCCCTAAATTTGGGATAAGGGGTTGGAGGGGGGCTCCATGGGTGGGTTTGGAAGCTTCCCTTGTGCCGTGGAGCCAATTCCAGGACTGTGTCCCATGGGATGGGCTCAGCCTGGAGAACCATCCAGGACTGTGTCCCATGGGATGGGCTCAGCCCAGAGAATCATCCAGGACTGTGTCCCATGGGATGGGCTCACCCTGGAGATCCATCCAGGATGTGTCCCATGGGATGATCCATCCAGGACTGTGTCCCATGGGATGGGCTCAGCCTGGAGATCCATCCAGGACTTGTCTCCATGGGATGGGCTCACCCTGGAGATCCATCCAGGACTGTGTCCCATGGGATGGGCTCACCCCAGAGGAACATCCAGGACTGTATCCCATGGGATGGGCTCACCCTGGAGATCCATCCAGGACTGTGTCCCATGGGATGGGCTCACCCTGGAGATCCATCCAGGACTGTGTCCCATGGGATGGGCTCACCCTGGAGATCCATCCAGGACTGTTTCCCATGGGATGGACCCCTCAGGATCAGGGAAGGCTCCAACTCCTCTCCCTGATCAGCAGCAGCACCGACCAAGTGCCGTGACCACCATTCCCAGTGGGAAGGAGGGAGAAGGTAGGAGGAAGGAGGGATGAGGGGAAGGTGTTTTTGGGACTGTTTGATCTTTGGGAGTCCCACCTGGAGCCCCAAATTCCAAACACAAGGGCAGGTGGGATTCCCTGGAGAGTGAACTCCATCCCAGGCCCAGCCACATCCAGAGCAGCATCCACTGGGAGCTGTTCCAGCCTCACAGGACAGGGAGGAGCTGGAAAATCCCTCTTCCCAGTCTTTTTCCCTTTAAATGAGGGAGCAGGAGGTGGGAATGCAGAGGGAAGAGCTATTCCAGCCTCTGCTCCAGGAACACCTCTGGATCCCGGTCTTCCCACCGTTCAGTAGGAATATTTGACAGGAAAAGGGGAGGACACGAAGCCCCATCAGGATAAATCAATGGCAGGACATTCCTCAAGGATTCAGGAGAGAGGTTTGGGATTTGCCAGAGCATTCCTGGCTGACCTGAGGAAAGTTTGGGATTTACCTTTTCTTCAGGATGATGATTCCCAGGGCCATGCTGGCTATGAGAGATCCCTGGGAAAAGAAAGGAAGAGGGAAAACAAAGCAGAGGGTCAGCAGGATGAAATTCCTTGGGTTTTTGGGATGCAAAACTCAATCCCACAGTGCCAAAATTCCAAGAGAAATCCAAGGTCAGGGAGAATGATGGGGTGGGAATGAGGGGAAATGGCTTCTCCTTATGCCAGGAGGTGTTTGGATGGGATATCAGGGATCATTTCCTCATGGAAAGGGTTGTCCAGACCTGGCAGGGCTGCCCAGGGCAGGGGTGGAGTCCCCATCCCAAATCCAACTCTCTGGGATGGGATGATCAGGACACCATTGAGCCAAATCCTAAATCCAGGCTCTTTGGGATGGGATGTTCAGGACACCAAATCCCAAATCCCTGCTCTCTGGGATGGGATATTCAGGACACCACTGGGTCCCAAATCCCCACTCTCTGGAATGCGATGTTCAGGACACCAAATCCCAAATCCAGGCTATCTGGAATGGGATTCAGGACACCACTAGGTCAAAACCCAAATTCCAGAGTCTGGGATTGGTTCCCCACCACCTCTGGAATTCCCTCATCCCACTGAGCTGGAATTTGCTGGGATTTAAGGGGAAAGGGAGAGCTGGAGCTGAGCTCTCAGAGCAAGTTTGTTTCCCCCTCCCTCCCCAAAAACAGCTGGAATTCAGGATTTTTCCCAGGATTTTGGGGACCTCGGGGGTGGCAGAACACCCAGAGCAGGGAGAGGCGCTGGGAATAAGAATTCCAGAGGTGGTGGGGAAAAGCAGGGAATAAAATGCCAAGGGGCAGCACTCACCGAGCGGAAGATCATGTGCAGGGGCATGGAGATGTTGAGGTTCAGGGCGTAGTTATTGACCACGCTGACGGTGAAGAACATGGCCACCATCACCACATAGTACCTGCAACACCCAGAAATCCCACCTTGGAATGCTGGGAACGCTCAGGGAATCCTCCTGGGTTTACAGGGAAAAGGCCCCGGAGCGGAGCAGGAGCTCCTGGGTGCCCTCACAGGGATCCTTTGGATTCCCAGCAAAACTCTCTTTAAATAAGATAAAAAGCTCTTTAACCACATTCAACTCTTCCCCTGTGGAAAATGTTCCACCTGGGCCTCTGGCAGGGAAGGATCTGAGGGAGATTTCCTGTCAGGAATTTCCCTGAGTCTATGTTTTCCTCAGGCCCCTGTCAGGAATTCCCTTGAGGAACAGTCCATGTTTTTCGAATTCCCCTGAGGAACAGTCCATGTTTTCCTCAGGCCCCTGTCAGGAATTCTCCTGAGGAACAGTCCATGTTTTCCTCAGGCCCCTGTCAGGAATTCTCCTGAGGAACAGTCCATGTTTTCCTCAGGCCTCTGTCAGGAATTCCCTTGAGGAACAGTCCATGTTTTTCCAATTCCCTTGAGGAACAGTCCATGTTTCCTCAGGCCCCACAGGTTCTGACAGGGAAGGATCTGAAGGACATTTCCTCTCAGGAATTTCCCTGAGTCCATATTTTCCTCAGGCCTCTGTCAGGAATTCTCCTGAGGAACAGTCCATGTTTTTCCAATTCCCCTGAGGAAGGAGCCCATGTTTTCCTCAGGCCCCCACAGGTTCTGACAAGGAAGGATCTGAGGGAGATTTCCTCTCAGGAATTCCCCCGAGGAACAGTCCATGTTTTCCTCAGGCCCCTGTCAGGAATTCCCCTGAGGAACAGTCCATGTTTCCTCAGGCCCCCACAGGTTCTGACAGGGAAGGATCTGAAGGACATTTCCTCTCAGGAATTCCCCTGAGTCCATGTTTTCCTCAGGCCTCTGTCAGGAATTCCCTCAAGGAACAGTCCATGTTTTCCTCAGGCCCTTGTCAGGAATTCTCCTGAGGAACAGTCCATGTTTTCCTCAGGGAGGAAACAGTCCATGTTTTTCCAATTCTCCTGAGGAACAGTCCATGTTTTCCTCAGGCCCCACAGGTTTTCCAGGGTGGCTGCAGGATGGGTGGGATTAAGGCAGGACAAGTGGATTAACCCTTTTTAATAAAGGCTTTTTGGAGGTCCCGGGTCATCCCTGCCCCTTCCAAAGTTTGGGATCCGCTGTACCTGATTGGGATGGCCGGGCTCTTCCTCCCAAAATTGGCCTCGAAGATGAAACCTTCCACGGCAATGAACAGGAACTGGGAGAAGGTGACGATGTTCCCACATCCTGGAAAGCGCCTGAGGGCATGGAAAAGGAAGGGGAGGGTGAAACAAGGCCCTGGAAAACACGGGGTGCCAATAAAAAGCGGGAAAACAGCTCCTTATCCCACAGGGAAACCGGCCTGGAGAGGCTTTCCCTGTCCAGGATTTCCTGTTCCCTTTGGTAAACACCTCCCTGAGGGGGTTTATCCCACAGAACTTGGGGATAACAGGCAGGGATCCCTTCCCCAAACATTCCCAGAGAGGGAGGGAGTGGTGAATCCCTCGGGAAGTGGAAACTGGTCTGTGTAAGGTGAAATCCAGGAGGACAATGTGCAGGAATCCCTTTCCCAAACATTCCCAAAGACAGAGGGAGTGGTGAATCCCTCGGGAAGTGAAAGAGGAAACTGGTCTGTGTAACATCCCACCAGGATACAGGGCATGGATAAGGAACATCCACCGAAGTGTCTTCTACAAGGCCAGGAATAATAAGAGTCCAGTCCTGGATTTCTGGTATTCCTTATTCCCACTGCACTTGGGAAGTGCCAATGCCAGCTCAGTGTCCCTGTCCTGCCTGTGCCCCATCCCAGAGCCTGCATCTGCTCTCCATTCACTCGGGAATTTTTAGCTCCCTGCTCTCCTCTCTCTTCCTGGATGCCACAAAAAGGGGCTGTAGGATCAGGGAGGAACCTAAAGCAGCTCATCCCAGGAGCCCCAAAGGGTTTCCTTCCCAAGGAGCTCCCAGGGAACAGGGAAGGATTTCCAGGCTCAGGCAGAGCTGGCATGAACTGGAAAACCTGGAAAAAGGCTGCATTCTTCCTGCCAACTCCCACATTCCTCGGGGCTTAATTGCTCCCAGGAAGTTCAAAAGTTGCTCCGTGGGAGAGGAGAGACACCAGGATGGCAAACAGGGAACACAAAGCAGGTGGAAACTCTTGGAATCATCCAAGTTCCTGGGTTCAATAACATCCCTTCCCAGGCACTGGACTTTGCTCCCTCCCAATTCCCAGATCCCTGTGCATGACCTGCCTTTATCAGGGTTATGTGGGGACTGATAAGAGGGAGATAAAAAAGGGTTTTATCTGCCCATTCTTTGCCTCACAACCCTCCCACAGCCCAAGAGGTGCCAACGAGCCTGGATTTATGGCCCCAACATCTGCTCTGAGCTGCAGCCAAGTGATAAAATCCTCCCAGCCAGGGCTTTCCCTGCTCTCCCTCTGTTCCAAACCCACAAACTCTGATTTTTCTGGGCCTGTTTCACACCTCTTTCAAGCCCCTGATTTTTTTGTTCTGCCTCCCCAGCCTGGCAGAAGAATTTCTCTCCTCTTTTCTCAGCCACTTTCCCCAGGTTTCAAGTCTTTTGTCTGTTCTCAGGCAGCTCCAGACTAAACAGTTCTCATTCCTCATCTTTTTCCTCATAAATCCCTGAGCTGATTTCTCCCCAACACCTCTCTGTTATTCCTCACCAGACTCCCAGTCTGGGCACTGCCTTTTGCTGTTCCAGGGCTTTGTTTTTAATGGGAATATCCATCTGCAGGAGGAACTTTTCCTTCCAGGTGCACCACAACCCCAAAGAAATATTGGGTGTCACCCCAATTCCAGTGACCAGGGCACAGGAATTGAGCTGGAGGGATCAGAGGAATTTCCAAAGTGGATGAGAGGATGGATGCTTAGGAATAAAAGTGTGTGAAAAGCAGCTTTTCCTTGATGTCTGCAACCGGACTCCTGGAATTTGGCTGGGGTTTAGGATACTGAATTCAGGCTTTGAACAGGGCCAAACGTTTTAAGGTCTGGTGGGAGCCAGATCCAAAATTTCCTTCGCTTCCCAGGGGTTCATTCCTCCTCTGTCACCGATGCTGCAACACGAGCCAGGCAGGAAAAGATCGGAGCAATCCCTGGAAGGCAAACTCCAGGAATGGCTTCTTGCTTCATCCAGTGACTGTGCAACCTCGTGTGAAGGTACCTGCGTCCTGGGCTTTTGCACTCCCTTTTTCCCTTCAAAATCCGGGATACTGATGGGAGAAAGGATTAGTTTTGAACGCCTGAAGTGACGAGAGCACTGAGTGTTCAGGGGATGCAGCTCCAAGTGACTCCTTGAGATTTTAGTTCCATCGTTGCTTTTTCCCACTCAGGTCTAGGCCTTTCCACTTTCCCTTCCCCGTTGCCAAGCCCTGCCATCCCTCACAGCAGGGTGGGGAAGGTGAAATTCCTCCCAAAAAATAAAAAAACCCCCAGTCCCGACCCGGCAAAGTCCCGTCCCCTCCCATTGCCCAGGGGGACGCGCCGCCCTTGGCTGCCAAAGATCACATTTCCAGCTGGAAAACATTCCCTGCTCGTCCCCAAGGACCCTCCCACCCCCAGGCAGGTCCTGCACGTCTCCTCCTTGGCATTCCAGCCGGGAATCAGCGGTGGCCGGGGATGCTTTGGGAACAAATAGTGGGACCCCCCACCCAGTGCCAGGTCAGGTCAATGACACGGCCCAAACCGAGGGGGACGACCCCAACACCACCCTAAAACCCCCATCGGGAAAGGCGATGATCCACACCTGGGCTCTGCTGGCACATGGATGAGGAGCCCTAGGATTGGGAATGACCCCCAGGGTGGGAGGGGGGGTGATCCAAGGACCGCTCCGATCAACCCCAGGTACCCCTCATCCCAAATCCCCCCATAATCTCCAGGATCCTCCCTGGCACCGCCGCTGCTTCCTCCCCTCACCAACCCTGAACAGGGTTTGGGGACAACGCCGGGACGCTCATCCCGATCCCATTCCCTGCTCCCCCAGCCCCTCCCCGCGGCCCCGCACCTGGCCAGCAGCTCCAGGAACACCACGTTGCTGCAGCAGCCGCCGAACACCAGCCCCACCGCCAGGGCCGGGTGCATGGTGTCGCTGCGGGCAGCCAGGCCGCCTCCCGGGCCGCTTCCCGCATCCCGATCCCGGGATCCTGCCCCGCTCCCGGCCCCGGCCACGCCGCCCCCGCTTCCTCCGCCCGCCGGGAGTTCTCTCCCCGCCCGCCAGGACTACAACTCCCGGCAGCCTTCGCGCCACGCCACAGCGGGTCCCTGCGGGCGATCGCCGCGGGGCGTGATGGGAGTTGTAGTTCTGAGAGGAGTGACGCCATGATGGCGGCGCTGAGGTGGCGCCGGGCGGGGGCGGGAGGAGGAGGAGGAGGGAGAGGTTTTATGGGGCGGAACGGCCGGGAAGTGACTTTTTGGGGTTCTTTGGTGCCGGTTAAAAGCGGCTGCTGATGAATCTGCGCCAAATCAGTGTGGGTTAATAATTATATGCCCGAATAACGTGTTCAGAGTAATGATTGTTATTGAGAGGGTGGGAGGGCGGGGGGGATCACCTGGAGAAGAGGAGGGTCCAGGGAGACCTGAGAGCCCCTGGCAGGGCCTGAAGGGGCTCCAGGAGAGCTGGAGAGGGACTGGGCACAAGGCCTGGAGGGACAGGACACAGGGAATGGGTTAAGAAAAGTGGAGATTTCGGTGGGATATTGGGAAGGAATTGCTGGTTGGGAGGGTGGGGAGGGGCTGGACTGGGTTTCCCAGAGAAGCTGTGGCTGCCCCTGGATCCCTGGGAGTGTCCAAGGCCAGGTTGGATCAACCTGGGACAGTGGGAGGTGTCCCTGGGGTTGGAACCCAACCCATTCCATGATTCTCAGAAATTCCGAGGTTTAAACTCCATCCCCTTGTGCTTCCAGGTCTCTCTCCAGCTGAACCATTCCCAGCCAAGGGAAATGGGGCATCCAGGAGGGAAAACAAAGCTCTGGATGCTCCTGGCACAGCCCACCCCCAAATTCCAGTTCCCAACGGGGCCACAGAGTCCTGAGAGCAGCCCCTTCCAAGGTTTATCCACCCTTTCCATGGAGAAACGTTCCCAATATCCAACCTAAAGCATTCCTGGTGCAGATTGGGGATGGTCCCTCTTGTCCCAATTCCCACCGGGCTCCGTCTTCTTTCAGGGACCCGGAGAAGGAGATTTACGGGTGTGATTCACTCCCACTGGAATAAAAATGGAATTAACTCACAGTCGAGTTCACATCCATTCACAACGAGTGGCACAATAACGTCAGAAAGTAGAAAAAATAATGTCGAAAATATTTGTATACTAAATAAAATTTATTAATTCACCGTTCAGTTCACGTCAGTTCAGTGGTGTCAGAATGAATGATTAAATAATGTCAGAAAACAGAAAAAATAATTAATATAAAAATTTTCAAATGTAATTCACTCCCAGTCAAATAAAAATTAAATTAATTCACCGTTCAGTTCACGTCAGTTCAATGGCATCAGAATGAGTGACACAATAATGTCTGAAAATAGAAAAAATAATTAATATTTTAAAAGTATTCAAATAAAAATGAAAGCAATTCCCAGTTGAGTTCACCTCAATTCAGTGACATCAGAATGAGTGACACAACGATGTCTGAAAATAGAAAAAAATAATTAATATTTTGACCAAATGGAATCCACTCCCATTCAAAAAAATATTAAATTATTTCACAGTTCAGTTCAAGTCAATTCAATGGTATCAGAGAGAGTGACACAATAATGTCAGAAAATAGAAAAAATAATTAATATTTAAAAAATATTCAGATAAAAATGAAATTATTTCACCATTCAGTTCACCCCAATTCAATGGCATTAAAATGAGGGACAGAATAATGTCAGAAAATAGAAAAAATAATTAATATTTTAAAAGTATTCAAATAAAAATTAAAGCAATTGCCATTTGAGTTCACCTCAATGCAATGACATCACAGTGAGTGACACAATAATGTCAGAAAGTAGAAAAAACAATGTTAAAAATATTTTTATCATATTAAAAAAATTATTAATTCACTGTTCAGTTCCTGTCAATTCAATGGTATCAGAGTGAGTGACACAATAATGTCAGAAAATAGAAAAAATAATTAATATTTAAAAAATATTCAAATAAAAAGGAAATTAATTCACCACTCAGTTCAATGGTATCAGAATGAGTGACACAATAATGTCTAAAAATAGAACAAATAATTAATATTTTAAAAATATTGAAGTAAAAATTAAGATAATTCACAATTCAGGTCACATCAATTCAATGACATCATAAGGAACGACACAATAATGTCAGAAAATACAAAACAAACAAAAAACATTCAAATGTAATTCACTCCCATTCAAATAAAAATTAAATTAATTCACAATTGGATTTGTATGAATTCAATGACATCAGAATGAATGACACAAGAATGTCTGAAAGAAGGAAAAAAATTGTAATATTTTAAAAATATTCAAATAAAATTTAAATTAATTCACCATTCAGTTTACCTCAATTCAATGACATAATAATAATAAATAATATAATAAATAATAAATAAAAATAATAAAAATTCAAATAAAAATTGGATTAATTCACACTTGAATTCCCATCAATTCAGTGTCATCAGAGTGAATGATAAAATAATGTCAGAAAATAGAAAAAAGTAATAATAAAAAATATTTTAAAATATTGAAATAAAAATTAAATTAATTCACCACTCAGTTCTCATCAATTGAATGGCATCAGAATGAGTGACACAATAATGTTTGAAAATAGGAAAAAATAATATTAATATTAAACATTAAATTAATTATTAGTTGAAATGAATAGTGAAAACATTCACCCTTCGATTCACGTCAATTCAATGACGTCAGAATGAATGACACAATAATGTCTCAAACAAAAAAAAAATGATTAATATTTTAAAAACATTCAAATAAAAGTTAAATTGATTCACCGTTGAATTCACATCTCTTTTCTCCTTCCCTTCTCTTTTTCCTTCCCTTCCCTTTTCCCTTCCCTTCTCTTTTCCCTTTCCCTTTCCCTTCCCTTCCCAAACCTTCCCTTCCCAAACCTTCTCTTTTTCCCTTCTCTTTTTCTTTTTCCCTTCTCTTTTCCCTTCTCTTTCCCCTTCCCTTCCCTTCCCTTCCCAAACCTTCCCTTCCCAAACCTTCTTTTTCCCATTTCTTTTTCCCTTCTCTTTTTCCCTTCTTTCTCTTTTTCCCTTCCCTTTTTCCCTTCTCTTTTTCCCTCCCCTTTTCCCTTCCCTTCCCTTCCTTCCCTTCCCAAACCTTCCCTTCCCAAAGCTTCCCTTCCCTTCCCTTCCCTTCCCAAACCTTCCCTTCCCAAACCTTCCCTTCCCAAACCTTCCCTTCCCAAACCTTCCCAAACCTTCCCAAACCTTCCCTTTTCCCTTCTCTTTTCTCTTCCCTTCCCTTCCCAAACCTTCCCTTCCCAAACCTTCTCTTTTTTCCTTCTTTCTCTTTTTTCCTTCTTTCTCTTTTTTCCTTCTTTCTCTTTTTCCCTTCTCTTTTCCCTTCCCTTCCCAAACCTTCCCTTCCCAAACCTTCTCTTTTTTCCTTCTTTCTCTTTTTCCCTTCTCTTTTCCCTTCCCTTCCCCTTCTCCTTTTCCCTTCCCTAGATGAACCCCCCCAGCTCTCCCATCCTGGCTCCAGAGCAGGGGGGCTCCATCCCTTGGAACATCTCTGGATTTGCTCCATCAGCTCCAGGAGCTCCTGCTGCTGTTCCCAAGTGCCCCATCCCCACCTCCTTCAAACCCCCCCGGGGTTAAACCCCATCCCATTCCTTAAATCCTCGATCCCACTCCTTAAAACCTCGGAGTAATCGCCGAGATCTCCGGGTGATCGAGCCAGGAACGACCCGAACGAAGGGGGGAAATGGTGAATCTCCCTGGACACGAAGCAGTTAATCATTCCCGGGATGTTTCTCTGCGGTGGGAGAAGGGCAGCTGGAGTGTTTTCCCCGCAGGGATCCAGCTGGTGCTCAATCCTCAATTTACAGCCACCCTGAACACCTGGAAGTGGGGCAGGGAGGGATTTCAGGGGCTTTTAACACCTCTTTGAGGCTTCTTTTAATGATTAATGGGGCTGGGATGGGCCTTTGGCTTCACCTGGAGTTCCTAACTCTGGAGAGGGCTGGGATTCCCCCCCACTTTCCATCTCAATCCGGGGGTTCCTGGTTTTCCCTCTTCCTCTGGATTTGCCCTTTTTGGCCTGGTTGTCTCCTATCCAGAGGATCCTCAGCCCCAGGGATGGGCAGGACCTGCCAGGGGGTCTGGAGTTCCTAGGATAGCAGGAAGGGAAGGAAGGAAGGAAGGAGCCCCAGGGGATCCTTGACTTTTAGCAGGAAAACTGTTGGGTTTTTTGGGATGTGGGGTTGCTGGATCTTCCTGATTTTTTTTTTCTCAGTTGAAATCTGTATTTTTGTGGTGGGAGTTTTAGGAATGGCTGGAGGGGGGGTCCATCCTGCTGCTGGGAGCTGCCGTGGGATGCAGTTCTGCCTTGGAGGTGGTTGGAGCTGAGGATCCCGGTATTCCCATGAGGGTGAGAACACCTGGAAGCAGGGCGGGGGAAGGATTTCAGGGTCTTTTAGCAGCTCTTTGAGAGTTCTTTTATTTATTAGTGGGGCTGGGATGGTCCTTTGGCTCCACCTGGATCCCAGGGCTTGGATGGGGCTGGGATTCCCTTTGTTCCTGGGATTCCCTTTGTTCCTGGCAGTTCCCATGAGGGTGAGAACTCAGATCTGCTCCCTATTTAGGGCTCATCCCCCTGTGTCCCCCACATTCCCAACCCTGCCAGGACAGTCCCCCCCAGAGCTTTGTGGTCACCCCCCCGTCCCCACCCCAAGTGTGGTGTTTGGGTCCTTTTTGGGGTCCTTTCCCAGGAGTTCGATCCAGGGCTTTTGAACCTGTGTTCCCTTTGCTTCCCAGGTTCTTGCTGCCTCCAAGTACCTTCTATCTTGGACACCCTCCCTCAGTCCTCCATATTGGACACCGGTCCTCAGTCCTCCATATTGGAGACCGTCCCTTAGTCCTCCATCTCGGAGACCATCCCTCAGTCCTCCATATTGGAGACCATCCCTCAGTCCTCCATACTGGACACTGTCCCTCAGTCCTCCATCTTGGAGACCGTCCCTCAGTCCTCCCTACTGGACACCGTCCCTCAGTCCTCCATATTGGACACCATCCCTCAGTCCTCCATATTGGAGACCATCCCTCAGTCCTCCATATTGGACACCATCCCTCAGTCCTCCATACTGGACACCGGTCCTCAGTCCTCCATATTGGACACTGTCCCTCAGTCCCCCATCTCGGAGACTGTCCCTCAGTCCTCCATATTGGATGACCATCCCTCAGTCCTCCATATTGGACACCATCCCTTAGGAATCTCTCTGGACGACCAGCCCTCAGAAATCCCTCTGCTTTTGTGGGATGACACCCACAATAAAGTGCCATCCCCGTGTCATTTTGGATGTCTCGTGTCCCCCTCAGTGACTCCAGACCCCTCTATTTGCCCCATAAATCACTTTCTTCACCCCATTCCTGGTGTTCCCCATCCCCTCCACTTCCTGACACCTGAAATCTTTATTCCCCTTGGACTGACTTTCTCTCCCTCTCCGTCCCTCCTTCCCAGTGATGCCATACCCCTCTATTTGCCCCATTAATTCACTTCTTCACCCCATTCCTGCTGTTCCCCATCCCCTCCACCTGCTGACACCTGGAATCTTTATCCCCCTTGGAATCACTTCCCTCCCTCCCTTTCTCCGAGTCCTCCTTTCCAAACATCCCAGTCATTTTATTCTCATTTTGTGCCCACGAGGTAAAAATCTTTAGGTGTGGAGTTTTCCCCCCCCTCCCTCTTCCCTTTCTCCCCTCCTCTCCATTCCCACATTCCTAAAGCTCTGGAGGTGGCACCCCCTGCCCTATTCCCCCCTCTCCCAGCTGGAGAAAGGCTTGGAGGTGGAGTTGGGGGGGGGAATATTCCTGGAGCAGCCCCTCCTCCTGCTCACAACTTCTGCTTCCCGCGGCTCGGGAGTCTCTCGGGAGCTGGTGGGGACGCGGATTCCCAATTTTGGGACGAGATGCCCAGGTAAGAAGCAGCGACCGCCCCCTCATCCCGCGTGTCCATCCAGGGATCGGCTTTTCCACGCTCCACTGTGGGGTTGTGTTTTTTTCTCCCCCCTCCGCCTCTTCCCATTCTCAGGTTTGCGTTTGAATGAAGTGAAAGGAAAGAGAGGGAGGATGGGGAGAGGATGAGGAGGGAGCAGCGCCCGGGATGTCAATTGAATTCCCGCTCCAACATCCAACCCATCCCCCCGGGGGATGTCTCAGGAATGCCTGAAATGCCCCCCCAAAAAAAAACCTGCTTAAAACGTGAATGTTGGGGGCGATTTCGCTCTCCTCAGGATGGGAGGGGCAGGGAGAGGTTGGAAAGGAGGGTTTTGTAGGATCGGGGAATATCCCGAGTTTGGTGGTGCTGTGGGGAGCGGTTGGATTTGATGGTCTCGGAGGGGTTTTCCTGCCTTAAAATTCCATGATTTTATGTTCAGGTTAGAGATTTAGAATTCAGGGAAGGCTGCTTTTCCTTTCCTGGTCGTGTGGCCAAAATTTCAGTGTAGGGAAAGGGATCTTCAAGGAAAATGGGAAATACTGTAGGGAAGTGGGAAATGCTGTAGGAAAGTGGGAAATCCTGTAGGAAAAATGGGAAAAATCCTGTAGGGAAGTGGGAAATCCCTTAGGGAAATGGGAAATCATGTAGGGAAGGTGGGAAGCCCTGCGGGGAAGATGGGAAATCCCACGGAGAAGTGGGAAATCCTACAGGGAAATGGGAAGTCCTGTAGGAAAAGTGGGAAGCCCTGTAGGAAAACTGAGACATCCTGAAGGAAAAATGGGAAATCCTGTAGGAAAATTGGGAAACCCTGTAGGAAAATTGAGAAATCCTGTAGGAAAAATTTAGCTCCCAAACCCAGAGCTAAATCCCCTTTCCTGCTGCAGATGAGCCACTCCCGGGCTCTGTGCTGATCCCAGGAATCCAGAGGGAGCTTCTTCCCAAAGGAGATGTTGCTGCGTGCCCAGATCCTGCTGCTGGCCCTGGCTGGGGTGCCCTACGGAGCACTGGCTGTCCGGGAAGGTACAGGACACGGGGGACACCGGGAATGCAGCACCTGGGGGGGGATGTGGGACACAGCAGGGGGGAAAAGGCCTTTTCCAGGGAGATCGTGCCATGGATACACCCAGGGATGATCCCAGGGTGGAGCTGCAGTGCTGGTACCTCCAACTTCTCCATAGGATCCTTTTAGGTTGGGATCATCCAACAGAGCACCTGACCTGGCCCTAAGAGGCAGTGATTAGGATTTATGGGAAATCAGGGCTGTGATCCTGCTCCTGGCATGGATTCACCCATGGATACACCCATGGATTCACCCATGGATTCACCCATGGATACACCCATGGATGCTCCCAGGTGGAGCTGAGTCCTGGTGCCTTTGACTTCTCCATGGGATCCTTTTAGTTGGGATTATCTGGATAACAGAGCACCTGAGCTGGTCCCAAAAGGCAGGGATTAGGATTTATGGGAAATCAGGGCTGTGATCCTGCTCCTGGCATGGATTCACCCATGGATTCACCCATGGATTCACCCATGGATTCACCCATGGATACACCCATGGATTCACCCAGTTAACTCCAAACTGGTATCTCCTTCAGGAACTTCTCTTTCTACCTCTGCTAAGAACTGCTGAGTTGGCACTGTCCAATTAACTCAAAGCTGGTGTCTCCTTCAGGAGCTTCTCTTTATTTATCAGCTTTCAAGGTCTCTTTCCCAGGAGCTTCACAGCCCCTCATCTAAACTCCAAGTTTTTCTGTTCCTGCTAAAATCTTCCTTATAAAATTACCTATATCCTGGCTGTGAGTTAGCAAGAGCAAGCAAGGCCCTATCCTAATTCCACCTAAAAATTTACCTAGTAAGCAAATAAAGCCACAATCTTCTATTATTGCTTTCTATTTTGATAATTTCTCGCCCCTCCGGCAGCCGAGGCGATGCTGGGCCCGCGGGACCTGCGTGTGAGCGAGCGGGGCCACGGCTCCCTGCGGCTCAGCTGGACCCCCCCACCGGGCACCGTGACGGGGTATCTGCTCCACGTGCAGCCCCTGCTGCCCTCGGGGCAGCCGCAGCCAGCAGGGCAGCGGCAGGTGGGTGATGATCCCGCTGGGCACAGCAGCAGGTGGAGGTCTGGGGGTGGGGTGGAGTTTCTGGGATTGAGGTGGAGTTCCTGGGGTTGGGTTGGAGTTCCCAGAGTCAGGTTGGGGTTCCTGGATCGAGGTGGAGTTCCCAGAGTTGGGTTGGAGTTCCTGGGATCGAGGGGGAGTTCCTGGGGTTGGGTTGGAGTTCCTGGGATCAAGGTGGAGTTCCCAGAGTTGGGTTGGAGTTCCCAGGGTCGGGTTGGAGTTCCCAGGGTCGGGTTGGAGTTCTCAGGGTCGGGTTGGAGTTCCCAGGGTCGGGTTGGAGTTCCCAGGGTCAGGTTGGAGTTCCCAGGGTCGGGTTGGAGTTTCCAGGGTTGGGTTGGAGTTCCCAGAATCGGGTTGGAGTTCCTGGGATCGAGGTGGAGTTCCCAGAGTTGGGGTGGAGTTCCTGGGGCTGAGGGGGAGTTCCCGGGGTTGGGTTGGAGTTCCTGGGTCTGGTCTGGAGTTCCCGGGGTCGAGTTTGAGTTTCCAGAGTTGGGTTGGAGTTCCTGGGGCTGAGGGGGAGTTCCCGGGGTCAGGTTGGAGTTCCTGGGTCTGGTCTGGAGTTCCCAGTGTTGATTTTCTGTTCCCAGTGTGGGGTCGGAGTTCCCAATGTCCCTTCCCGAATCTCCTCAAACCTTCCCTTTTTCCCCTCCCTTTTTCCCCCACTTCTCCCTTCCCCTTCCCAATTCTTCCCTCCCTTTCCCAAACCTTCCCTCCCCTCATGTCCCCTTCCCCTTGTGTCCCATGTCCGTGTGCCCCTGGATCCCACACTGCCGGTGTCTTTCCCGTGGGTGTTTTCCGAGGTGACCTCTCAAGGTGCTCCCGAGCCCCTCCCATCCCAGGGGGCTGATGATGTCCCTTGTCCCCCCTCCCCCCATGTGCCAGCTGGCGGTGGGCGGTGACACCGACACGCTGCTGGTGACAGACCTGCGGCCCAGCACCGAGTACGTCCTCACCCTCAGGGCCACCCACGGGGACGCCCTCGGACAACCCGCGGCTGCCACCGGCAAAACGAGTGAGTGGCTCCTCCTCCTCCACCTCCCCGGGATGGGCACGGGGGAAAATCCCACCCCACATCCGTGAGGGGAAGGGGGTGGGAATGGCTGCAGATTCCAGGGGGTGGGGGCAAAAACCACCCACCACGCTCGACGGGTGTCAAAGGGTGTGGCTTGTCATTCCAACGGGGAAACAGCGGGATTGGAGGAGTCCAGGCTGGGGTTTCAGGTGGTGGGACACATGGGAGGAGAAAGCTCCTGGAGGTCGGGGGTTGGGAATGTTTTGGAGACCATGAGTTGGGAAAGCTCCTGGAGATGGTGGGTCGGGAATGTTTTGGAGGCCACAGGTTGGGAAAGTTCCTGGGGACCATGGGTTTGGAAAGCTCCTGGAGATCGTGGGTTGGGAAAGCTCCTGGAGATCATGGGTTGGGAAGGTTTTGGAGATGATGGGTTGGGAAAAAAGGGAAGGGGGAAAAGGAAAGGGAAGGAAGGGAAAGAGGAAAGGGGGAAGAGGGAAGGGAAGAGAAAATGGAAGGAGGAAGAGAAGAGAAAAAAGGGAAGGGGCAAAAGGAAAGGGAAGAGAAAAAAGGGAAGGGGAAAAAGGAAAGGGGAAGGGAAGGGAAAGAGGGAAGGTTTCGGAAGGGAAAAGGGGAAGGAAAGATTTGGGAAGGGAAAGGGAAGGGGAAAGGGGAAGGAAGGGAAGGGAAGGTTTGAGAAGGGAAAGGAAAGAAGGACATTTCAGAACAGGAATCTTAAAAACCACCTTTAAGGTATCCCTTGAAAATCTCTGGAAGATGGGAGGGGGATTGTTGCTTTCCAGGAACCAGCTCGAAAGGCAGCGCTGCTGCTGCTCCCTCCCCTTGCCTGTCTATCCCTGGAGCCAGAGGGTTTTCCAAGGATCCAGTGGCATTCCATGTCCTCTCCCTCTCTGTGCCCCCCAGCTCCCGTCCCTCCCGTCACCAACTTCCGGGTGGTGGAAGAAGGACCTTTCAGCCTGAAGGTGGCCTGGACCCCTCCCCCCGGCAAACTGGAGGGCTACAAGATCTACATCCCCAGGGGTGAGTCCATCCTGGGGGGCATTCCAGGCCCTTCCCTTGGGAAGGACAAAGGGAGCCGAGGGCAGGGAAGGTGCTCCTGGCACGACTCTGGAAGCATCCAGGTTGTCCAGAGCGTGGGGTTCCTCCAGGAGAGAGGAGAAGAGTCCTTTGAAGGACTTTGCTTTGGAGACCATGGAGGTGTTTTTCTTGGAGAAGATGCTGTGGGTGATGCCTTGTAACACCCAGAGTGTTTTTGTGCTTCCTCCCAGCTCGGGTGGGGCTGTGGGGTGAGCCCAAGCCTTTGGGGTGCCCCACACTCCCCTCTGAGTTGTCCTTGGGGTGTGGATGTTCCCGTGGCACCTGCAGGGCTGGGGCACCCTGGATTTGTCCAGTTTGAGCTGTGGCCCCAACTCCCAGCCCCACCAGCGTGTTGGGGGACTCCACGTGGTGGAGGCATCACCGTGGGCTTCAGGAAAGCTCCCCCCTCCCCCCTGTCCTTGCCTTTGCAGCCTCCAGGCCGGGCGTGGCCCACGAGCAGGTCCTGCGGGGCGACGTCTCCTCCCACGTGCTGGCCAACCTGCAGGAGGACCGGCAGTACAACGTCATCCTCTACGCCGTGCACCCCCAGGGGCCCAGCCAGCCCGTGGCTGCTCTGGGGAGGACGTGTAAGGGTGGGACCTCCCCCGGGGTGGGTAGGTGGGTGGGTGGTCCCTCTCTGCCCCCCCGGGGATGTGGGTCCTGTCCAGAAGCATCCCCAACCACGGGAGTGCCGTGCCCAGCTCTGGGCCCTCAGCTCAGCAAGGACAGGGAGGGGCTGGAGCAGGGACAGGGAAGAGCAGCGAGGCTGGGGAAGGGACTGGAGCACAAGTGCTGTGAGGAGAGGCTGAGGGAGCTGGGGGGGCTCAGCCTGGACAGGAGGAGGCTCAGGGGAGACCTCCTCACTCTCTGCAACTCCTGCCAGGAGGGGAGAGCCGGGGGGGTCGGGTCTGCTCCAGGGAACAGGAACAGGACAAGAGGGCTCCGCCTCGAGCTGGGCCAGGGGAGGTTTAGGTTGGATATTGGGAAGGAATTTTGTCCATGGAGAGTGCTCAGCCCTTGGAATGGGCTGCCCAGGGAGGGGGTGGATTCTCCATCCCTGGAGGTGTTTAAGGACAGGCTGGATGTGCCATCAGTGCCATGATCTGGTGATCACAGCGGGGTTGGATCAAGGGTTGGACTGGATGATCTCAGAGGTCTCTTCCAATCCCATTTATTTTATGATTCTATGAATTCCAAGAGGATGTACCACAAAAATGGCCTCTTGGGGTGTGGGGGGGTAGGAATTATTGGAAGGGAACTCAGGAAAATCCCAGTGTTTCCCAGTAAGAGGAAGAAAGAAGCAGTAGGTCTTTTCTGGTGGGAGCTGAGAGGGAATAAGGCCAGGCTGGATGAGGTTGGATCAACCAAATGGAACATTCCCTGGTTGGAATGGGATGATCCTTGAGGTCCCTTCCCACCCCAACCATGCTGGGATTCCATGAATTAGGAATAATCAGCCAACATATTGCTCTGGAGGTGTTTAAGGACAGGCTGGATGTGGCATCAGTGCCATGGGCTGGGTGACAGGGTGGGGTTGGAGCAGGGCTTGGACTGGATGATCTCAGAGGGTTTTCCCAACCCAGTTGATTCCACCCCTGCCCTGGGCAGCCCTTTCCAACACCTGACCACTCTTTCCAAGAGGAGATTTTCCCAAACATCCAATCTAAGCATCAAAACTTGGGGTGGTTTCTCCTCTTGTCCTGTCCCTCATTCCCTAAGAGAGGAGCCCCAATCCCACCCCGCTCCTCTTCCCGGCTTTTTCCCTCAGACAACTGAGCTGCTTCTGGTTCTCCCAGCAGGCCAAAATCCTCCCCCTGACCAATATTTTCCTTCCCTGTCCCCCTTCCAGTGAAGGTGCTGGCCGTGGAAAAGCTGGTGCTGCAGAACGAAACCACGGACACGCTGCGGGCCACGTGGAGCGCCGTGCGGGGAGCCACGGGATACCGGCTCACCTGGACATCTGCAGGTGGCACACAGGGATAGAGGGGGGACAACAGGGAGATGGGAGGTCCCCAAAACCTTGGAAGCACCAGCACCTTTGTGGCCTGGTCGTGGAATGAGGAAATTGGGTGTTTTTGGGGATGGGGATCAACCGGCGGCTTCCAACGGGGAGTTCCACCCTGGCCTTTTGGGGGTGGGAAACGGCCCTGGATGCGAAAATTCCCGCTCAGAAAGCGAGGGGATGGATCCCCAGCCTTGTTCCATGGGATTAGGGGGGGATTTCCCGAAGCTGAGCAGCCTTGGGAAGGGATAAACCTGGGAAAATGCTTCCCTGAAGAGCTTCAGTCACACCGAGCTTTGGGGTCACCCCTTTTTTTGGGTGGGGACAGTCTGGAAGTGCCTGTGATTATTTCTGTTCTTTCTGTGGCACCAAAACTTTCTTTAATCCCCAGAATCCTCATTTTTAGGGGAGATTTGGGTGTTTGGAGCCAGGTCTGAGTTGGCAGCTGGAGCTTCTCCCCTGCCCTGAACCCAAAGGTGTTTTCAGGGTTGTTTTTTGGGGAGGGGAAGGGGGACAGGAGTCAGAAATTCAGGTTTGAGGGCATTTTGGGGCCCTGGGAGGTGGAGGTTTCTGGGGCTCAGGGCTGAGTGGGATGTCAGGGACACCTGGGCTCCATCCCAGCCTTGGAATAACCAGCACATTCCACCCCCTGGTTGTGATAGAAGGAAACAATTCCCACAGGGAACAGGGGGTTTGGGTGGGAGAACAGCTCCAAAAACATCACCAGGAGGGGAAAAAACCTTTATGGGGAAGACATAAAACTGCTTTTATTGCTTTGCAATCAAAAACAGCCAGGAAAAAAAAAAACCAGTCCTGGCACTCCCCCAAAATCCAGGTGTTTTCCCAGCCCATGTTAAACATCTCACCCCCAAATCCTCTTCCCATCTTTGGGGGCTTTTGGGATCCAGGCACTTTCTGCCCCGTCCCAAAACACCAGAGGGCTTGAATTTCGTTTCTTGGACCGTTTTTATTTATACAATCTTAAAATCAATCTTTAAAAAAATCAGAGCTCGGGGAGGGGGGGAGCAGCTCGAGCAGGAGGTGGGAGAGGTTTAACTGAGCTGGGTTTAGTCCCCCCTCCCCCAGGGGATCACTCCCTGATGCAGGGGCTGCATCCAGGTGTGGAATTCACGGTCATCATCAGCCCCACCTTTGGGAATATCCAGGGATTGGTGCTGTGGGACCACCCCCAGCCCCATTTGTGGGGTTTCCCTGATTTATTCCCTCTATCCTGCAAAGCTCTGATTGCCTCGATCCATTTGAGGTTTCCCTGGGCACCTGTGGGTCATTCCTGCCTTCCCTTCCCTTCCCAAGGATGTGTCCCAAGGGAATCCCACACCCTTTCCCAGAGGGCACCATCCAGGATGTAACCCTCAGCCATTCCCTGATGCAGGGGCTGCATCCAGGTGTGGAATTCACGGTCACCACCAACCCCACCTTTGGGAATATCCAGGGATTGGTGCTGTGGGAAGCCACACTTGTGGGGTTTCCCTGATTTATTCCCTCTATCCTGCAAAGCCCTGACTTGCCTTGATCCGTTGGTGCCCACTGAGGATTCCCTGGGTCATTCCTGCCTTCCCTTCCCAAGGATGGTTCTCCTTGATGTGATCCCAGCAGGGTGATCCTCCTCGATCCATCCCAAGGGAATCCAACAGCCTTTCCCTTTCCCAGAGGGCACCGTCCAGGACGTGACCCTGAGCAGCAGCTACAGCCACTACCTGATCCAGGGGCTGCATCCAGGCGTGGAATACACGGTCACCATCAACCCCATCTTCGGGAATGTCGAGGGGCCCCTGCTGAGCGGGAAAGCCACGACGGGTGAGTGTCCTGAGGGAGGGCTGGGATTGGATCCATCCTCATGGGATTGGGATCCATCCTCATGGGATGGGGATCCACCCTCACAGTGTCCTACAGGAAGGCTGGGATTGGGGATCCACCCTCATGGGATGGGGGATCCACCCTCACAGTGTCCTGAGGGAGGGCTGGGATTGGATCCACCCTCACAGTGTCCTGGGATTGGGATCCACCCTCATGGGATGGGGATCCACCCTCACAGTGTCCTGGGATTGGGATCCACCCTCATGGGATGGGGATCCACCCTCACAGTGTCCTGTGGGAGGGCTGGGATTGGATCCATCCTCATGGGATTGGGATTCATCCTCATGGGATGGGGATCAACCTCACAGTGTCCTGGGACAGGGATCCACCCTCACAGTGTCCTGCAGGAGGGCTGGGATTGGGATCCACCCTCACAGTGTCTTCCTGGGATGGGGATCCATCCTCACGGTGTCCTGCAGGAAGGCTGGGATTGGGGATCCACCCTCATGGGATGGGGATCCACCCTCATGGGATGGGGTTCCACCCTCACAGTGGCCTGGGATTGGGATCCACCCTCACAGACACGCAGGGTGGGGGTCAGGCTGTGCTGGAATTTGCAGCCACCCCCCTGCCTGTCACCTCTTACAGCCCAATTAAGTGGGAGAAGCCTCTGCCCCAATTAAGGTGCAAATTAAGGTGTGGAATTTAATGCAATTTAATCAATTTAATAATTGATTTAACAATGAAGGTGAGGCAGAGAGAGAGAAAGAGGTAGAAAAGAGGCGCAGGGGTAGAGAAAGGGATAGAGAGAGAGAGATCAAGCAGAAGATGATCACCACCCATGGATCCAGTGGTGTCCCATCAGTCCTTCTCCACCTTGGGCTTCTCCATGGTGGGGATTGTTCCCTAAAATGGGAGAAATAATCCTCTGGGCCGTTTTGAGCATGGAAAGGTGCATTGCACCCCATGGATCCAGCCTGGCCAGGTCCCTCTGCAGAGCCCTCCTGCCCTCCAGCACATCAACACTCCCCCAGCTTGGGGTCACTGCACATCTGCTGATGGTTCACTCCATCCCCTCATCCAGACCATCAGCAAAGATTAAACAGGACTGGGCCCAGCCCTGATCCCTGGGGACACCACTGGGGACCGGATCCCAACTGGATGCAGCCCCATTCCCCATCAGCCAGTTCCTAACCCAGCCCAGAGTGCTCTATCCAAGCCTTTTCCAGGAGTATCCCATGGGACACGTTGTCCAAGCCTTAACACAGATTTTAGGGAATCCAGGGCCCTGAGGTCCCAGACTTCCCACTGTTCATCCACACCTTGGCAAACAAAGGAATTGATGCTCCTTGCCCACACAGCTCTCTGATTTTATGGGATAATTAACCCCCTGCTCAGTGTTCCTTCTCTTTTGAGCTGGTGGTCCCTGGGGTGGGTGGGTTGTGGGTGGATGGGTTGTGGGTGGGTCACCATCTCTCCCTGCCACAATTCCCTTTTCCCCTTTTTTCTGCCTTGGCTTTCCACGCATCCCCTCAATCCTGCATCCCTCATGCCCCTTCTCAGAGATCCCCCCTTCTCCCCCAGCCTTGTCCAACCCCCCCTAGACCTGAGACCACACCTGGACGATGATCCCACCTCGATCCAGAGCGCTGATTTCACTTCCAGTCTGAGCTCTCCCAGAGGCACAGTCAGGGTGCTGGGGCCCAGAACTTTGGGAGGAGGAATTTTTGGGAGGGGAATTTTTGGGAGGCCTTTCCTGGGAAGTGGGACCAGATCTCAGCAGGTTTGGAGCATCCTGGGCCGCTCCATCCCATCCCCATCCCACAGCAAAGTCCTTCTGTTCCTGGGCAGGACTCGGGGCTGGGGGTTGTCCTCTGGAAGTCCTTCCAGAAGCCAGGCTGGGTGGGTAGTTTTGGCAGCTGGTGGGACCTTGATGCAAGTGGGCAACTCTTGTCTCCTGCAGTGGCCTCCAGCACTGTGCAGGCACTGAAAGTGAGTGAGGTTTCCATCAGCAGCCTCCTGGTCTCCTGGGAGCCGGTTGCCGGAGCCACCGGTTACAGAGTGGCTTGGGGTCCTACACCAGGTAAGATCCATCCCCCCTCCAGCCTGAAGCACCTCCAGCTCCTCCTGGAGCTCGGGAGAACCTCAGGGATGGCCCAGCTCCTTCACTGCTCTGAGCAGCCTCTCCCACAGCTTCAGGGCATGGAAAGAAGCCAGGAAATATTCCACAATTCCAGCAGGGAGAGTACCTGTGGCGACCACCCCACCCCACTTCACCCCAGCCCAGCCCAGCCCCAGACCTGCTGCTCAGGCAGGGGAAGGTGGGGCAGGCCCAGCACAGAGGCTTTTGCAGCTTGAGATATTAAAATTCCCAAAGAAATTACCCCAGGAAATCTGTCTCTTACCCCAGATGGACTGAGGGGTGTCACAGGATCCCTGAGCTTGGAAAAGACTTCCAAGATCGTGGAGCCCACCCTGTGCCTGATGTCCAACAATTCCTTGGCAAAGACCATCCCACCCTCTCCTATTTTCTCTTCCCAAGAATTCTTTGGCAAAGACCATCCCACCCTCTCCTGTTTCCCCTTCCCAAGAATTCTTTGGCAAGGAACCTTCTCCTGTTTCCTCTTCCCATGATTTCTTTGGCAAAGACCATCCTGTTTCCCCCTTCCCACGATTTCTTTGGCAAAGACCCTTTTCCTATTCCCTCTTCCCACAATTTCTCTGGCAAAGACCATCCTGTTTCCCTCTTCCCACAATTTCTCTGGCAAAGACCATCCTGTTCCCTCTTCCCACGATTTTTTTTGCAAAGACCCTTCTCCTATTCCCTCTTCCCAAGAGTTCTTTGGCAAAGACCCTTCTCCTGTTCCCTCTTCCCACAATTTCTCTGGCAAAGACCATCCTGTTTCCCTCTTCCCAAGAATTATTTGGCAAAGAACTTTCTCCTCTTTCCTCTTCCCATGATTTCCTTGGCAAAGACCATCCTGTTTCCTCTTCCCAGGAGTTCTTTAGACAAAGACCTTCTCCTGTTTCCCTCTTCCCATGATTTCTCTGGCAAAGACCATCCTGTTCCCTCTTCCCAGGAGTTCTTTGGCAAAGACCATCCTGTTTCCCCCTTCCCAAGATTTCTTTGGCAAAGACCCTTCTCCTATTCCCTCTTCCCATGATTTCTCTGGCAAAGACCATCCTGTTTCCCTCTTCCCACGATTTCTCTGACAAAGACCATCCTGATCCCTCTTCCCACAATTTCTCTGGCAAAGACCATCCTGTTCCCTCTTCCCAGGAGTTCTTTGGCAAAGACCATCCTGTTTCCCTCTTCCCACAATTTCTTTGGCAAAGAACCACCCCCCCATCATCCTTTTCCCTCTTCCCCAGAGTTCCTCGGCAGGGCCCGTCCCCGCCACGTGTCCCTGGGCCGGCGGGTGACGTGGCAGCGTCTCCGTGCGCTGGCTCCCGGCAGCGATTACGTCATCTCCGTGTCCGTGCTCTTCGGAGCCGCCGAGGGCCCCGCCGTCACCACCTCGGCCAGGACCGGTGAGTGGCTCAGCACCTTCGGCAGCACCACCAGGGGAGGGGCTCAGAGGGAAGTTCAGGAGATCTCTCCGAGTCCCGAGGGATCACCTGGATAAAAGATGGGAATTCCTCGTGTAAAACAGGGCGAGGTGGTGGAACAGGTTTGAGGGACAAACCTTCCATCTCCGACCTCGGCAACGCTGAGGGGGATGACCCAGAAGTTGAGGGGAGGTCGGAACAGCATCAGGGGATTCCTTGGAGGGGTTTAAAAGTGGGAGCAGCTCACTGGCAACCCCGGAATGCAGCGTGGATATGACAGGCTGACTCTTGGGAAGAAGCGAACAGGCCACCACTGGTGGGAGCTGTGGGAGCTCTGGGTGGGTGTTTGGGTGTGGGGGGGAATGGGATATGGATCTGCTGACTCCCTGGATCCCTGTCCTGGGCTCGCAGAGGCGGATCTGGAGCAGGACACGCTCCTTGGTGCCAAGGTGGGATTTACACGCACGGCCCCCACCTCAGGCTGGTGTCTCTCCAAGAGAGGAGGATGAGGAAACACCAGGGATAAGCAAATCAAACCTTGTGGGACAATTCTGGCCTCATTCCCGTGCCGATGAGGAGCCCTGTTGGACGGGAATTCGGGCACTGACCTTGTCCTCCCCTCGCAGCTCCCCTCGGCTCCGTCCCCGAGTTCAGGGTGACGTCACACACCAGCAGCAGCCTGTCCTTGGCCTGGAGCGCCACCACAGCTGCCACCAAATTCCGACTCACCTGGAGCCCCCTGGGAGCAGGAGAAGGTGAGCAGGGAAAAGGTGACCCCCTTCCCAAACTCCTGAGCTCCCGCTCTGGAGAATCTTGGTTGGTGGTGGTTTCTCCTCCTCTCCTCGTCTTCCCTTCATTTATAAAACATTCCAAAGCTCTGGAATGGCAGCACAGCAAGGGAGGGGATGCCAGCAGGGAGCTCCAGGCTCTGGAATATCCCTCTTTTCTTTAATTCTTTTTATTTTTTACCAGGAAAGCAGGTTGCCAAGAGCCAGCTCCTGGGCAGCAGAACGTTGGCCCATCGGATCGACCGCTTGGAGCCCGACACGCCCTACAGGGTCGGAATTCGGGCTGTTTTTGGCCGGACTGAGGGGCCAGAGGTGACCCTGACTCACCACACAGGTGTGTCCTGCCAGGACAGCCCTCCTGGCCTTGGGATTTGGGGGTTGGGATCGTGGGCTTGGGCCAAGAGTCCGTGGGTGGGAGTGGAAATGTCCTTCGGGCTTGTTGAGCGGCCTTGGAGGGCGGTCCTGGATGGATGGACACAGTTGCTTGTGTTGATTATCCACAGCTATCCCGGGAATCTCTCGGCAGGCACTGCTCGGGGTCTTGGGGTTTGGGGAATTCCTTGATTTGGGAGTTCCTGGTGGCTCTGCCTCTTTGAGTGTGAGGTAGTGAGGTTTTGGGAATTCCTTGATTTGGGAGTTCCTTGAGTTGTGGTTCTGTCCCTTCCAAACTTGGGGTTTTGGGAGTCCCTTCATTTGGGAATTCCTTGATTTGTGGCTCTGCCCCTTTCCAAACTTGGGGTTTTGAAGTTTTGGGAATTCCTTGATTTGGGAGTTCCTTGATTTGTGGCTCTGCTCTTCCAACTTGGAGTCTTGGAATTTTGGGAACTCCTGGATTTGGGAGTTCCTTGATTTGTGGCTCTGCCCCTTCCAAACTTGGGGTTTTGAAGTTTTGGGAATTCCTTGATTTGGGAGTTCCTTGGCTTGTTGCTCTGCCCCTTCCAACTTGGGATCTTGAGGTTTTGGGAATTCCTTGATTTGGGAGTTCCTTGGCTTGTTGCTCTGCCCCTTCCAACTTGGGATCTTGGGTTTTGGGAATTCCTTACTTTGTGGATTTGCCCCTTCCAACTTGGGGTCTTGAGGTTTTGGGAGTTCCTTGATTTGGGAATTCCTTGATTTGTGGCTCTGCCCCTTCCAAACTTGGGCTGTTGAGTCCTGAGGTTCTGATTTGGGAGTTCCTTGATTTGTGGCTCTGCCCCTTCCAAACTTGGAATCTTGAGGTTTTGTGATGCCCTGGATTTGTGGCTCTGCCCCTTCCAAACTCATGATCCTGAGGTTTTGGGAACTCCTGGATTTGTGGCTCTGCCCCTTCCAAACTCGTGATCCTGAGGTTTTGGGTTCTCCTGGATTTGTGGCTCTGCTCCTTCCAAACTCGTGATCCTGAGGTTTTGGGTTCTCCTGGATTTGTGGCTCTGCCCTTTCCACCCCGGGGTTGTTCCTCCAGCCCCTCCCCCCGGTTGGTTTTTGCAGCGTCTCCCGCAGATCCCAAGCCCAGCCAGGCCCTGAGGGTCACTGCCACTGCTGGGAACACTTTGGAGCTCTCCTGGAAGAGGCTTCCCGGGATAACTCACTCTAAGATATCCTGGGGCCCATCCAGTGGTGAGGATCCCGATCCCTGAGGATCCCGATCCCTCAGGCAGGTGTGGGATGAGCACAGAGCCCCAGGAACCCCCAAACCCAGCAGCTCAGCCCAGCCCATCCCTCTTCCCAAGCTCCAGGAGGGGTCTGAGCTGGAGCCCCAGAACGGAGCCCTGAGCCGAGCTTGGGTCTCTCCCAGAGGGATCCGTCGGACACGAGCCCGGCTGGGATTTGGGAATGCCGAGCGGTTCCCTCCCAGCAGCGCAGGGGACACCCTGGGGACCAGCCCTGCCCTCCCTGCCCAGGTCCCCAGAAGATCTGGGGGGAGGAAGCTGCTGGCCCCAGGATTGCTCCTCATTCCCTTGGGGAAAAGTTCCTGCCCCGGGGAGGGGGAGAAATTCCCTCCTTGGGGACGTTGGGAGATCCCAAGGGGCCTTCCCCTGACCCCCCCCTGCTGTCCCCTGGGTGTCCCTGCTCTCAGCTGGCCCTGGGGCTGGGGGATGCAGGAAACATCTGCTCTGGGACAGGACCTTTTCTCCAGGGAGCCCCCCAGGGCCCGGCAAACCTGGATTGCCCTAAAAAAACAAAAACAAAAAAAGGAAGATCCATCCTCAAATCTTTCCTTTCCCACCCCAAAAGGTTCATTTTTTGAAGTGCAAAAACACAAAGCAGAGAAATCTCTCCCCCCACCCTGGATATTCCCACCTTCCCAGTCCCTGGAAACTGGAGGGTTTGGAGTGTATTCCCAAATTTCCCCCATAAATGAGTTATGAATCCCTGGCTTTGCTGAGGAAGGTTCATTTTTAAGCCAAAACACAAAGCAGGGAAATGTTTCTCCTGATGTTCCCACCTCAACAGTCCCTTTACACCTGAGGGTTTCCAGACATGTCTGTATATTCCCAAATTTCCCCCTCCCACAAATGAGTTATGAATCCCTTTGAAAGGAAAATGACACCGTAGAGGGTTTTTTGGCTGTTCCCAAAACAAAACTGTGGGGTGGCTTTTTTTGGGATGTCTCCTCTAAGGTGGCTTGGAAAGCTCCCAGCTGGTTGGGGCAGGGGCAGATTCCTTCACCATCCCCAGACCTCCTACACCATCCACGTGTCTGGAATGGTCAGAGGGCAGGAGGGACCCCCCATGGTGCTGACAGCCCAAACCTGTGAGTGTGGGACCCCTGGATCCGAGATCCAGTAGCTGATTCCATCCTCACCTCCCACCACAGGAGAGGGGAAGGAAAACAGCAATATATTGGCTGATTATTCCTAATTCACGGAATCCCAGCGTGGTTTGGGGGGGATTTTTTTTGGCCCTTAATTTCATTAATTACCTCCATTTTAATTCAATTTACACCTCCTTTCAGCCTGATTTCCTTCTTCTGGTGCCTTCTACCCACTCCTAAATTTGGTTTCCTCCTTCCCCACCAGTGGATTTACCCAAAGTCTCCGAGTTCACGGTGCAGGAGGCCACGGACACCACTGTCCTGCTGTCCTGGGGGCTGTTCCTGGAGCATCCACCTACAAATTAACCTGGCAGTTGACCTCAGGTAAGGATTTTTGGAGCCCAGCTGGGCCTTGTTTTCCGTGTTTTGTGTCCCTTCCTCTCAGCTCCTTCACCTGGGTGAAAAAGAGGGGGAAAAAACCAGGATGAGGAGGCTCCAAAAATGACCCTTTTGGCCAGAGGGGAAAAAAAAATCCTGAATTTCCTGGTGGGAAATTACTGGTGGGCATCATCAGTGTCTTTTCCCTTCCAGAGTCACTGCCTGTGACCAGGGATTGTCACAGTGAACCAAACCCAGCTTGGTTTTAATTGACACAACCTGACTTTTACCTCTTCAAAATCCCCGCTCGAAAGAGCTTCTAAAACCTCCCAGTTTTTATAGCCTGGATTTCCTTTTTCCCAGTTGATTTGGCTTTGCAGACTTTTATTCTCCTAAAGCACTGATTTTTTTTTTCTGGAATGGCCTAACCTAAAACCTCTTGGGGTACAACAAGTTGTGGTGGCCCTTCCTGCTGGGGGTCAATAAAGAACAGGAACCCAACACAACCCCCCCTCTTTTTGAGTTCCCAGGGCACCACCTTGAATTTATTTTGGAATTCCAAGGCCATTTTAGTGTTGGCAGCTGAAGTCACTCGGGATGAAACATCCCTGGTAGCATCATTTTGGGTTTTTTTGTGGGGAAGTGATTTTTGGAGCTGAGCATTCGGTTCTCTAGAGGGGATGATTGGAGTGATTTAAACCCTTCCTCTCCTGTGGACAACTCCATCTGTAAATACCCCAAATTCCAGTGTTTTCAGTATTCTCAGGGGCTCAGGAATGGACACCCCCACCCTGAGCCCTCACATCAATCCCTCTGCAACAGGTTTATAACTCTTGGTTTAACATCCTGATCAGATCAATTCATCTTCCACTTTGTGCTACCACATCCAACACAGCATCCAAATTTATGCTCCTGGGTTTATTTCCCCTTGTTTAATTATCCAGGCTGGATAATTAACATGGGCATGGAAAGAAGAATTTTGTCCCCTTTTTTTTTTTCCTCTCTTCAATTCATTTTCTTCCACACAACTTGGATTTTTTTCTCCCTAAATTAACACTCGTTAAATTAACACTCCCTAAATTAACACTTCCACCACCCATCTCCCCCCCATTTTAAGCTCATTTAATGCCCTCCTTGCTGCCCCTTTATCCCATAAAAACTGGGCTCCCTTTTGCTGATTTTGGGGTCATCCCAGGTGGGGATTCCTCTGTCCAGTGTCCCCAAACCTGGGGGGGGTCACTGAGGCTCCATCCAGGGCTGCCCTTCTAAGGATCTTGGAGAAGTTCACCTGGATCTCACCTTCTTCCCTCTTCCTTGGCTCTCCTGAGCCACCTGCTCCGGTGGGAGGTGTCCCTGCCCGTGGAATCCATGATCCTTAAGGTCCCTTCCAACCCAATTCCCCCTGTGATTCCATGACTATTCCTGGAGCACCCAAAGCCAGGATTTTTCTCCCCTCACCTGACCCAGAGAAGCTCATTTGATGTTGTGTTTTCACCTCCAGCCTCGAAGTCTCTTGTCCCTCGTGGAACTTCATTTTTCCCCATGGAATTGTCCTCCTTTTCCAGTGATCACAAATTTCCTCCTGCATGTCCCTTGCCAGTGTTTTCCTGGCCATCTTTCCCTGGGTATCATCCAGGTATCTCCTCCCTGAGCCCACCAGCAAAGTCTTCTTCCCATCCCAAAGGACGTGTGGGACAATGTTCTTTATTGACCCTTTTATCATCTCAATCAATTATTATTACATTTTAATCATCTACTCAAAATAAGGGGAGCAGCAGAGTTTGGGGAGAGGCTGAAAGAGGAATTTAACTATTTTTTAAAGCAGCAAAACCTCCCTTCCAACATTTTTTTTGGGGGGGGGGAGGGGTTAATTGAGAAAGTGGAAAGTTGGACTCGATGATCTTGGAGATCTCATCTGACTTTGTGAGTCCAGGAAAATGAAACAGGTTGTTTACCCCTGGTTTGATTTCTTTCCATCCAAACTGAGCTTTTTATTTTTTAGTTGCTTTTTTAAAAGTGAAATGTTATTTCAGAACAACAAAAAAAAAGGGGGCAAGTTTCACCTCGAACAGCATCAAAACTCCACCGCTTGGTATTTACAAAATCATCATCATTTACCAAATAAGACACTTAGAAACCACTAATGCTTTATTATGACATTTTTCCTACTGATGTTTTAAATCAGAACTATTCATTGTGTGCCACCAAACTCCTCGAGTGGGTTTGACTGCCGATTTACAGCAAACTTTTCCATTCTCTGCCCAAAAAACGACCTTATTTTTATTTCCTACAAACCTCAGCTCACCACCCAGCACGGATCAAATCCCCTCCCTGAACCTTTGGAAGAAAATTCCACTTTTTTTTCTCTTTGGAGTCTCCCTGGCTCCCGGTCATCACCTCTCTTCACTTTCCCACAGCTCCTGCTGTTTCCCAGGAGGTGCTCCCGGCAGCTTCCAGCTCGTTCCGGGTGTCGGGATTGCGCACCGGGAGAACGTATCAATTCTCCATCAAACCCATCTTTGGGGACGTGGAGGGACAGGAGACAACTCTCCAGGGGCAAACAGGAGTGAAGGCTGCAGACCTGCCCTCCACTTTCACCTGGCAAGCCGCTGGTGGGGCCGATTTCTCGCCCCTTCCACCCTTCTGACTCCTCTCTTTTTTAGGGTGTTTTAAAAGAGGTTTTTAAAACCCCACCTTTTGTGGTTTCCTCTCCAGTGGCACCTCCTGGAGGGTCAGAGAGCGCTCCTACTGGGCTGGCTACGAGGAGGACCCCCCCCACACCTCCCAGCAGCGTGGGGGTCACTGCTCTCCCAGTGGGCACCATCACAAAGCTCCCACCGAGCCTCGAGGTCCCCCCGGCCACCAGCGCCGTGTCCCCTCCACCGACGACTCCCCCCGGGCCTGGTGAGTTGTGTCCACGTGGGATTTTGGGGTGGAAGGTGGAGTAGCAGGCTCAGAGCCACCAGGGGCCACCATCTCTGATCCCAGGAGCCAAAACTGCCCCTCATTCCTCGAGCGGGGAGGGTGGGAAGACCCAAAGGCCGTAAATCCCAGGGGTGAAGGTGCCGCCTGTTTAACCATCAACGCTTGGCATCACGAGGGCTTTTGGGGTTTGTTTGGTCGCTCTGAACCCCCCAAAAACCCCACATTTCTGCTTTGGGACCCTCCCCCTTCTCACAGGGATCCTCTCTCCCCCTGCAGTCTGTGGGAAGCTCAGAGCAGACATCGCATTCCTGGTGGACGAGTCCTCGAGTATCGGCCAGAGCAACTTCAACAGGGTGAAGGAATTCCTGTTCCGGATCGTCTCCTACTTCCCAAAGATTGGCCCCGAGGGGACACAGGCAAGACTCAGTTATTTCATTTTCCTGGAGGTGTTTAAGGACAGGCTGGATGTGCCATCAGTGCCATGGGCTGGGTGACAGGATGGGGTTAGAGCAGGGCTTGGACTGGATGATCTGGGAGGGCTTTTCCAACCCGGCTGATTCTGTGATTGTGTGACTGTGACTGTGTGACTGTGTCACTGTGACTGTGACTGTGTCACTGTGTCATTTTGTGCCTCTCCTGGCAGGTGGCCCTTGCCCAGTTCAGCGAGGAGCCCCGGGCAGTTTTCCACTTCCACCAGCACCGCGACCGCAAGGGCGCCCTGAGGGCCATGCGGGGGCTGAGCTACAGCGGAGGCAACACCAGAACAGGTGGGTGGGGGTCACACCCCTGCCCCAAGAGGGGCTGGAGGACAAGGGGACCTTTTCTTGGAGCCTTTGGAACCCCTTGGATAGAGTGTTTTGGAAAGTTGTGCTGGAAGATCTCTAAAATTCAGGAATGGAGGAATGAGCTGAGTTTGATTTTCAGGGATGGGCTTTCCAACTGGTCTGGTGCCCTTTATCCACATCCCAATTTTAATACTGGGTTTTCTTCATTATTTTATAAGTATTTCTTCATTATTTTATAAATATTCCTTCATTATTTTATAAATATTTCTTCATTATGATATTAATATTCTTCATTATTATATAAATCTTTTTCATTACTATATAAATATTCTTCATTATGTGATAAATAATTCATCATTATTTTATAAATATTTTCATTACTATATAAATATTTTTCATTACTATATAAATATTTCTTCCTGATTTTATAAATATTTCATTATCATATATTTCTTCACTATTATATAAATAGTTCTTCATTCTTATATAAATAGTTCTTCATTATTTTATGCATATTTCTTCATTATTTTCTAAATATTTCTTCATTAGTATTTAAAAATTTCATTATTTACCAGCACTTGAGGGTTTGTTTTGGTTTTTTTTAATACAATTCTTGCCTTGTTACCTCAGCAGGCCCTGTCCTGTTTTCGTGGTGTCCTTTTATCCAACTCCAGGTCTGCAGAAATTCAGATTATTTTTATCTTTAAAAAAGTGATTTAAAAAAAAAAAACACAACCCAACTTGTTGTTCAAAAACTTGCTTAAAAAGAGAATTATACCCTTTGCAAACAGATTAATTGATGGCTTCCCGACTGCCAAAGGGAAGTTTTGAGCCCAGAAAAATGGGAATTTTTCGTGGCCTTGGGTTGGGGCAAAGCAGCCAAATTCCTGCAGAACCTTTCCTCTAATCCTTCTTTTTTTTTCTGGAAGTCCTGTCAATACAGATGTTTTTTCCCTCCCTCACAGAAATCTTCCCATCCTGTTTTGGGGCTTTTTAACCCTTTCAATGTGGGACAATCCTTTGTGAGACTTCCCAGGTCTGGAATTCCCGGAACTGAGAATTCCTCGGATTCCTTTTTTTCCTCCTCAGATCTCAAGACAAAAAAGCTTCAAATCCTCATCATTTTTTTTTTCTTCCCCCCAAAATGACAAGAAAAAAATCCTCCAAACAATTAATTTTCCCCAATCCAGGAGCACTTTTGGGTTCAGCCTGACCCGTTCCCAGCCTGGTTGACATCCTGGTGTCATCCACGGGCGACACCACCGGGAATTCCTTCCCTGCCTTCTCCCCCCGTGCAAGGGGGACCCCCAGAACCAAGAGAGAATCTTTGCCAACCTCTCCCTTGTGTTTTTCCCCCTCCCAGGTCGTGCCATCTCCTTCGTGCTGCAGGAGCTTTTCCAGCCCTCCAGAGGGATGAGGCCCCATCTTCCTCGGCTGCTGCTGCTGCTGACGGATGGACCCTCCCAGGACGACGTGGGGCCACCAGCCAGAGCAGCCCACGCTTTGGGTGAGGGTTTCCCTCATTTCCCAGCGTTCTCCATGGATTTCCAGGGGGTTGGAACATCCGGGGTTCCTCCTGGACACTCTGTGTGAGGAGAACTCGATGCCTTAAACTGGGAGCAAAAATTCTCTGGGCTGGTTTTGGAGAGTTAAGAGGCAAAAGGCACTGATTTGTTTTGCACTCTGGGCCTTTACAACTTTATCCTCTCATTTAATTACAATATTCAGATTCTAATTAAAATATTTGATATTTCCTCATCTGCTCCACCCCCTTCCAAACCCATCCCTCCCACAGCACCGCCCTGACACAGCTCCCCAGTTGGAGGGGGAGCTCCCAAAAATACCCTCCCTTCCTCTTCCCTTCCTTTTCCTCATCTACTCTGTTCCACTATCACCCTTTCTGGAATTTCCATGGATTTCCAGGGGTTGGAACATCCAGGGTTCCTCCTGGACACTCTGTGTGAGGAGAACTCCATGCCTTAAACTGGGAGCAAAACTTCTCTGGGCTGGTTTTGGAGCGTTAAGAGGCAAAAGGCACTGATTTATTTTGCACTCTGGGCCTTTACAACTTTATCCACTCATCTAATTATAATATTCAGATTCTAATTAAAATATTTGGCATTTCCTCATCTGCTCCACCCCCTTCCAAACCCATCCCTCCCACAGCACCGCCCTGACACACCTCCCTAATTGGAGTGGGAGCTCCCAAAAATACCCTCCCTTCATCTTCCCTTCCTCCTCCTCACCCCCTCCGACCCCTCCTGCCACATTTTCCAGGCTCCTGAGCAGCTCTGACCACTTCTAGCCAGCGTTTTGTCTCCCTCTCAGCACCTTTTGACAGATGTCAATCCCTCCACCCCCTCCCGACCCCTTTGTCTGTCCAACTTCTTAACGACCAACATTAAACAGCCCATTTGGAAATCCCGCCCCAAGGCACCAACAAGCTGTGCTAAAACTTAGATAACAGAGAGATTTTAAGGTTGTTTGGGTTTTTTTCTCTCTCCTTTACCCTTTTTTTTTTGGTTTTGTTTTAACTCACCCCCTTCAGGTGAGTTGTTGCTGTGCCAGGGGAGGTTTAGGTTGGATATCGGGAAGAAATTCCTTACAGAGAGGGTAATCAGCCCTTGGAATGGGCTGCCCAGAGAGGGGGTGGATTCTCCATCCCTGGAGGTGTTTAAGGACAGGCTGGATGTGCCATCAGTGCCATGATCTGGTTGGATCAAGGCTTGGACTGGATGATCTCAGAAGTCTCTCCCAACTGGTTAATCCTTTGATTCTGTGATCAAAAGCTTGCAAACTCTGACTTTGGGCACTTTGGTGCCTCTGCTGAGCGAGGGGTTTGTTGCAGGGATCCCCATCCTGTCAGTGGGGGTGTCTGGGGCTGACCCCCTGCAGCTCAGCAGGATCTCCCCACGGCAGAACCTCCAGTTCTACGTCAGCACCTTCGAGGACCTTCCCCAGCTCCTGCAGGAGCTCATCGAGGCCCTTTGCTCTGCCCCTGCACAGGTGAGACCTCCCCACCTGTTCCTGGTGGTGGAAACCAACCCTGCCTGGCCTGGGATGAGCACAAGGGTTGATGTTTCTTCTTCCCATTCTCCCCACCCCGAGTGGATTTTTCCAAGTGAAAATCGGATTTAAGGACCCAGGAGCCCAATCCTGACCTCACTGCCCCACCCCAGGGGAGGGGGGGAAACCTTTGGAATGTGGGAATTAGGGAAGCTGAACCCTTGGGTGGGTTACCAAGACGTTGCCTCTTCCAAGCCCAGCTGTTGGGTCACAGAGCATCTCCAAGTGGGGTATTTTATAGGATCACAGCATGGTTTGGGTTGGAAGGGACCTCAAAGATCACCCCCAAATCCCCTGCCCTGGGCAGGGACACCTTCCTGATTGCAGAGAACCAACCTTTGTGCCTGCTGGGCCAGGGGGAGGAAGGAGGGTGATATTAAAGCTCTTGAGGGCTGTTGATGGGTGGTGTTTGACCCCCAATCTGAGCCAAACTCTGCCCCTGCAGGTGGCCAAAAACGAGGCCACCCAGCCCTTTGGTGACACAGAGATCGAGCCACAAGACCCTGAGCCGTCCTCAGCCCAACCACAGGTCCAAGAAGAGCAGAAGCCCTGTGGTCCCTGGTGTTCCAAGGTGAGATTTAATTCTCAGGAGGGTGATAATTCTGACAAAAATAAGACTTTAAAGAGTCTGAGGATACGAAAAGATCTCCTGGGTGGTCACCTTGGCTTCTTCCTTTTGTTGCACAGGCCAAGGAGTGGTTTGGTCTGGGGTTTAGGCTGTGTTTAGTGTCTGGTTTGAGTTTATTTGGCATCTTTTGGTGGATTTGATTTCCTGACTTTTTTTTTTCTCCTGTTTTCCTTTTCCTTGGAAGAGCTCCGGGCCTTCAGCAGCTCCCAGAGGGTGGGACCCAAACAGCTCCCCCACCAAGGGCGAGAAGGGCGAGAGGGTGAGTGAGTCCAACAGCACCAGCCAGCCCCTTGGAGCAGGAATGTCATGGAATGGTTGGGGTGGGAAGGGAGCTCAAAGATCAGCCAGGTCCAACCCCAGGGACACCTCCCACTCTCCCAGGTTGATCCAACCCAGCCTTGGACACTCCCAGGGATCCAGGGGCAGCCACAGCTTCTCTGGGAAATCCAGTCCAGCCCCTCCCCACCCTCCCAGCCAGCAATTCCTTCCCAATCTCCCTTCCAAACACACTCCCTGTCACTTTGAAGCCATTCCCTGTGTCCTGTCTCTCCAGGCCTTGTCCCCAGTCCCTCTCGAGCTCTCCTGGAGCCCCTTTAGACCCTGCAAGGGGCTCTGAGGGCTCTGTGGCCCCATTTGGAACTGGGATTTGGGGGTGGGCTGTGCCAGGAGCATCCAGAGCTTTGTTTTCCCTCCTGGATGCCCCATTTCCCTTGGCTGGGAATGGTTCAGCTGGAGAGAGACCTGGAAGCACAGGGGATGGAGTTTAAACCTCCAGATTTCTGAGAATCATGGAATGGGTTGGGTTCCAACCCCAGGGACACCTCCCACTGTCCCAGGTTGATCCAACCTGGCCTTGGACACTCCCAGGGATCCAGGGGCAGCCACAGCTTCTCTGGGAAATCCAGTCCAGCCCCTCCCCACCCTCCCAGCCAGCAATTCCATCCCTAAAATCCCATCTGCCCCTGTCCACAACTAAATTCCTGGCCTGAAGGAAGAGCTCCAGCAAAGAATCCCCTGCAGATCCTCCAGGTTTGGCGTTGGGCGGCTCCAAAGATCAGGCGGGAGGGACCAAAATCATTTACGTGATGGAATTTTTGGGGTGCTCCCGAGCAGCCGAGGCTGCAGGAAGGGTTTGGAAGCCCTGAGGGCTGTGACCTGCACCCTGTTTCCTTTCCATGCATTTAGGGGCTCCCTGGAAAGGATGGAATTCCGGGGCTGCCGGGCCGGCCGGGCCGGGCGGGTCCTCCTGGTCCCCCTGGACTCACGGTGGGTGTTTTGTTTGTCCCGACGGGATTTGTCCCACTTGGAATTTGGGGGGGGTGGTGAGTGTGGCCCTCAAACACCTCCCTCTCCTGTTTTCCAGGGTCTCCCTGGCATCCAAGGGGATGTTGTGAGTATTTGGAACTGTGGGAGCGTGGAACGGTTTGGGTGGGAAGGGACCTTCAGGATCAGTAAATTCCAACCCCAGAGACACCTCCCACTGTCCCAGGGTGCTCCAACCTGGCCTTGGACACTCCCAGGGATCCAGGGGCAGCCACAGCTTCTCTGGGAAATCCAGTCCAACCCCTCCCCACCCTCCCAGCCAGCAATTCCTTCCCAATATCCCATCCAATCTCTGCTCTTCTGGCACTGGGAAGCCATTCCTGTGTCCTGTCCCTCCATCCTTTGTCCCAATTCCTCTCCAGCTCTCCTGGAGCCCCTTTAGGTCCTGGAAGTGGCTCCAAGGACCCTGTGGCCCCATTTGGAACTGGGATTTGGGGGTGGGCTGTGCCAGGAGCATCCAGAGCTTTGTTTTCCCTCCTGGATGCCCCATTTCCCTTGGCTGGGAATGGTTCATCTGGAGAGAGACCTGGAAGCACAGGGGATGGAGTTTAAACCTCCGAATTTCTGACAATCATGGACTAGTCTGAGTTGGAAGGACCTTAAAGCCCACCCAGTTCCAACCCCAGGGACACCTCCCACTCTCCCAGGTTGCTCCAACCTGGCCTTGGACACTCCCAGGGATCCAGGAGCATCCGTGCTCTCGTGTTTCATTTCCTGTTTCACGCTGCACAATTTTTCTTTTAATTCCAGGGACCTCCTGGCTCTCCAGGACCAGCAGGGCCAAAAGGAGACAGAGTGAGTTCCATTCCCAGGTTTCCCTGGGGAAAAAAAGCTGTTTCCAAGCTCTGCTCCCTATTTTTTTTCTTTTCCCAAGCATTTTCACAGTGACCTTTGGCAAACTGAACTTCTGAGCCGGGTCCAACTTTTCCAGTCTTCACCTGGGGGAGTTGTCCCTCAGTTTTCCAAGGGGGAATAATCTGCTGTCTTCCTGGAGAAATCACAGGACTTGGCACATTTAATTGGCTATTCCCAGAAGGAGGGAGAACTTGGATGGGTCCTTTGTCCTGCCCGAGTTGCCACCGTGGGAACCAACCCGTTGTCCTGCATTTCGGCCACCAAAACGTTTCCATGTCAGTTGTGTGCAATCCCAGGAGTTTCTTGTCCTTTCCCCCTGCATCCCAGTGCACATTCCTGCTCCTTCCCTGCATCCCCTGCTGTGGTTGAATCCCAGGAATGGATCCTGCTGAAATCCAACCCCTGGGATTTGAGTTTTCTTCCGAGCCAATCTCGAGTCTCGGCCCCTCCTCTGCAAAAGGAGGCAGTTTGAGATGAACTTTCCTCTTTCCTTCCCCCTGCTGATGGAACTGCCCCTAAATCCTGCCATTTGCCACTCTTCCCGATGTTTTCTCCCTCCTCTGTCTGCAGGGAGAGCCAGGATATGTCCTGGGAGGAGTGGAGGTGATTCCAGGCCGGAATGGGCAGCCTGGCCCCGCTGTGAGTGTCACCCCCTGGGGCTGGAGGAGGAGCAAAGGGAGCTGGGAAAGATCCCAAACAACCCTCTCTTCTCCTGCTTTTTCCTGCTTTTCCAGGGCCCCAAAGGGCAGCCAGGGGTTCCTGGGGTGACAGGACCACCGGGATCGCCGGGATTACGGGGACCTCCAGGAATCTCCATCAAGGTGAGATTGTTGTGGCTCCAGGAAAGGGGAGACCTGGCACCACATCCTACAGGTTGAGGGGAGGGTCTGGACACCTCAGGGGGTGGGAATTTTGCTCTTGTCAGGCTTTAGGAGCTGGTTTTTTTGTGGGATGAAGTTGGGAGAGGAACCTCTTGAGGTGCCCGTCCCGTGGTAAACGTTCCTCGTTGTCCTTCGCGTTCCAGGGGGAACCAGGGGATCCAGGCACCAGGGTAAGTCCTTTGGGATGCAAAGCCCTTTCTTCACCCCCATTTCCCAGCTGCCCGAGGGGGCTCTGCTTTCCAAACTTCCCGAAAATCCGTGGAGTGAGGTCGTGCTGTGCTCCCTGCAGGGCCCTCGTGGGAGGAGCGGCCTCAAGGGGGACACAGGAGCTCCAGGAGAGCCGGTGAGTGGTCCTGGGGTGGCCCCAGGAGCTGGGGAGGAGCCACCAGCCGTGGTGGGAAGGGCTTGGTGGCCTTGGAATGTCCCTTGGAACGTGGGGTGGGGATAGGGGTCGGTGTCCTGCTCTTCCTCGTGGAATGTGACCCTTCTACTTCCCAAATCCCACCTGCCCCAGGGGTCAGGAGGTCAGAGAAATCCTGGGGAAGTTCAGAGGAGGGAGGAAAGGTGGATGAGGAGGGTGGGACAGCAAAGCAGGCAGCAGATTTCACAAAATCCCAGGATATTCAGATTTCACAGAATCCCAGGATATCCAGATTTCACAAAATCCCATCATATTCAGATTTCACAAAATCCCAGGATATCCAGATTTCACAAAATCCCAGGATATTCAGATTTCACAGAATCCCATGATATTCAGATTTTCACAAAATCCCAGGATATTCAGATTTCACAAAATCCCAGGATATTCTGAGTTGGATCCACAGGGATCATCACCCAGAGCAAGGGAGGTGATTTTTCCCAGGAGAAGTTCCACAGGGAAGTTTGGGGTGTGGGAAGTTGGGGTTGAAGGGGAGAAAAGAGAATTAAAAAGGTTCCTGGGGATAAAAGGAAATTTGGGAAATCCCTGGGTTACAAAGGGCTCAGAGCTGAGGGATTGCTGAGGGATCATGTCCATGTGCTGTTCCTGCCCGTGGTGATCCATATTCCTTCCCTTTGCCATCTTGTGGAGTTGTATCCCATGGATCAGCCACTTCCAAGTGTCTGCCTTCACCATTCCAGGTGAATTCTCCTCCCATCCAAGTGAACAGCTCCTTATTTTCCCTTCCTCAGCAAAGCCAGGGATTCATAACTCATTTATGGGGGAAATTTGGGAATACACTCCAAACCCTCCATTTCCAGGGACTGGGAAGGTGGGAATATCCAGGGTGGGAGGAGAGATTTCTCTGCTTTGTGTTTTTGCACTTCAAAAAATGAACCTTTTGGGGTGGGAAGGGAAAGATTTGAGGATGGATCTTCCTTTTTTGTTTTTGTTTTTTTAGGGCAATCCTGGTTTGCCGGGCCCTGGGGGGCTCCCTGGAGAAAAGGTCCTGTCCCAGAGCAGATGTTTCCTGCATCCCCCAGCCCCAGGGCCAGCTGAGAGCAGGGACACCCAGGGGACAGCAGGGGGGGGTCAGGGGAAGGCCCCTTGGGATCTCCCAACGTCCCCAAGGAGGGAATTTCTCCCCCTCCCCGGGGACAGGAACTTTTCCCCAAGGGAATGAGGAGCAATCCTGGGGCCAGCAGCTTCCTCCCCCCAGATCTTCTGGGGACCTGGGCAGGGAGGGCAGGGCTGGTCCCCAGGGTGTCCCCTGCGCTGCTGGGAGGGAACCGCTCGGCATTCCCAAATCCCAGCCGGGCTCGTGTCCGACGGATCCCTCTGGGAGAGACCCAAGCTCGGCTCAGGGCTCCGTTCTGGGGCTCCAGCTCAGACCCCTCCTGGAGCTTGGGAAGAGGGATGGGCTGGGCTGAGCTGCTGGGTTTGGGGGTTCCTGGGGCTCTGTGCTCATCCCACACCTGCCTGAGGGATCGGGATCCTCAGGGATCGGGATCCTCACCACTGGATGGGCCCCAGGATATCTTAGAGTGAGTTATCCCGGGAAGCCTCTTCCAGGAGAGCTCCAAAGTGTTCCCAGCAGTGGCAGTGACCCTCAGGGCCTGGCTGGGCTGGCTGGGCTTGGGATCTGCAGGAGACGCTGCAAAAACCAACCGGGGGGAGGGGCTGGAGGAACAACCCTGGGGTGGAAAGGGCAGAGCCACAAATCCAGGAGAACCCAAAACCTCAGGATCACGAGTTTGGAAGGGGCAGAGCCACAAATCAAAGAGTTCCCAAAACCTCAAGATCCCAATTTGGAAGGGGCAGAGACAAATCAAGGGCATCCCAAAACTTCAAGACTCCAAGTTTGGAAGGAGCAGAGACACAAATCAAGGAATATCCAAATCAAGGAATTCCCAAAACTTCAAGACCCCAAGTTTGGAAGAGGTAGAGCCACAAATCAAGGAACTCCCAAATCAAGGAATTCCCAAAACCTCAATACCCCAAATTCAAAGAGGCAGAGCCACCAGGAACTGCCAAATCAAGGAATTCCCAAAACCCTATGACCTCAAGTTTGGAAGGGGCAGAGCCATAAATCAAGGAATTCCCAAAACTTCAAGACTCCAAGTTTGGAAGGGGCAGAACCACAAATCAAGGAAGGGATGAACCGAGCTGAGCTGCTGGGTTTGGGGGTTCCTCGTGCTCTGTGCTCATCCCACACCTGGCTGAGGGATCGGGATCCTGAGGGATCAGGATAATGAGGGATCGGGATAATGATGGATTGGGATACTGATGGCCCCCAGGACACTACACATTCCAGAGGGAATTTCTCCCCTCCTACTTCATGGGGGTGGCTGGGGGAGCTCTGAGGAGGATTTTGGGCAGGACACCCAAAATCTTCGCAACTTTGGGAAGGGCCTTTCCTGAGAATCCCGCGCTTGCCTCGCAGGGAGCGGCAGGAACTGGAATTCCGGGTCCCAAGGGGGAAGAAGGAGAGCAGGTGGGTCGGATTTGCACTTCAAGTCCCCTTGGAGGGGGTTTTTGGAGCCTCCAAAACTCTCCTCCAACCTCAGGGTGTTTCTTGGAGGAGGGTGAATCCTGTGGTGAATCCTCTGTGCAAATGGGGAGAGGAAGGGAAAATGTTGGGATTTTAAAATCCGAGCTTTTCTGGTTCCCAGGGCGCGACGGGACCTCCGGGAGCTCCAGGACCAAAGGTGGGGGCTGAAATCTCGAATTCCCGCAGCTGGTTTCGGGTGCCAAGGACATTGTTTGCCTCTGAGCGCCAGCACAGGCCGTGGGAATCCTGGAATCGTGGAATAATCGGGTTGGGAAGTGGCTTTCCGAGGTCATCCAGTCCAGGGAGCAGGGACGGCTTCAACCGGTCCTTCCCAACCTGACCTTGACCCCTTTTAATCAGAAAACAAAGAGAGGCAATAATTTTACCCATCAGCAGTCCCTGGAGTGTGGAATTCTGACTGCACAGACCTGGAATGGGGTGGGAAGATGGGATATTTTAATAAAACAATAAATGGCACTTCTGGGAGACTCCACAGAATGTGGGTTGGGGGGATCCCACCTAAATCTGGGATGCCTCCCTCTGAGCATTCCAGACCCGGATTCACTCCTTCCAGTGGGGAAATTCCAGCCCTGGGAGAGGTGGCCCCTCATCCTGGACACATTTCCTTGGGATGGGAACACTCTGCACTGCTGGTGGTTGGAGCTCAGGGGCTCTCCCTGGATTGGGGCCTTCCCATCTCCCAGCCAAGAGCCCTGTCTGGAAAAAATCTCTGGGAATCAGGGAAAAAGTGGGAGCTGAAGAGCTTCATCCTCCTCTCCCTCCCCCCCTCTGCCCGAGAGGGTCCCCCCACAACAGGGACCCCAAAAGTGTCGATCCTGCCTCGAGTCTGGTGGGATTTTTGGTGTCTTCCAGGGAATTCCGGGAGCTCCGGGGCAGAAGGGAGAGCAAGTAAGTGGGAAAGGATGAGAGGGGGTATCCTGACCTCTCCCAGATTTTTGGCAGCTCCTGGAAGCTCAGCTGGGTGTTTTTAGGGGGGAAAGGGGGTGAAGCCACCCCGGGGCATCCCCTCTGTTCCACTTCCGAGATGGGTTGGGAGGGGTTTTTAAGGGAAGGGATTGGGGTGGGGAAGGAAAAAACCAAGGAGCAGGAAGTTTCCATCACCCACATCCCTCTTTCCTCGCAGGGAAATCCCGGATTTCCAGCTGCTCCAGCCGTGGGGGTAACTATGAGTGGCTTTTTGGGGTTTCAGCTCTGCAGGGTCACCCCTTCCTTTATTCCCAACACTTCCTTTATTCCCAGTCCTTCCTTTGTTCCCAGTCCTTCTTGAATTCCCAATCCTTCTTGTATTCCCAGCCCTTCTCGTATTCCCAACCCTTCTTGTATTCCCAGCCCTTGTATTCCCAGCCCTTCTCATATTCCCAGCCCTTCTTGTATTCCCAACCCTTTTGGTATTCCCAACCCTTCTGATATTCCCAATCCTTCTTGTATTCCCAACTCTTCTCGTATTCCCAGCCCTTCTATTCCCAACCCTTCTTGTATTCCCACTCCTTCTTCTTTTGTATTCCCAGCTTTTCTCCCCTTGTTTTCCCCAGCCTGTGGATCCCACAGGGAATGGTACCAGCACGAGCAGATGATCCAATCACTTCTCCCAGCTCTGACTTGGCTTTCCAGGGAATGTTTAATACCCCTGGGGGGGGAGGTTTTCCAGGTTTTCCACCCATCAGATTTTTCCAGAGAAGCTGCACTGAGGCAAAAAAAAAGGGGAGAAATTCCCCTAGGAATAAAAAAAATCCGGATGATGAAGTCATCGAAGATCATTCCATGTCGGTCACTTTTTTTTTTCCCAAGTAACGAAAGATGGGAAAATTGATTTCCTGATTTCTTGGGATCACCCTCCAGGACTGGGATCAACCCCCAGGGACACCCCTGATGCGTCCTGGGGGCACGTTGGGACCAGCAGGAATTCCCTGTGGGAATTCCCAAAGCTCTGCCTTGGGAGCACCTTCTGTGGATTCCTCTCCCAAACCTCCTCTGGATTTGGGATTTACCTCCTAATCCTTTAGGAATTTTTTGGGGGGCTTGTAGTGGGTTTCCTATCCCATGAATAAGGCTGGAATTCCTTTGCTTGGGAAGAGGGAAGAGGAGCTCCTTATCCCAAATAACGGATCCCATTCCCAGGATTTCTCTTCCCCCCCCCTCAGGTTTTGGGACCTCCAGGCAAGAAAGGCATCAAGGTAAGTTGGTTTTCCCTGGATTAGAAGTGCCTGAAACATCGGGATGTTCACCTGGAAACGGGAATGTTGTACCATGGGATGGGGGGTTAATCCTTATTTCCCTTGGGAATGCTGGGAATGCAGCAATAATCTCATTCCAGGGATGTTTTCCTGCCTTTCCAGCCCTGATCTGTGGGAAAATTCGGGATTTCCACGTGGTTTTTTTTACGAGGGAGACATCCTTGAAGTGCAAATCCAATAATAATAATAATAATAATAATAATAATAATAATAATAATAATAACAATAACAATAATAATAATAATAACAATAACAATAATAATAATACAATAATAAATTAACAACCAATAATACAATAATAATCAATAATATTATTAATAAAATGGAATTATATAATAAGCATATATACCTATGTATATTGTATATTATAATATATATTTATATAACCTGTATTATTATATTAATATATAAATCATATATATTGTTAATAAATTATATAATATATAATTTATAATATAGTATTATATAACATAATATATATACAATAATTCTATATAATGGTATCATATGTATTATATCAGTAATATAATATATAATCTATAATAGATATTACAGGTTATTATAGATTATTGCTGTGATTAATATTATAAATATAATATTTTATAATTTGATATAATAATAGAATATAAATGTTATTATAAATAATATAAGATAATAATATAAGTGATATAATATAAAAATACAATGGATTAGAAAGAATAGAATTTGAGATAATATAATATCAATACATTATATAAATATTATTAAAATAATATAAAGAGAAAAATATATAAATATATTACAAAATCTATAATACAAAAGAATAATATAATATTATAATAAAATAATTATATTCCTGACTAATATAATTATAATTAATGTATAATTATATAGAATTCTAAAATAACTATATAATTATATATTATGTCATTTATTTGATAAACATATAATGGTATTATATATAATTTATATGATATTTTATATGGTAAATATATAATATGATTTACATGATAAACATATAATAGTTTGATTATATTTATTGATAAATATATAATAATTTATGTGGTAAATATATAATATGATTTATATGATAAATAGATAATAGTTAGATTATATTTATTGATAAATATATAATAATTTATATGATAAATAGATAATAATTACTATAAATATATAATATTAAATGCTATATACGATTATTAATAATTAAGATAATTTTTATTATGAATATATAATAACTATAAATATATAATAATAAATTAAAATCAATCTATAATTATTAATAATTGATATAATTTATATGACAAATGTATAATAATTACTATAAATATTTAACAAATTAAAATCAACATATAATTATTAATGAATAGCTTTTATATGATAAATATATAATAATTACTATAAATATATAATAAGTGCAAAGGGAGCCTCTCGAGGAGCTGCAGGACTTGGGGATTGTTGATTTTGGGGTGTTGATTGTTGATTTTGGGGTGTTGATTGTTGATTTTGGGGTGTTGATTGTTGATTTTGGGGTGTTGAAATCATCTCCAGTTTCCATCCCCAGGGAGACTCCGGAGCGCCGGGAATGCCGGGAATGCCGGGACACAAAGGGGACAAGGTGAGGGATTGGAGTTTCCCAATCTTTTGTGGGTGGGATTGTTGGGTGTGGTCAGGGGGGGATTGAACTCTCCCCATCTCCCAGCTCTGAAGGGAGGGAAAAGCTCCCAAATGACAAATATTTGGGATTTTTGCTCCCAGGGAAATCCAGGATTTGGCATTCCTGGTCAGCCGGGGCCGAAGGGAGACACGGGAGACAGGGTGAGTGGGGAGTGGGGGAAAGTGGGAAAGGGAGGGGGGAAATCGGGAGGTCTGGGGACAAAAGCGGGAGGTTTGGGGACGAAATCGGGAGGTTTGGGGACAAAAGGTCTGTTTGTTGACTCCAGGCAGGTGAAAAAATGTGGAAAAGGGAGGATTTAGAGGGAAAATCAGGGGTTTGGAGACAAAATCAGGAGGTTTGGGGACGAAATCAGGAGGTTTGGGGACAAAATCGGGAGGTTTGGGGACAAAATCAGGAGGTCTGGGGATGAAATCAGGAGGTTTGGGGACAAAATCAGGAGGTTTGGGGATGAAATCAGGAGGTTTGGGGACAAAATCAGGAGGTTTGGGGATGAAATCGGGAGGTTTGGGGACAAAATGTCTGTTGTTGACTCCAGGCAGGTGAAAAAGTGTGGGAAAGGGAGGGATAAAGGGGGAAAATTGGGGGTTTGGAGACAAAATCAGGAGGTTTGGGGACAAAATCAGGAGGTTTGGGGATGAAATCGGGAGGTTTGGGGACAAATGTCTGCTTGTCAACTCCAGGCAGGTGAAAAAGTGTGGGAAAAGGGAAGGATAAAGGGGGAAAATTGGGGGTTTGAGGACAAAATCAGGAGGTTTGGGGATGAAATCGGGAGGTTTGGGGACAAAATCAGGAGGTTTGGGGACAAAAGGTCTCTTGTTGACTCTAGGCAGGTAAAAAAATGTGGAAAAGGGAGGGATATGGGGGAAATTCAGGAGGTTTGGGGACAAAATTGGGAGGTTTGGTGATAAAAGGTTGTTTGTTGACTCCAGGCAGGTGAAAAAATGTGGAAAAGGGAGGATTTAGAGGGAAAATCAGGGGGTTAAGAGAGAAAATCAGGACATTTAGGGACAAAATGTCTCTTGTCAACTCCAGGCAGGTGAAAATATGTGGGAAAGGAAAGTTTAGAGACAAAATCAGGAGATTTGGGGACAAAATGTCTGTTGTCAACTCCAGGCAGGTGAAAAAATGTGGGAAAAGGGAGGGATAAAGGGGGAAATCAGGAGATTTAGAGACAAAATCAGGAGATTTGGGGACAAAATGTCTCCTGTCAACTCCAGGCAGGTGAAAAAATGTGGGAAAAGGGAAGGATAAAGGAGCAAATCAGGAGGTTTGGAGACAAAATCAGGAGATTTGGAGACAAAATGTCTCTTGTCGACTCCAGGAAGGTGAAAAATGTGGAAAAGGGATTAGGGGGAAAATCAGGAGGTTTGGAGACAAAATCAGGAGGTTTGGGGACGAAATCAGGAGGTTTGGAGACAAAATCTTCTCGACTTCCATGTCTAAGAAGGTGCAAAATTCTGGTGGCTCCCAGGAGAGTTCCCCGGTGCCTGGGAAGGGTTGGGATGATTCCTTGGTGGGACCTTCACTGGAAACCAGCCCAAATTCACCAAATTTACCCCTTTTTGGGGCTTGTTTTTGGCAGAGGGAGGGAAAGCTCAGAATGGGAGTGGTTTTAAGGAAAGGGGAGGAAGAGGAAAAGGGGGAATTTTGTGTTTGGAGAAGCCCCATTTCCCCCCCTCTCCAGTTTTCCTGCACTGCTGATATTCCAGTTTTTCCAGCTGTGTCCTCCTTGCCCTGTCACTGATGGTTGGTTTGTATTCCTGCAGGGAAATGTGGGGTTGTCAGGAAAACCCGGGCAGAAGGTGAGTCCTGGAGGAATGAAAAGCTTTGTTCCCTGGGGAGGGGCTGGAATGGAATTCCCAGAGAAGCTGTGGATCTCTGGGAGTGTCCAAGGCCTAGGTTGGAGCAACCTGGGAGAGTGGGAGGTGTCAGGGTTGGAACTGGATGAGTTTGAGGTCCCTTCCAACCCAACTCACTCTGGGATGCTGTGATTCCCTGGATTAGGGAGGTAGGGATGGCTCTGGAAAACACCCCAAGGTGGTGTTTGCTCCAGGAATGTCTCCCTGTGCCCATTTCCCACATTTTTGGGAGGGGGAATCTTGGCTGAAGGACTGTTTGGATTTGGGAAAATATTCCAGAGGTTCCAAGGAGCAGAAGATTTTGGGCTGGAGCAGCTGGACCAGAGGAGAGGAGTGAGGGGCACCCAAGGCAGGGAGCACTGGGAAGGGGTTGGAATGTGGGAAGGGGTTGGAATGTGGGAAGGGGAGGCCTGGGGGTCTCTCCTTTAAGCTGGAAACCTTCCCAAGGGAGGTGGAGAACCTCCAAAGCTCCTGCAGGGTCTTCCAAAGAGGATTTTTTGGAGGATCTGGATGGGCTGGATTAGAGAGATGGATCTTTCCAGCCCTCCCTGGCCCAGGGGAGAAGTTCTGAGCCAGGGAGGGGGGAAGGAGCCACGAAATGTGGGGGCTCTGGGAGGCAGCTGGGGGTGACAAACATCTCCTGCTCCCCAGGGGGACGTTGGGCCCAAGGGAGAGAAAGGGGAGCCGGGAGCGCCTGGGAAAGCGGGAGAGGCCGGACTGAGGGGCAGAGATGTGAGTACAGGGGGCTGATTGGGCCTGGCTCAGCCAGGGGCTGACTCCTAATTAGCTCATCAAAGGTCCAGCTCCTCATTAGCTCATGGAGGATCTAACTCCTCATTAGCTCATCCAGGGTCTGACTCCTAATTATGTCATCCAGGCTTTAACTCCTTATTAGCTCATCCAGGGTCTAACTGGTCCTGGGTTCATCCAGCGTCTGACTCCTCATTAGGTCATGGAGGGTCTAATTCCTAATTAGCTCATCCAGGGTCTGAGTCCTAATTAGCTCATCCAGGCTTTAACTCCTTATTAACTCATCCAGGGTCTAACTCCTCATTAGCTTACCCAGGGTCTAACTCCTAATTAGCCCATCCAGGGTCTAACTCCTAATTAGCTGATTGAGGGTCTAACTCCTCATTAGCTCATCCAGGGTCTAACTCCTAATTAAGTCATCCAGGATCTAACTCCTCATTAGCTCATCCAGGGTCTAACTCCTCATTAGCTCATGGAGGGTCTAAGTCCTCATTGGCTCATCCAGGGCCTAACTCCTAATTAGGTCATCACCTCCTCATTAGCTCATCCAGGGTCTAAGTCCTCATTGGCTCATCCAGGGCCTAACTCCTAATTAGGTCATCACCTCCTCATTAGCTCATCCAGGGTCTGACTCCTCATTAGCTGATTGAGGGTCTAACTCCTCATTAGCTCATCCAGGGTCTAACTCCTCATTAGCTCATCCAGGGTCTAACTCCTAATTAGCTTATCCAGGGTCTAACTCCTCATTAGCTTATCCAGGGTCTAACTCCTTGTTAGCTCATCCAGGGTCTAACTCCTCGTTAGCTCATCCAGGGTCTAACTCCTCATTAGGTCCTCAACTCCTCATTAGCTCATCCAGGGTTTAATTCCTAATTAGCTCATCCTGGGTCTAACTCCTAATTAGCTCACTCAGGATCTAACTCCTAATTAGCTCATGGACTTGGAACTGGGGGATCTTCCCAGCCCAAAGCAGCGTGGGATTCTTTGATCCCGTTGTTTTGTTGTTAAATCACGGCTGTCTGAAGGCCTGGCTGTGGATTTTTGGGAATAACAGACCCACAGGAGGTCTCATCTTGGAAGGAATCCATGAGGATCATCCCTGCCTGCTCCTCCCAGCACCTCCTGATAGTTCCTTCTTGTGATCCAACAAGGATCCCCCTGGGAAAAGGGCCACGAGTGGCTCCTGGAAAACTCTCCAGCCACAGCCAGGGAGGACCTTCCTCCAGTCCAGAGGGTTGGGTTATCCCTGGATATCTGGTGGAAAAGGATCCCATGATCAGAGCAGGTGTCCCCTCACAAAAACATCAGGATTAGCCTCTGGAAAATTGGCTTTTTATCCCCAACTTGGCTTTGGAAAACCTCTCCTAACCAAGTCAAGGAAGACCTTTCCTCATTCCAAAGGGCTGGATTATCCCTGGAATAGGAGCATTCCAAGGAAGTCAAAAAAGGCAGCAGCCCAAGTGGTGATTTCCCACAAGAGCTGAGGAGGAAATTAAGATTAAAAGAAAATAAAAATGCCTTTTGTGGGTGGAAATGTGATCCAAGAGCCCCCACCTGCCCCGGGAATCCTGGGAATGCTGCCAGAGGTGGCTTTAAGAGCCCTTGGGGGATTAAATTCCATGAATTTAAAGCCCCCACATCACCCTTTTAACACCCTCAACCCCTCTGGGCAAAGAATTCCACGGGTTAATTAAACAATTTCATGTTTAATTCGCTCCCTGCTCATTTTAATCTCATTTTTTGGGCCTTTAGGTGGGACTGGGAAGGATCCTCCTTTCCAATTTTCCTTCTGCTTTCCCCCTCCAGACCTAAAAGCTGGAACAAAAAGGCCAAAAAAAGAACCCAAACTGCTTTTTTTTCCCCCTTGGGAGATGGTTCTTTATTTTCTGGATAAATCCAAACATTCCTGAAGCTCCCAACAATGGGATTTGTTGGAAATCCCCCCTAAAAATGAACATTTTATCATCCCCTCCACCTTCTTCCTTCATTTATGGGGGAATTATTCATTTATGAGGAATAAAATCCCCCAGGAACATTAAAATTCCCTTCTCTTTTCCAGGGAGAAGCTGGAAAACCAGGAGTGAGGGGAATCAGGGTAATAATGATCACAATTATTGCAATATTTCTGATGATTTTCTTTCCCTGCCATCCCAAGAGGGGAATTTCCTCCTCCACCCCCACTCAGGAACATCCCTGGGAGGGGCAAAGATTTCTCCCCTGGGTGGGTGTGAAGTGAAAAAAATCACTTTTTTCTCCTTTGTTTCTGGTGGTTTTTGCATTTCCAGTGGTTTTTGGATGTCCTGCCCAGGGTTTATTGCTGATTATTTGGGATTTTTTTTTGTCTCCCATTTTTCAGGGCCCTCCTGGATTCCCGGGACGAGCTGGAGAGCGAGGGATGAAAGGAGACCCTGGAAAACCTGGAAAGGATGTAAGGAAATCCCTGGAGCAGCAGCTGGCACAGGGTGGGCCTTGGGATGGGGCAATTCCCAAAGGGAAAATTGGATTTTTTGGGGTTTTTTTGTTAAAAAAAAACAAACAAAACCAAAACAACCCCTCCTACCCTAAAAGGGAATGTTGGGATTTTCCACCTTTTTGTGAAACTGAGGAGAGGAAATTCCCTGAAGAACCCAATCCATGAGGAGGAAGATGATGAGGATAATGAGGATAAAATTAACTCATTCCCAATTAAATCCCAAGGAATTCCTGTGCAGGGCAAATCCAGGGAACTCCAAATTTCCTGAGCTCAGCTTCCCAAAGTCCATCCACCAGATTTCAGCCCAAGGAAAACCCCAGAGGGATCCATCCCAACACTCCATTTCCCTGGGAAAACAGGGAATGAGCTGGCTTGGATTGCTGGAATAACCCCAGTTTATTATTCTGGGAGCTGGGATCACAATCCCTGTGGAAATTCCAGGTGATGGGAATTTTTTCCCTGCTCAGCCCTTGGGAGTCCTGAGCCACGGGATGGATGGGGGGAGCTGTGGGAGCACCAGGAGCTCCCAAATCCCACTTCCAAATCCCACTTCCAAATCCCACATCCAAATCCCACTTCCAAGCTCCCAGGGCCCGGCTTTTCCCGAGGGAAGAGCAGAGTTGTCGCTCCGAGTTATTGGGAAGGAGTGAAATCCAAGGAAAAGCTCCTGGAAAAGGTGTTAATTGAGGATGCCAGCACAGACCAGGACACAGGGAATGCTGGGAATGGCTGAGGGAAAATCCATCATCATCATCACCTGGGAATGGCAGAGGGGATGAGGGACTAATCCATGGCTGCCTCTTCCAGGGGGATCGTGGGAATGACGGATTAAGAGGTGAAAGAGGCCCCCCAGGCCCCAAGGTACGTCCTGGGTGGGAAAAAAACACCCATTCCAAGCTCTCCTGAGCCTTGAAGGGCTTGGGATTGGGATTTCCAAGCAGAGTTCCTTGGGATGGGCTCCCAAAGCCGTGGGGGTGGTGGAGGTGGTTCCCTGGTCCTGCATCTCCACTGGGAGCATTTAGGGGGAAAAACCACGGGTGGGATGGAATTCCCAAGTGTTCAGGGCTGGTTTCTGCCCTTCCTCTCTTCCTGCAACATCAGGAAGGGCTGGGAGGAGAAGTGGCCTCGGGATCCACACAGATCCAGGGAGCTGGAGGGGTGGGACAAACTCATTCCCAAAAAAACAGGGGAAAATGCTGTGGGAAGAGGGTTCAGGTGGATCTTCTGATGGGCACGAGATCCGGGGCTTGGGAATGCAGGGCTTGTCCCATGGGCTGTGCCTCAGACATTCCCAGTTCAGCCAGTCCATTCCCAGTTCAGCCAGGCCTTTCCCAGTTCAGCCAGGCCATTCCCAGTTCAGCCAGTCTCTCCAGTTCACCCAGTCCATCCCAGTTCAGCCAGGCCATTCCCAGTTCCCCAGGCCTTCCCAGTTCCCCTCTGGCCCGGACCCCCAGTCCCGGCAGGGCCTCCCCAGTGCCCATCCCTGCCCCTCAATCCGTCCTTCCCGAGCTCCCATTCCTGGGAAATGAAGCCCCTCAGAGAGGCAGCTCTGCCCCCAACTCCCCCCTGGGACCTCCCATCCATCCCATCCTATCCCATTTATCCCATCCCATCCCATCCATCCTATCCCATCCCATTCCATTCATCCCATCCCATCCATCCCATCCCATTCCATTCATCCCATCCCATCCCATCCCATCCCATCCCATCCCATCCCATCCCATCCCATCCCATCCCATTCATCCCATCCCACTCCCATCCACCCATCCTATCCTATCATCTCATCCCATTCCATCCACCCCATCCTATCCCATCCCATTCATCCCATCCCATCCCATCCCATCCCATTCATCCCATCCATCCAATCCCATCCCATCCCATCCCATTCATCCAACCCCATCCACCCCATCCTATCCTATCCTATCCCATCCATCCTATCCCATCCTATCCCATCCCATCCCATCCCATCCCATTTATCCCATCCCATCCCTCCCTGGTTCCCATCTCTGCCCCTCAATCCGTCCTTCCCGAGCCCCCATTCCCGGGAAATGAAGCCCCTCAGAGAGGCAGCTCCACCCCCACCTCCCCCCATGAGACCTCCCAGCCTGGACCTCCCAATCCACTGAAATTCCACGACCCAAAATCCCAAAATCCCTCCCCTGGAGGGTCACCAGGGTTAGGAGGTGGCTGATGGACAATCCCCCCCCTCTGAGCTGACAGGGATTTCTCCAGGGTTATCCCATGGGCTGGGAGCAGAGGAAAGACCAGATGTGGGATTATTCCCGTTCCTCAGGGCTCTCCTTCTCGCTCCTCACGGAGATAACGACTTAATTAACGAGCTGATCTCGTTCCTTTGAAGGGAGAACCTGGAGCACCAGGCAGAGGAGTGGAAATGAAGGTAAATGAACCCAAAATTAGGGAAACACCTCCCTGTTTGGGGTCGGGGTGGCAGAGGGGACCCAGTGCCCTCAGGACACCCCCAGGACCCCCTGCCTGGGCTGGAGGGGAGAGGGGGAGAACTTCTGACCCTTCTTTGCTCTTCCAGGACCTGGAGAGGCTCTTGGAAGGCCACGGGATCAAGGTGGGTGATGCTTTGACCTTCCTGCCGAGGGGATTGGAACTGAGATTTTCCATCTGTCCCCTGGACATGCCATGGGGACACTGCCAGGGATCCAGGGGCAGCCACAGCTTCTCTGGGAAATCCATTCCAATCCCTCCCCACCCTCCCAGCCAGGAATCCCTTCCCAAAATCCCACCTAAATCCCCTTAAACCCCTTCCCCCTTGTCCTGCCACCACCATCTGCCTGTGTGAAAAAACCAAAATCCCTCTCCCTGTTTTTTTTATCAAGATCCCTTGAAATCCTGGAAAGCTTCAAACACTTGGGAATGTCCTTTAGGGTGGGCAGAAACACCCCCTGAGCTCCACCAGCAGCTCAGTTTGACCCCTGGGTGCCCACCATGAACCCCTGGAGATTCATCAGCCCCGTTTTGGGGTGGCTGTCCCAGCATGGGGATGTGAGAGGAGCGGGAGGGTGGCTCTTCCTGGGCCTTACTGATGTGTACTGGTGTGTACTGATGTGTACTGGTGTGCCCAGCTGGCCCTGCTGAGGGCACTGTGCCAGGAGCTCCAGCGGCGCGGCCCGGCCGGGCTGGGGTGGCAGCCGGGGACGAGTCACAGCTCTGGGGACAACCACGCGGTGAGTGACGTCATCTGCCACCCTCGGGGACAGGCAGAGCCCCCAGGGACGGGAAGGGGGCGTTGGGGGCGTCGGGGTCACCTCTGTCGTCGGGAGGTCCAGGGGATGGTGGTGCTTGGAGATGGAGCTGCTCCAATCCAACCCCCTGCAAGGGGCTGGGACACCTTCCAGGCTGCTCCTTGGACACTCCCAGGGATCCAGGGGCAGCCACAGCTTCTCTGGGAAATCCAGTCCAGCCCCTCCCCACCCTCCCAGCCAGCAATTCCTTCCCAATCTCCCATCTGTCCCTGCCCTCTGGCACTGGGAAGCCATTCCCTGTGTCCTGTCCCTCCATCCCTTGTCCCCAGTCCCTCTCCAGCTCTCCTGGAGCCCCTTCAGACCCTGCAAGGGGCTCTGAGGGCTCTATGGCCCTGTTTGGAACTGGAATTTGGGGGTGGGCTGTGCCAGGAGCATCCAGAGCTTTGTTTTCCCTCCTGGATGCCCCATTTCCCTTGGCTGGGAATGGTTCAGCTGGAGAGAGACCTGGAAGCACCGAGGGTGGAACCCAGGAAATCCCTCCCAGCCCAGAATCCCTTCCACACCATCCCACCTAAACCTCTCCCCTTTCACTTTAACCCCCTTGGGACAGTTTTGCTGGAAGACACTCCTGGTTGGCACCGGGATTTGGGATCTTCAGTTCCAGGGGGAGTTGGGGTGGGTGGGACTGCAAAACACCCTGTTTTTCCACAGGAATGAAGGAATTTGGTGGTTTCTTTCTGGCCTTGCAGGATCTCCTGGTGCTGGATCCTTCTCCTGGTGTCCTGGGCAGCCCTGAGGGGACAGGAGAAGGCCAGAGCCTGGAGCTGGAGCCCGTGGAGTCACCAGGGTCTGGAGGACTCCCCAGGGTGAGGAACAGATGAAGGTTTGAGGTCCCCCAGTTCAGGGAGACACTGAGGGCAGGGAAGGGAGCTGGGAAGGGTGTGGAGAACTCCTGAGGGAGCTGGGGGGGCTCATCCTGGAGAAAAGGAGGCTCAGGGGGGACCTTCTGGCTCTGCAAGTCCCTGCCAGGAGGGGGGAGCCGGGGGGGTTCGGGCTCTGCTCCCAGGGAACAGGGACAGGAGGAGAGAGAACGGCCTCAAGCTGTGCCAGGGGAAGTTCAAATTGGATTTTAGGGAAAATTTCCTCATGGAAAGGGTGGTGAGGCCTTGGCAGGGGCTGCCCAGGGAGGTTTGGAGTGCCCAGCCCTGGAGGTGTCCAAGGAAGACCTGGTTGTGGCACTCAGTGCTCTGGGCTGGGGGACAAGGTGGGGATGGGGCACAGGGTGGATCCATGGGCTGGGAGGGCTTTTCCAACCTCAGGGATCCTGGGAATTGTCTCTGCTGCCCTGGCAGGGAAGGATCTGATGCTGCTGTGAGGATGGATTGAGATTGTCCAGCAGAGGAGTCCATGGTGGGACTGCCAAGAGCTCCAGGAGCGCTCAGGGCCAGGGTGGGATCGTTGGGGGTCCCTTCCATCCGGGTATATTCCATGATTCCAGACTAATTCCCAGGGATAATCAACTCACCTGCAGCTGCAGTGAGGAATAATCAAGTCCCCTGCAGTTGTGATTAACAGCTCATGTTTCTGGGAATTGGGAATTTATTGGCCTTGTTAAGGCTCCATCTCCCTGCTGGACCCCAATTCCAGGGTGGTCCAGGAGTGGCTGTATCCAGGTCACCTCCCAGAGCTCCAGGAGGATCCCCATGGATCTCCATCCAGGAGGACCTTCATGGATCTTAACCCATCCCTTCCAGCCAAGCCTGACGAGAAATATCCCAAAAAACAGCCCCTGGAGCTCCAAGGGGGGGGGAATTTTCTCATCCTCTTTTCAGGGCATTCAAGCCTTGGCTGACCCTCCAAAAAACCCTTGGAGGTCCCTGGTGGGAGATGTTGGGTCTCCAACTGGAGATCAAGAGCTTGTGGAATATTTGGGAGCCGGGGATGTTTGGAGGCACCTCCTGATGGTTCATCTCCCTCCTCCCACTATCCCAGGTTATTCCAAACCCCATCCCAGCCTGACCTGGGACAACTTCCAAGGAGGAGGACCTTTTAAACCTTTCCACAACCCAACAGATGGGTTAGAAATGCGTTAAAAAAATCCATCCCCTCGTGTCAAAAGATTTTAATTACAGGTTAATTAAGCAGGTGGTTGATGTGTAGAATCCAGAAATCTCATTTTTAAGGGATTTGGGAAAGGAGAAAGGGAAGGCAGTAATTTCACCTTGGTCTCCACAGGGTCCTCCTGCTGGTGGTTCTGACCCCCCTGGGTACCAATTCCCGGGAAACCCTCTGGAATCCTTGGAGAAAACACCCAGGGAAAGGCAGAGGGAGAGGGACTCAGGAGGGACAAACTCCTCCCTCCTCAGGGTAAGTAAATCCCCCATCAGGGACTTGGAATTCCTCCTCCATTTTGTGCTGATTTGTTGGGAAGCGAAGGAGTTTTGTGGGAATTTCGCCGCAGGGATTTTGATTGGAATTTCTGATTTTCCTGCTGGAGCTGGGGAAGGGATGAGGATCTGTGTGCATGGATCAGTGGCAGAGCTCGGGAATGGCCCCTCTGCTCTGGGAATGATTGGAATTGTGGTGTCACTTGTCACCCTCTGCAGGGCTCGGCGGTGCCTCCACAATTCCCAGAGGAGGAGCTGCCAGGAAACCAATCCATGGAAATTCCTGAGGACTGGGAGGAGCCACGGCAGGACCTCAGCCAGGTGTGTGATCCCCGGGAATCCTGGGCAGTGTGGAGATCTGGGAGGGACTGGGATGGATGTTGGATCCTGGGGGAGCTTCCAACACATCCCTGGAGGACACCAAGAGCTCAGAGATGGAGGGATTAGGATGGATCTGAGCTCAACAATCCCTGGAGGACCCCAGGGCTCAGAGATGGAGGGACAGGGATGGATGTTGGGTCCTGAAAGAGCTCCCAACACATCCCTGGAGGACACCAGGGCTCAACCAGGGAGGGGTTGGGATGGACACTGAGCCCAACAATCCCTGGAGGACCCCAGGGCTCAACCAGGAAGGGATTGGGATGGACACTGAGCCCAACAATCCCTGGAGGACCCCAGGGCTCAGCCAGGAAGGGATTGGGATGGACACTGAGCCCAACAATCCGTGGAGGACCCCAGGGCTCAGAGATGGAGGGACAGGGATGGATGTTGAATCCTTGGGGAGCTTCCAACACATTCCTGGAGGACACCAGAGCTCAGACATGGAGGGACAGGGATGGATCTGAGCCCAACAATCCCTGGAGGTCACCAGGGCTCAGCCAGGGAGGGACTGGGATGGATGTTGAATCCTTGGGGAGCTTCCAACAATCCCTGGAGGACCCCAGGGCTCAGAGATGGAGGGACAGAGATGGATGTTGGGTCCTGAAAGAGCTCCCAACACATCCCTGGAGGACACCAGAGCTCAGAGATGGAGGGATTAGGATGGATCTGAGCTCAACAATCCCTGGAGGACACCAGGGCTCAGCCAGGAAGGGACTGGGATGGATGTTGAATCCTGGGGGAGCTTCCAACACATCCCTGGAGGACACCAAGGCTCAGAGATGGAGGGACAGAGATGGATGTTGGATCCTGAAGAGCTCCAACATATCCCTGGAGGACACCAGAGCTCAGACATGGAGGAACAGGGATGGATCTGAGCCCAACATTCCCTGGAGGTCACCAGGGCTCAGCCAGGGAGGGACTGGGATGGATGTTGAATCCTTGGGGAGCTTCCAACACATCCCTGGAGGACCCCAGGGCTCAGACATGGAGGGACTGGAATGGATGTTGGATCCTGGGGGAGCTTCCAACAGATCCCTGGAGGACCCCAGGGCTCAGAGATGGAATGATTGGGATGGACACTGAGCCCAACAATCCCTGGAGGACCCCAGGGTTCAGCCAGGGAGGGACTGGGATGGATGTTGGGTCCTGAAAGAGCTTCCAACACATCCCAGGGAGACATCAGGGTTCGGAAACGGAGGGGTTGGGATGGATCTGAGCCCAACAATCCCTGGAGGACACCAGGGCTCAGAGATGGAGGGACTGGGATGGATGTTGGATCCTGGGGGAGCTTCCAACAGATCCCTGGAGGACCCCAGGGCTCAGAGATGGAATGATTGGGATGGACACTGAGCCCAACAATCCCTGGAGGAACCCAGGGCTCAGAGATGGAGGGACAGAGATGGATGTTGGGTCCTGAAAGAGCTTCCAACATATCCCTGGAGGACACCAGAGCTCAGACATGGAGGAACAGGGATGGATCTGAGCCCAACAATCCCTGGAGGTCACCAGGGCTCAGCCAGGGAGGGACTGGGATGGATGTTGAATCCTTGGGGAGCTTCCAACACATTCCTGGAGGACCCCAGGGCTCAGAGATGGAGGGACAGAGATGGATGTTGGGTCCTGAAAGAGCTTCCAACACATCCCAGGAGGACACCAGAGCTCAGACATGGAGGAACAGGGATGGATCTGAGCCCAACAATCCCTGGAGGTACCCAGAGCTCAGCCAGGGAGGGACTGGGATGGATGTTGGATCCTGGGGAAGATTCCAGCACATCCCAGGAGGACCCCAGGGCTCAGAGATGGAATGATTGGGATGGACCTGAGCCCAACAATCCCTGGAGGAACCCAGGGCTCAGCCAGGGAGGGATTGGGATGGACACTGAGCCCAACAATCCCTGGAGGACCCCAGGGCTCAGAGATGGAGGGACAGGGATGGAGACTGAGCCACATGTATTTATATTATGAATATATTTTAATAGAAATACATAATAAATAAAGGATGGTGTAAATGCTAATTAATAATAATGTTGGTTTAATGTTAATAAGGTTGATAATATGACAATAAATAGGCAATAAATATAAATATTAAATATATATTTATTATTAAAATATATCATTAAAATATAAATATATAATATATGTATTATATACACTCTATATACTATATAAAAATATAATAAATGAAATATGTATTATACTAAAAATACGTGTATAAAATTATTTTTAGAAACGATTTTTATATTTTATATGTATTTATATTATGAGTAAATTTTAATATAAATACATAATAAATAAATGATGGTGTAAATGCTAAATAATATTAATGTTGATTTAATGTTAATTTGACATTATTTATAGAAACATTTTTATTTCATTAATACATTTTAATATAAATACATAAATAAATAATTGAATTGTAAATAATGTTAATATATGGTTGTGATAATTAATGTTAACGTGTTGTTATTAATTATTTAATATTATTTTAATATTATTCAATAATAATATAATTAATAATAATTAATAATATAATTAATAATAAAATTTTTATAATGCTAACATTGATAATATTATAGTAAACATTATTTATAGAAGCATTTTGACATTTTATATTTTTATCTCATTAATACATTTTAATAGGAATATATACTATGTAATTATATAATATATAAATAGCTATAATATATAATATATATAATATATATTAATGGGGTTAATATTAATATTAATGTTGATTTCATGTTAATAATGTTAATCTTGCTAATATTATAAGAAACATTATTTATAGAAACCTTTTTATATTTAGATCATGAATGCATTTTAATACATTTAATACATTTTAATATAATTACATACATAATAAAGAAAGAAATTGTTAATTTTAATGGTTTAATATTAATTCATATTAATATTCTTTTACTGTTAATGGTGATAATAAAAATAATAATTAGACATTATTTACAGACATGTGTATATTAAAAAGTTTATATAATTAATGCATTTAATATTAATACATAAATAATAATGAAATAAATTGTTCATTTTATTGGTCTTAATATTAGTTAATATTATATTGTTTTACTGTTAACGTTGATAGTATCAATAATAAGCATTATTTGTAGAGACATTTCTATATTTCATATATTTATATCATGAATACATTTTAATATAAACACATATAAATAAGTACTACTTTATTAAATATTAGTAATTAATAATTATTATTAATACCAATTTAAGGTAATATTGTTAATATTAGTAACAAATATAATTTCTGTTGATAAATTTCTCTCTATTTATTTTCTGTATTTCCCATCCCATCCCACCCCTGATGGAATCTCGGCTGCTCCGTCATTCCCGCAGGCAATCCGGGATTCCGGGCCCGGCTCGGCATTCCCAAGGGGCGGCCGATCCCGAAGATCTCCCGGGGCTCCCATCCCATTTCCCACCTGGGGGGAAGGGCAGGACCATCCAGGGGATCCCGTGGGAATCTCCTGGCCTGGCCTGGTGGCTCCGGCCCCCATCCCGATCCCGATCCGTCCTCCTGGAGCTGCCGGAGCCGGGGAATTGTCCTGGGGATCCAGGGTGAGTGGGGGATAAATCCCAGATATCCATCCATCCATCCATCCATCCATATCCATTTTTCCATCCCATAGCATCCCAAATATCTATCCCATCCCATCCCATCCCATCCCATCCCATCAGTCCCATCCCATCCCATCCTATCACATCTGTCCCATCCCATCCCTTCCCATCCATCCCATCCCATCTGTCCCATCCCATCCATCCCATCCCATCCCATTTTTATCCCATCCCATCCCACCCCATCCCATCCCATTTTTATCCCATCCCATCCCATCCCGTCCCATCCCGTCCCATCCCATCCCATCCCATCCCATCCCATCCTCCATCCCATCCCATCCCATCCCATCCCATCCCATCCCATTTTACTCCCATCCCATCCCATCCCATCCCATCCCTTTTTCCCATCCCATCCCTTTTTCCCATCCCATCCCGGTGTTTCCGTTGCAGATGGATGGAAGTGGCCCCGCCCCTCCCCCATCCCGGGGTCCAAAGGTCAGTGCTTTGCTTCCACAATTATTGTCAATGATCAATTTACACCCTTGGAAACTGAGGAGAAAGAGACATGCATAGAAATATTGGAAAAATTAAAAATTGAGTGGAAATCGAAACATGGGATAAATGGAACTTTATAGAAATATATGGTAAATATAGAAATATAAAATAATAGAGATATTATAGAAATTATAAAATAAAAATAGAGAGAGAAATATAAAATATATAGAAATCTTTTATAAATGGAAATATGTAAGAACTAGAAATATGGGATAAATATAAATTTATACAAATATAGGATTAATAGAAATATATGGTGAATAGAAATTTATACAAATGTGAGATAAACAGGAATAGTGGATAAATAGAAATATAGGAAATTTAGAAATACAGGAGAAATAGAAATGTATACAAATACAGGAGAAATAGAATTATAGGATAAATAGAAATCTATAATAAATAGGAATTTATATAAATGTGTGGTAAATAAAATTATAGGAGAAATAGAAATCTGTAATAAATAGAAATATGGGCTAATTATAAATGTATACAATTATAGGATAAGTAGAGATATGAGCTGAATAGAATTTTTTTAATAAATATCTGGTAAATAGAAATGTAAGAGAAATAGAAATATGGGAAATATAGAAATTTATAGAAATATTGGATAAATAGAAATTTATAGAAATATAGGAAAAATAGAAATATAGGATACATAGAACTTTATATAAATAGAGGATAAATAGAAATATAGAATAAAGAGATATTTATACAAATATAGAATCAATGAAAATATATGATAAATTGAAATATAGAACACATAGGACTTTATATAAATATAGGGTAAATAGAAATATAGGAGAAATAGAAATCTATAATAAATAGAAATATAGGGGAAATATAAATTTATAGAAGTAAAGGGTAAGTAGAGATATAGGATGAATAGAAATTTATATAAATATATGGTAAATAGAAATATAGGAGAAATAGAAATCCATAATAAATAGAAATATAGGTAAATATAAATTTGTACAAATATTGGATAAATAGAATTCTAGGAGAAATAGATATTTATATAAATATATTATCAATAGAAATCTGTAATAAATAGAAATATGAATCTAGGATAAATAGAAATGTATGATAAATAGGAATATATAATAAATAGAAATATGGGATTAATAGAAATTTATATAACTATGGTAAATTAAAATATATTGTAAATAGAAATATAAAAATATATGGTACATATAAATTCATATAAATATGTGATAAATAGAAATACAGGATAAATATAAATTCATATAATTATGGGATAAATAGAAATCTGTTAAAAATGGAAATATATAATAAATAGAAATATGGGGTAAATAGAAATGTATATACATATATGGTAAATAAAATATATTGTAAAGATAAATATATATTAAATATAAATATATGATACATATAAATTCCTATAAATATGTGATACATAGAAATCTCTTATAAGTAGAAATATATAATAAATAGAAATATGGGATAACTAGAAATTGATATAAATATCTTGTAAATAGAAATATGTAATAGATATAAATATAGGATAAATATAGTTTCCTATAACTATATGATAATTAGAAATAGATAATAAATATAAATATATTTATACATTTCTCAAAATATGTGATAAATAGAAATATAAATGGCAATATCTAAGAAATAGAAATATGGGATAAACCTACATTTATACAAATCTAGGACAAATATAAATACATAATAAATAGAAACACAGGATAAATATAAATATATGTTAAATATAAATTCATATAAATATGTGAGAAATAGAAATCTGTTATAAATGGAATTATCTAATAAATAGAAATATGGGATAAACTTAAATGTATACAAATATAGGTCAAATGTAAATATGTGATCAATAGAAATATATCATAAATATCAATATAGGATAAATATAAATTTATATAAATATGTGAGAAATAGAAATATAAATGGAAATATATAATAAATAGAAATACGGGATAAATAGAAATGTCTATAAATATCTGGTAAATAAAAATATATTGTGAAGAGAAATATATCATAAATATCAATATAGGATACATATAAATTCTTATAAATATGTGATACATGGAAATCTAAGTAGAAATATATAATAAATAGAGATATGGGATAAATAGAAATTGATATAAATATCTTGTAAATAGAAATATGTAATAAATATAAATATAGGACAAATATAGTTTCATATAATTATATGATAATTAGAAATATATAATAAATATATGATATTTATAAATTTCTAGAAATATGTGATAAATAGAAATATAAATAGAAATATTTAATAAATAGAAATGTGGGATAAACCTACATTTATACAAATCTAGGACAAATATAAATACGTAATAAATAGAAATATGGGATAAATATAAATATATGATAAATATAAATTTATATAAATATGTGAGAAATAGAAATCTATTATAAGTGGAATTATCTAATAAATAGAAATATGGGATAAACTTAAATGTATACAAATATAGGTCAAATGTAAATATGTGAGAAATAGAAATATATGATAAATAGAAATATATGATAAATATAAATTCATATAAATATGTGATCAATAGAAATATAAATGGGAATATATAATAAATAGAAATATGGGATAAATAGAAATTGACTATAAATATCTGGTAAATAAAAATATATTGTGAAGAGAAATATATATCAAATATAAATATATGATACATATAAACTCCTATAAATATGTGATAAATAGAAATCTATTAAAAATGGAAGTAGATAACAAATAGAGATATGGGATAACTAGAAATTGATATAAATATCTTGTAAATAGAAATATGTAATAGATATAAATATAGGATAAATATAGTTTCCTATAACTATATGATAATTAGAAATAGATAATAAAAAGAAATATGATATATAAATTTCTAGAAATATGTGATAAATAGAAATATAAATGGTAATATCTAAGAAATAGAAATATGGGATAAACCTACATTTATACAAATCTAGGACAAATATAAATACATAATAAATAGAAATATGGGATAAATATAAATATATGTTAAATATAAATTCATATAAATATGTGAGAAATAGAAATATATAATAAATGGAATTATCTAATAAATAGAAATATGGGATAAACAGAAATATGGGATAAACCTACATTTATACAAATCTCAGGCATATATAAATGGGGCACATCCCAAATCCGGGAATGAGGCCGGTGGGATCCAGGGATTCCTCTGTTTTCCCACAAAACTGGGAGAGGGAGGGGAAGGAAAGATTCCTCTGGGAATGCTTGTTTTCCAGGGAGAAATGGGAGCTCCTGGAATGCGGGGAGACAAAGGAGAGAAGGTAGGGATGGAGCTTTTCCCGGGATTCCCTGTGCTGGGAAGGCTCTGGAAAAGGCTGGAATGTCCTGATGGTGGAGGGGATGTGTCAATGGACACTGGGATTGCCACATTCCCAACTTTTATTCCTGCACCTCTTCCCAATCCTGAAGGTTGGATCGATCCCCTTGGAGGGAGGGAAGGAGGGAAAGGGAAGGAGGGAAGGAAGAAGGGAAAGGGAAGGAGGAAAGGAAGGAGGGAAAGGGAAGGAGGGAGGGACAAGAATTTTCCGGAATAAGAACCGGATTTTGCCTGGCAGGGCCAGCCTGGAGAGGTGGGAGAATCCGGATTAAAGGTGAGTTCTGGGATTGCCATCCCGACATTCCCAACCCAGGGGGCCCCAATTCCAGCACTGGGATTGTCGCCACAGGAAAGCTCAAATTCCCTGGGTTTCCTACCCCTGGAGCTCCATCCCTTTCCCGGGAATCCTGTGGCTCTGGGTGGGGACAGAGTCCCGGGTGGTGATTCCTGCTTTTTTTCCCAGGGCTCCAGAGGGGACCGAGGGGAAGGAGGTCGGAAGGTAAAGGATGGAGTTGGAGCCACAGGGACGGCTCTTCTCTTGGGAACTTCCCTCCTGCTCTCCTTTCCCATATCCTGTTTTTCCCTCCTCTCCTTTTCCCACATCCCTCTTTTCCCACTCCTTTTCCCATGTTCCTTTTTCCCTCCTCTCCTTTCCCTGTATCCCTTTGTTTCCCCCTCTCCTTTTCCCACATCCCTCTTTTCCCCCTCCTTTTCCCACATCCCTCTTTTCCCTCTCCTTTTCCCACATCCCTCTTTTCCCCCTCATTTTCCCACATCCCTCTTTTCCCCCTCCTTTTCCCATGTCCCTTTTTCCCCCTCCTTTTCCCATGTTCCTTTTTCCCTCCTCTCCTTTTCCCACATCCCTTTTTCCCTTCTCTCCTTTTCCCACATCCCTTTTTCCCTCCTCTCCTTTTCCCACATCCCTCTTTTCCCCCTCCTTTTCCCATGTCCCTTTTTCCCTCCTCTCCTTTTCCCACATCCTTTTTCCCTCCTCTCCTTTTCCCACATCCTTTTTCCCTCCTCTCCTTTTCCCATATCCCTTTTTTCCCCCTCCTTTTCCCACATCCCTTTTTTCCTCCCCTCATTTTCCCACATCCCTTTTTCCCTCTCCTTTTCCCACATCCCTTTTTCCCTCCTCTCATTTTCCCATATCCCTTTTATCCCCCTCATCCCGTGTCCAGGTGACCTCCTGAGCTGAGGGCACTGTGGGATCCCTCGGGATCAGCTCTGGAATTCTCATTTCCTTGGGATGACCCCACAGTGGAAGGACTAATCCTGATTTTTTTTTTCCTTGCCTTTTTTCCACAGGGAGAACCCGGAATTGGGTTCAGAGGTCCTGTAGGTCAGGCTGGACCACCTGGATTTAAGGTGGGAAGTTCTTCTCTTCCAGGTGGGATCTCACTTGGAGTGGGTTTTTTTTGGGATTTGTCTCTTTAATCTTTGTTTTCCACTGCTGGGAACACCATTCCATGGGCTTGGGATACAGGGAATGCTCTGTGTCCTCCAAAGGACCACTTCAAAGCAGTGAAAGTCCTGAGGATAAGGATCATGGAATCAGGGAATGGTTTGGGCTGGAAGGGACATTTCGAGGTTGTCAATGAGCAGGAAAATCCTCAGCTGGAAAAAAGAGCCAGGGAATTGTGGGCTCAGCAGAAATGAGTTCCAGAGATCCCTTGGGATGTTAAAGATCTGCAGGGTTTGGATTCCCCTCTGAAGGTCTGCAGGGTTTGGGTTCTCCTCTGCAGGGTTTGGGTTCTCCTGAAAGTTCAGGGTTTGGATTCTTCTCTGAAGATTTGGAGGGTTTGGGTTCTCCTGAAGGTCCGCAGGGTTTGGGTTTGGGTTCTCCTGAAGGTCTGCAGGTTTTGGGTTCTCCTCTTCAGGGTTTGGGTTCTCCTGAAGAAAGAAAGGGAAAGGGAAAGGGAAAATGAAAGGGAAAGGTTTGGATTCCCCTGAAGGTCTTCAGGGTTTGGGTTCTCCTGAAGGTCCCAGGGTTTGGGTTCTCTGGAAGGTCTGCAGGGTTTGGATTTTCCTGAATTTCTGCAGGGTTTGGGTTCTCCTGAAGGTCTCGAGGGTTTGGATTCCCCTCTGAAGGTCTCGAGGGTTTGGGTTCCCCTCTGAAGGTCTCGAGGGTTTGGATTCCCCTCTGAAGGTCTCGAGGGTTTGGGTTCCCCTCTGAAGGTTTTGGGGGTTTGGGTTCCCCTCTGAAGGTCCACAGGGTTTGAGTCCTCCTTCTGGGCCAAGACCAGAAGGGTTGTCCCAAAGTGATGTCACATGAACTCAAGGAGACCCCCCAGCCTCCTCCAGGACCTTTAGAGGGACACTTAACCCCACCTAATCCCCAAATTCCTCGGGAATTCTCTCCACAGGGTGAGCCGGGAGCGCCGGGACCTCCAGGAGCTCAGGGCATCCAGGGCATCCGTGGCACCGCCGGAATTCCCGGATCCCAGGGGGACAGGGGGGCTCCAGGATTGCCTGGAATGCCGGGACAGAAGGTGAGGGGACACCACGGGCTGTGTTTGTCACCTCAGGGGGGTGACAGTGGCCCTGCTGAGATCGTCCCCTCCAGGCTGAGCCCTCCCTTATCCAGCTCTCCAGACCCTGAATCCATAAAAAGTGAGGAAAAACGGGAATAAATCCTTGGAAAAGGTGTCGACTGGATGACGTAAAGGGAATAAAAGCCAAAATTAAGGCCAAAAAAAGTTCTCCAGGGGGATGTCCCTCAAGATAAAAACACCCCAAATCAGTGGAGCTCCAAATGAATCCTTGGGTTTCATCTTTTCAATTTAATTATCCATTTACCCTCCTTGAAATTGAATTAATTACGTGGGGTTGGGAGCAGGAACCCTCAGGGACAGAGGGAGCGATGGATGAGTCTCGTTTTTGGGGGATGGGGGGACATGGAGGTTCCTGAGCTGAAGGTTGGGGTGCAGCTGGAATTCCATCTTTTCAAGGGATCCTCGTTCTTGGGGGGACATCCCAGAGCACTTTGATCTGCTTTTTATCTCCTTTTTATCTGCTTTTTATCTACCTGAGGGAAAACAGGACCTTTCCCACCGGTGTCTTCTCCTCTCACAGAGGGAGCGATGGATGAGTCTCGTTTTAGGGGATGGGGGGGGACAAGGACGTTCCTGAGCTGAAGGTCAGGGTGAAGCTGGAATTCTGCACCCTGGAAATCCTTGGGGGGAGGGACCCCCCAGAGCACTTTGATCTGCTTTTTATCTGCTTTTTATCTTCCTGGGATAAAACAGGACCTTTCCCACCGGTGTCTTCTCCTCTCCAAGGGGTTTCTCCTCTCACAGAGGGAGCGATGGATGAATCTTGAATTCCCTTTCCTCGAGGGACCCTCCTGATTGGGGGGACCCCCCAGATCACTTTGATCTGCCTGGGATAAAGCAGGACCTTTCCCTCCTCTCCAAGGGCTCTCATTTTCCAGGGGGAACGCGGCAGGAGAGGCCGGAATGGAGCGCCGGGGCCCGTGGGAGCATCCGGAGCACCGGGAAAAGAGGTGAATTTTGGGATGTCCATCCTGGTGGGTGCTTGGGGGGAGAAGTTTTGAGGCCATCCAGTGTCCTGCTTGGGTGTCCTTTCATCCCCTTGGGAGGACTGGGATGGGAAGGGATTGAAGTTTTCATCTTGCTGGTAATAAATCTTATTTTCCCCAATCAGCTCTCTTTTGTCTGCATAAACCTTCTCTCAATTTACAGTAATTGTGGGGGTGGGGGGTGAGAAAAATTGACCCACAGCAAACCCACCCCAGTGACAAGGAGCTGGTAACAAAGCCAAGGAGAAAATTCCCAGTTATCTCCCAAACATTCCCAAAGTAGAGATCAGGGCTGAGAATCCTGGGAAGGAGAAGGTGAGTTAGGGAAAAAAAACCCTCCCGAAATCCATTTTGGAAGCATCTGCACTTAAACATCAGTGAGAATTTCTGGTTTCTCTCATATATTGTAAATTCACTGCAACCTTTGAGGCTCTTGGATCCAGATCCATGGGGAATTGTGGATGTTTGAGGCTCTTGGATCCAGATCCATGGGGAATTGTGGATGTTTGTGACGAACTGTTACTCCTCCTGAACTGATCCAAAGGGGGAGGGGCATTTTCTGTAAATACATAGCACTTTCACCTGATTAGAATTGTTGTAGATGCAACTCTTTAGTTTTCATCTTGCTGGTAATAAATCCTAAGATTATTTTCCCCAATCAGCTCTCTTTTGTCTGCATAAACCTTCTCTCAATTTACAGTAACTTTTTTTTGGGGGGGGGAAGAAAAAATTGACCCACGACACAAACCCACCCCAGTGACAAGGAGCTGGTAACAAAGCCAAGGAGAAAATTCCCAGTTATCTCCCAAACATTCCCAAAGTAGAGATCAGGGCTGAGAATCCTGGGAAGGAGAAGGTGAGTTAGGAAAAAAACCCTCCCCAAATCCATTTTGGAAGCATCTGCACTTAAACATCAGTGAGAATTTCTGGTTTCTCTCATATATTGTAAATTTACTGCAACAACCCCCCAGGAAAGTCCTCCTGTTTTCCTTGTCCTTATCCCACAGGGAATTCCCGGCGTTCCCGGAGCCAAAGGCAACAAGGTGGGTGCCAAACCTTGGAATGGGACATCCCATCAACTCCTTATCCCTGTCCCCATCCAGCCATTCCACCCCCAGGTCACCTTTATATCCTTCTCCGTTGGGAAATCCATGGATTTCAGGCTCCCTGACTCCCAAACTCCTCGGGAATTCTGGGATTGGGCTGTCCCTGCTCCCAGGGGTGACCTGAGGGGGGGAATTCTCTGCTCCACAGGGAGAAAGCGGCGTTGGAGCCTCCGGCCCGAGAGGTCCCCGTGGAATTCCTGGCCCTCGGGTAAGTTCATCCAGGAAAATTCCTGGCTTGACTTCCAGAATCCGAGCCCTTCTTTGTGCCCTCCCACTCCCACATCCCAAAATTCCCAAAGAGTTGATCCCAGACCCTCCTCAGTCTGGGAATGTTGGTGTTCCTCCTGCCCCTGGAGGAGTTTTGGGTGTCCCGCTGGAAAAGAGCCCAGGGAGACCCTCTGGACTCAACATTCCGTGAGATTCCCGGTGTTCCCGGTGGGATGGGGTGAGGAGCCGGGATTGGAGCGTGTGTTGAAGTTGCATTTCTCCTCAAATCCTTGGAATTCTGGATCTCTGAGGCTCTTGGATGCAGATCCATGGGGAATTGTGGATCCCTGAGGCTCTTGGATCCAGATCCATGGGGAATTGTGGACCCCTGAGGCTCTTGGATGCAGATCCATGGGGAATTGTGGATCTCTGAGGCTCTTGGATGCAGATCCATGGGGAATTGTGGATCTCTAAGGCTCTTGGATGCAGATCCATGGGGAATTGTGGATCCCTGAGGCTCTTGGATGCAGATCCATGGGGAATTGTGGATCCCTGAGGCTCTTGGATGCAGATCCATGGGAATTATTCCCATATCCATGGATTATTAATTCCCCCATCCTAACAGAGGAGTAGGAGGTCGGAGAACCCCTCTGACCATCCGGAATTCCCTGGAATTCCCGTTATTCCCAGTGGGATGGGGTTGAATTCCTCTCCATCCCTCCAGGGTGCCGAGGGCCTGGCGGGACCCCGCGGGGCCGTGGGAATGCCGGTGAGTTTTCCAAGATTTGGGAATATCGGGATGTGGGAAAAGCCCCAAAGGAGCTGGTGATTCCAGGGGGAAAGCGGGATTTGGGATTCCAGTGGGATGTTGGGAAGGAATTCCTGGCTGGGAGGGATAATAGAATGATAAATATATAATAATATATTTAATAGTGTTTATATTAATTATATTTATAATTGGAATAAGTTTATATTAATAAGTTTATATTAATAATACTAATTATTTTAATTATATATTTGTTAATTATAATTGAATAGTATTTAATAGCTATTCATTTAATCAATACTTATATTATTTTTAATATTTATATATATAATATTTATATTTTAAATATTTTCAATTTATATTTAAATTATATTAATATTAATTAGTCATAATTACTATATAATACATTAAATTGTATATTTATAAATATAAATTAAATATAAATTAAATTAGCTGTAATTAATATATAAAATATATTAATGTAAATAATAGTTATATTAGTATTAATATTTTAAATTTATATTGAAATTATATTAATATTAATTATTTATAATTACTATATAATATATTAAATTGTATATTTATAAATATAAATTAATATAAATTAAATTATATGTAATTAATATATAAAATATATTAATGTAAATAATATTTATATTAGTATTAATATTTTCAATTTATAATTAAATTATATTAATATTAATTATTTATAATTACTATATATTAAATTGTATATTTATAAATATAAATTAAATATAAATTAAATTATATGTAATTAATATAAAAATATATTAACATAAAATTAATATATAGAATATATTAATATAAATAATATTTCTATTAGTATAAATATATTAAATTTATATTTAAATTAAATATTTAAATATTCATATAATTTAATGTAAATTATTAAATTGTATTTAAAATAATAAATTATATAATGTATGGTATTATAATATATATTATTATATGCTATTATATATAGTATATATAATAAATTATATATAATAATTATATATAAATATACATAGTAAATTATATATAATATTAATTATATATGAAATATATTTTATTTATAATGTAACAACACTAAAAAGTATTTATATTAATATAAAATTCAAAGTATTTATATGAATGTACATTAAATGTAATTTTAATATATTAAATATAAAATTTAAAGTATTTCTATTATTAATATAAACAGTTAATAAAAATAAGTAAAAGAAATAAAAATGAAATTCAAAGAGAATAAAAAAGAAATTAAAAATAAAACTAAGCTAAAAAGAAAAAGAAAGCAAAAGAAAATAGAGGCACATAAAATTAAATAAATAAAAGAAATAAAAATTAAAAAATAAAAAAGAAAATAAAAAAGAAAAATAAATTAAAAAGAAAGAAAAGCTAATTAAATAGAAAATAAAAAGAAAATAAATAAAAAGAAAATAATAAAAAGAAATAAAAAAGAAATAAAGAAATAAAAATAAAATTTAAAACTGTACTAAAATAAAATGAAAAATAAAATGTAAGAACTTCATTAAAAATGAAAATATGTTAAAAATTAAGAAGAAAATTTAAAAAAGGAAATAGAAAAAGTAAAAAAATAAAATACAACTTAAACTAAAATAAAATTGAAACTAAAATAATAAAAATAAATAAGAAGGAAAATAAAATAAAAAAGAAGAAAGAAATAAAATAAATAATGCAAAGAGAACAAAGAAAAATTAAATAAAGGAAATAAAAATCAATTAAAAAGAAAAAGAAAAAGAAAAAAATAAAAGAAATAATGAAATAAGAATAAATTTTAAATGAAATGAAAAATAAAATTTAGGAACTTCTATAAAAAACAATTTATGAAAAAATGTAAAAAAGAAAATTAAGAAAGGAAAGAGAAAACTGAAATTAAAATGAAAAATAAAAGGTGTAAATAAAATAAAACCAAAAACAAATAAAGTAAAAAGAAAAAAAGAAAGACACACAAAAAATTAAAAATAAATATAATTAAATAAGTGAAAATTTAAAAAATAAAATAAACATAAAAATAAAATTTAAAGAAAATAAGAAGAAACAACGAAGAAAAAGAAAAATAAGAAAAACAAACAAAAAAAAGAAAACTTTAAAAAGAAAATAAATTTAAAAAGATAAAATAAAATTAAAAATATTTTCCAGGGCCCAAAACCCCTTCAAGGATTGATCTTCTCCCATTTTTTTCTCCCTCTTTTCCAGGGCCCCAAAGGCTTCCCGGGAGCGAAGGGGGATCGGGTGAGTTCCGTCCTCTCCCCTTCCCTGCCGATATTCCCAAAAACCAGCGGGAACAATCCCAGCATCTCCTGAGGAGGGAGGGCTGGGAAGGCACCTCAGGCACTGGGAAGCGGCGCTGGCAGCCCCTGGATTGGCTGAGGGGGGAATTCCCAGGTTTTTTTGGAAGGAAAAGGGGAATTCTGGGCAGAAAGGGATTCTGGAATTCTCTGCTCGATCCCGAGACATGCAGGGAAGATGGGTTGGGAGATTTCCTGCAGGGATGAATTCCCACTGGGAATTCCCACCTTTTAGTTGGCAACCACTGACCAGGACCCCTTGGCCTCCTCCTTCCACATCCCGCCTGGAATCCTCGGAAATTCCCGCCAAAGGCGAAGAATTTGGGATCTGCCTCAGGAGAGAAATCCACGCGGCTTTCCCAGCCGGAATTCCAAGCGCAGTTTTAAAGGCTCCACGTTTGTCTCCACATCCCTGGTCCTTCCCGCTCTTCCCACACCACCTGGAGTGCTGGAGGAGCTTTTGGGATCCCACCAGGAATGAGCTCCACCTCACATTCCATGCCATCCCAAATCCAGCATGGATCCACACACGATGGATGGGCCGAGCGTAAAACCCCTCGAGCCTCTGGATCTTTCTTTGCTGTCAATCCAACAAATTTTGGCTCCACACCGAGTTTTTTTGGGAGTTAATAATTTTCCAGAGGGCCCAGAGGAGCAGAATTCCAGCTGGGATAGGGTTTAGTGGGAATCAGTGGCTTGGGAAATGGGAGAGTGTCTTTTTTTTTTCCTTATTTTTAGGGTGAGCGGGGACTTCTGGGAGCCAAAGGAGAACGAGTAAGGACATTCCAGATGGGAAATTTTGGGAATGAGGGCGAGGGAAAAAGGTCTTTCGGGTTTTCCAGCTGTCAGGGAGTTGTGTAAATGGGTCAGAGATCCTACAAGGCACAGACAGCAATGGGAAAAACCTTCAGGATCTGAGGTCCAGGAATTCCTGGGTGTCCCTCTTGTCCTTGCTCAGGCATTGGGAGATGTTTTTCCTTCTGTCCTGTTGGAATTTCCTCTGTGCTGGGGATGAAATGAGGAGAAAACAACACCCAGATCCCAAACTCCTTCTGTGGGATATCCAGTGGTTCCAACCCATTTTATAGATCCCATCCCTGCACTGGAGAAAGATTCCAGGGGATGGGATGCAAATCCCTTCCTTAGGAGAGGACTTCAAATCCTGCTTTCCATCCATGGTTTGTGCCTGGATTAAGATCCCATTTCCCATGGAACCTTCAGGATCTGAGGTCCAGGAATTCCTGGGTATCCCTCTTGTCCTTGCTCAGGCACTTGGGAGATGTTTTTCCTTCTGTCCCATTGGAGTTTCCCTTGGAGCAGCTTCTCCTTTCACTCCAAGAAAAGCCTGGATCCACCCCCTCTGTGTTGGAGATGAAATGAGGAGAAGAAAACACACAAATCCCAAACTCCTTGGGATTCTCCAGTGCTTTAAATCCACTTTATTGATCCCACCCCTGCACTGGAGAAGATTCCAGGGGATGGGATGCAAATCCCTTCCTTAGGAGAGGATTTTTACATCCCACTTTCCATCCATGGTTTGTGCCTGGATTAAGATCCCATTTCCCATGGAACCTTCAGGATCTGAGGTCCAGGAATTCCTGGGTGTCCCTCTTGTCCTTGTTCAGGCATTTGGGAGATGTTTTTCCTTCAGTCCAGATGGAATTTCCTCTGTTTTGGGGATGAAATGAGGAAAAGACAACACCCAGATCCCAAACTCCTTCTGTGGGATATCCAGTGGTTCCAACCCATTTTATGGATCCCATCCCTGCACTGGAGAAGATTCCAGGGGATGGGATGCAAATCCCTTCCTTAGGAGAGGATTTTTACATCCCACTTTCCATCCATGGTTTGTGCCTGGATTAAGATCCCATTTCCCATGGAACCTTCAGGATCTGAGGTCCAGGAATTCCTGGGTGTCCCTCTTGTCCTTGTTCAGGCATTTGGGAGAATCCCAACCCCCTCCCCCCACCAGCTGACCCTCCAGAACACCCCAATTTTCCAGGAATAAAATAACCACTGGAAAAATGCCCTCCAGAAAGGGCTGAACCCCCTGCCCAGTGAGTTTTGTTTGACTCCTTCCTGGTTTGGAAAATGAGGCGCTGGAAAAACCCCAATTGACGCCTCTGCTTTCAAGTCAGGGGATGGTAAATGACGAAAATCCCATTTTTGATGGGTTTTTCTGATCCCTGAGGAAGCTGCTTTGAGAAGGGATAATCCTTTCCAAACCTTTCCCAAGGGGGATCCAGAGGCTCTTTAGAAGGTGCCTTTTGTCCTTTCCCCCCTCCAAAGCCGTCACCAAAGTCACAAATCAACAATTTCCCAGAGCAGGGGCACTTCTTCCACGGGAATGGCCTTTTCCCAAGGTTATTCCCGTGAAAGAATCCGCAGTTTCTCCCCACTCTGAGGAGCAAAACATTCCCGTGGCTCTCCCAGGGGGACATTTCGGGGCTCTGACCCCCCAAAAACCCCCTCAGTGCCACTTCCCCTACTGACATCAGCAAATCCACAGGCACATCCTGCCTGTCCCCACCTCCCACCCTTTGGAGAGGGGAAGAGATGGAAACTGTGCCGGGAATTCCCTGGAATTCCTGTTGTTCCCTCCAGGATGGCTGGAGGAGTTGGGGAATTCCATTTCCACCCGTGGCAACCAGGCTGGGGCAATTCCCATGGGATGCCAACAGATTTTTGGGACAACAAGGTCAGACCTGTCGGGATTTGGTGGCTTCTTCCTGTACCTTGTCTGGCACAAGAGGAGGAGTTTGGGAGATGCTTTTTATTTGTGTGAATTATCACTTCTTACCTTCATCCTACCCATCATTCCAAGGGTGTTCCCACCCGTGATCTCCTGGTGTGTCCACCCCTCTGTTGTTTCCTTTCTCCATGGGGAGACCACAACTCTTGGTGCCTTCCCCAGCACAAGAGGATGAGTTTGGCAGATGCTTTTTATTTGTGTGAATTATCACTTGTTACCTTCACCCTGCCCATCATTCCAAGGGTGTTCCCACCCGTGATCTCCTGGTGTGTCCATCCCTCTGTTGTCTCCTTCCTCCAGGGGGACACCACAGCTCTTGGTGGCTTTTTCCAGTGCTTTTTCCCTGGCACAGGAGGATGATTTTGGGAGATGCCTTTTTATTTGTGTGAATTGCCAGTTCTTACCTTCACCCTGCCCATCATTCCAAGGGCAATCCCACCCGTGATCTCCTGGTGTGTCCACCCCTCTGTTGTCTCCTTTCTCCAGGAGACCACATATCTTGGTGGCATTTTCTGTTGCCTTCCCTGGCACAGGAGGATGATTTTGGGAGATGCTTTTTATTTGTGTGAATTATCACTTGTTAACTTCATCCTTCCTGTCATTCCAAGGGCAATCCCACCCATGATCTCCTGGTGTGTCCATCCCTCTGTTGTCTCCTTTCTCCAGAGGGAGACCACAACTCTTGGTGGCATTTTCCAGTGCCTTCCCTGGCACAGGAGGATGAGTTTGGGAGATGCCTTTTTATTTGTGTAAATTGCCACTTCTTACCTTCATCCTGCCCATCGTTCCAAGGGGTTCCCACCCATGATCTCCTGGTGTGTCCACCCCTCTCTTGTCTCCTTCCTCCAGGGGGACACCACAGCTCTTTTGGGACCTCAGGGCTACAAGGGCAGCAAAGGAGACCCCGTAAGTTTGGCTTTGGGGGTCGTCCCTTCCCCCACCCGTTGGTGGCATCGACGCTGAGATCTTTGATCCACCCACCCCCCAATTCCCACCTTTCCTTCCAGGGTGAGCAGGGAATGCCGGGATTTGATGGAGACAAAGGAGAGAAGGGAGAGGATGGGCCTGGAGGAGACAAGGTAGGAACCTCCTGGGAGGGGGCTGAGACACAGGAAGGTCCCTGAGGGTGGGGAGACACCAAAGGAGCTGCCCCTGGATCCCTGGGAGTGAATAAAAATTATATATAATAAAAATAACGCATTAAAAATACATAATAAAAATAATATCGAATAAAAATAATATAGAATAAAAAATAACACCTAAAATAACACATTAAAAAGTTGCTAAAGCAGGAAGACTTTGGTCAAATACCTGAGCAACTTTGGACTGTGAAGGAAACCCTTGGAGATGCTCCCAAGGGGTGGATTTTAAGCCAATGAAAACCCAAATATGACATTTGTCAGTTAAATAAAAATAATACAAACTAAAAAAATACATAATAAAAAATAACACCTAAAATAATACATAAAAAGCTGCTAAATCAGGAAGACTCTTGGCCAAATATCTGACTTTGGACTGTGGAGGAAACCCTTGGAGATGCTCCCATGGGGGGGGTTTAAAAGTCAGATAAAAACCCATCTGTGACATCTGACCAGTTAAATAAAAAATAATACATAATAAAAAATAATACATAAAATATCACATAAAAAGCTCCTAAATCAGGAAGATTTTGGTCAAATATCTGACTTTGGACTGTGAAGGAAACCCTTGCAGATGCTCCCATGAGGTGGATTTTGAATCAATTAAAGCCCAAATATGACATTTGTCAGTTAAATAAAAATAATATATAATTAAAAATAATACATAATAAAAAATAAACACCTAAAATAACACATAAAAAACTTATAAATCAAGAAGACTCTTGGCCAAATATCTGAGTGACTTTGGACTGTGAAGGAAACCCTTGGAGATGCTCCAGTTGGGTGGATTTTAAGTCAATGAAAGCCCAAATATGACATTTGTCAGGTAAATAAAAATAATACATAATTAAAAAATAATACATAATAAAAAATAAACACCTAAAATAACACCTGAACAGCTCCTAAAGCAGGAAGACTCTTGGCCAAATATCTGAGTGGCTTTGGACATGGAGGGGGGGTTAAGTCAGATAAAAACCCAAAAATGATACCTCTCAGTTAAATAAAAATAATATATATTAAAAATAATATATAATAAAAATAATACACATAATAAAATAACACATAAAAATCTTATAAATCAAGAAGACTCTTGGCCAAATATCTGAGTGACTTTGGACTGTGAAGGAAACCCTTGGAGATGCTCCCATGGGGGAGTTTTTAAGTCAGATAAAAGCCCAAATATGACATCTGTCAGTTAAATAAAAATAATACATAATAAAAATAATACATAATAAAAATAACACATAAAATAACACATAAAAAGCTCCTAAATCAGGAAGACTCTTGGCCAAGTGTCTGAGTGGCTTTGGACTGGAAGGGAAACCCTTGGAGATGCTCCCATGGGGGAGTTTTTAAGTCAGATAAAAACCCAAATATGGTATCTGTCAGTTAAATAAAAATAATATATAATTAAAAATAATACATAATAAAAAATAAACACATAAAATAACACATAAAAAGCTTATCAATCAAGAAGACTCTTGGCCAAATATCTGAGTGACTTTGGACTGTGGAGGAAACCCTTGGAGATGCTCCCATGGGGGGATTTTTAAGTCAGATAAAAACCCAAATATGACATCTGACAGTTAAATAAAAAATAATACATAACTAAAAATATAATACATAATAAAAAATAATACATCAAATAACACCTAAAAAACTCCTAAATCAGGAAGACTCTTGGCCAAATATCTGACTTTGGACTGTGAAGGAAACCCTTGGAGATGCTCCCATGGGGTGGAAAGTGAAAGCCCAAATATGACATTTGTCAGTTAAATACATAATATATAATTAAAAATAATACATAATAAAAAATAAACACCTAAAATAACACATAAAAAGCTCCTAAAGCAGGAAGACTCTTGGCCAAATATCTGAGTGACTTTGGAGGAAACCCTTGGAGATGCTCCCGTGGGGGAGTTTTTAAGTCAGATAAAAACCCAAATATGACATCTGTTATTTAAATAAAAAATAATAAATAATAAAAATAATATATAATAAAGAATAACACCCCAAATAACAAATAAAAACCTCTTAAAGCAGGAAGACTCTGGGCCAAATATCTGAGTGGCTTTGGACATGGTGGGGGTTAAGTCAGATAAAAACCCAAATATGGTATCTGTCAGTTAAATAAAAATACTATATATTAAAAATAATATATAATAAAAATAATACATAATAAAATAACACCTAAAAATCTTATAAATCAAGAAGACTCTTGGACAAATATCTGAGTGACTTTGGACTGTGGAGGAAACCCTTGGAGATGCTCCTGTGGGGGAGTTTTTAAGTCAGATAAAAACCCATCCATGACATCTGTTATTTAAATAAAAAATAATAAATAATAAAAAAGAATATAAAATAAAAATAACACCTAAAATAACACATTAACAGCTCCTAAATCAGGAAGACTTTGGTCAAATATCTGAGTGGATTTGGACTGTGAAGGAAACTCTTGGAGATGCTCCCATGGGGGGGGTTTTTAAGTCAGATAAAAGCCCAAATATGACATCTGTCAGTTAAATAAAAATAATACAAACTAAAAAATAATACATAATAAAAAATAATACCTAAAATAACAAATAAAAAGCTCCTAAATCAGGAAGACTCTTGGCCAAATATCTGAGTGGCTTTGGACTGTGGAGGAAACCCTTGGAGATGCTCCCACAAGGTGGATTTTAAGTCAATGAGAGCCCAAATATGACATCTGAAAATTAAATAAAAAATAATACATAATAAAAAGTAACATATAATAAAAAATAACATCTAAAATAACACATAAAAAGCTTATAAATCAAGAAGGCTCTTGGCCAAATATCTGAGTGACTTTGGACTGTGAAGGAAACCCTTGGAGATGCTCCCGTTGGGTGGATTTTCAGTCAATAAAAACCCACCAGGGACAGAATTTGGTGTAGAAAAAGGTGCTTTTTGTCCCCCTCTGAGTCACCTCCAGGGGTTCCTCCCCTCACCCCTCTCTGGGGGTGGGTGGCTGGGAGAGCAGGAGGAATTCCAAGTGGATTTACAGGGTGGTTCCCGATTTTAGGGAGTGAAAGGAGACGCTGGATCCAAGGGAGTGATGGGACCCTTTGGAGCCAGAGGACCCGTGGGACAGAAGGTGAGTGCAGGGAACGTGAATTTTGAGGCATTTCCTGGGAGAAATGAGGGGTAAAACCACCCAAAGGTGGAAAATCCCACGGGGTTGATGTGAGAAATAAATCGGGAACTGGTGTGGAAAATCACACAGAGCTGGTGTGGAAAATTAGACAAAATTGATGTGTAAAATCACACAAAATTGGTGTGTAAATCACACAAAATTAATGTGTAAAATCCCACAAAATTGATGTGTAAAATCCCACAAAAATGATGTGTAAAACCCCACAAAAGACCTGTAAAAATCCCACAAAACTGGTATATGAAATCCAACAAAACTGATGTGTAAAAGCACCAAAAATTGATGTGCAAAATCCCACAAAAGCGATGTGTACAATCCCACAAAACTGATGTGTAAAATCCCAAAAAAGGATGTGTAAAACCCCACAAGAGACATGTAAAAATCCCACAAAACTGATGTGTAAAATCACCAAAATTTGATGTGAAAATTGCACAAAATTGAGGTGTAAAATCCCACAAGAGATGTGTAAAATCCTAAAAAAAAGGATGAGTAAAATCCAACAGAGGATGTGCAAAACCCTACAAAACTGATGTGTAAAATCCCACAAAGCTGGTGTGCAAAACCTCACAAAACTGGTGTGTAAATCACACAAAATTCATGTGTAAAATCACTTAAAATTGATGTGTAAAATCAGACAAAACCGATGTGTAAAATCAAACAGAACTGATTATAAATTAAGAAGTGGTGTGTAAAATCAGACAAAATTGAGGTGTGAAATCACTCAAAACTGGTGTGTAAAAGCACAGAAAGTTGATGTGTGAAATTACAAAGAATTGATGTTTAAAGTTACACAAAACGGGTGTGTAAAATCACATAAGAATTGAGGAGTAAAATCACACAAAACTGTGTAAATTACACCAGAACAGATATTTAAAATGGCAGAAAATTGATGTGTGAAATCACACAGAGCTGAATGTAAAACAGTCAAGAACTGATGTGTAAAATCCCACAAAATTGAGGTTTGAAATCCCACAAAACTGGTGTGAAAAATCCCACAAAAGATGTGGAAAATGACACAGAACTGATGTGTAAAATCATGCAGAACTGATGTGTAAAAACACACAAAACTGATTGTAAATTACTCAAGAACTGATGTGTAAATCACACAGAACTGTGTGTAAATCACACAAAACTGGTGTGTAAATCACTCAGGAATAAATGTGTAAAATCCCACAAAAGACATGTTAAATGCCACAAAACTGATGTGTAAAATCCCACAAAATTGTTGTTTAAAATCCCACTAAACTGATGTTTAAAATCCCACTAAACTGATGTGTAAAATCCCACAAGAACTGATGTGTAAAATCCCACAAAACTGGTGTGTAAAATCCCACAAAAGACCTGTAAAAATCCAAAGAAATTCGTGTGAAAAATCCCACAAACCCAATGTGTAAAATCCCAAAACACTGATGTGTAAAATCCCACAAAACTGGTGTGTAAAATCCCCCAAAATTAATGTGTAAAATCCCACAAAATACGTTTAAAATCCCACAAAACTGATGTGTAAAATCCCACAAAAGTGGTTTGTAAAATCCCACAAAATTGATGTCTAAAATCCCACGAAAGACAATGGTTTGTAAAATCCCACAAAACTGATGTGTAAAATTACCCAAAACTGGTGTGTAAAACCCCACAAAACTCAAGTGTAAAAAATCCCACAAAACTGATGTGTAAAATCCCACAAATTTGATGTGTAAAATTCCACAAAATTGGTGTAAAACCCCACAAAACTTGTGTAAAATCCCACAAAACTGATGTGTAAAATCTCTCAAAAGAAATGTATAAATCCCACAAAATTGATCTGTAATATCCCCAAAACTGGTGTGTAAAATACCACAAAACAGGAGAGAAATCCCACAAATGATGTCTGAAATCCAACAAAACTGGTGTGTAAAATCCCACAAAACACGTGTAAAAATAAACAAAAGTGATGTTTAAAATCCCACAAAATTGGTGTGCAAAATTCCACAAAACTAAAGTGTAAAAATCCCACAAAAATTATGTGTAAAATCCAACAAAAAACATGTAAAATGCCACAAAACTGATGTGCAAAACCCCACAAAATTGATGGGTAAAAACCCACAAAACTGATATTTAAAATCCCACAAATCTGGTTTGTAAAAATCCCACAGAACTGATGAGTAAAATCCCACAAAATTGATGTGTAAAATCCACAACATTCATGCTTAAAATCCCACAAAAGACAGATAAAAATCCTTCAAAACTGGTGTGTAAAATCCCCCAAAACTGGGGTGTAAAATCCCCCAAAACTGGTGTGTAAAATCCCCCAAATATGTGTAAAATCCCACTAAATTGATGTGTAAAATGACAGTAAATTGATTTGTGAAATCACACAAACTGGTGTGTAAAATCAGAGAGAACTGATTGTAAATTACTCCAGAACTGATATTTAAAATCCCACAGAACTGGTGTGTAAAATCCCACAAAACTGAGGTGTGTGAAATCCCACAGAAATGGTGTGGAAAATCACCAAACTAGTCACACCAAACTGTGTAAAACCCCACAAAACTGGTGTTATGAAGATCCCACAAAACTGAATGTGTAAAAATCCCACAAAACTGGATGTGCAAAATCCCACAAAAGTTGTTTAAAATCCCATAAAACTGCTGTGTAAAACCCCACAAAACTGATGTGCAAAGTTCCACAAAACTCGTGTAAAATCCCCCAAAACTGATGTGTAAAATCCCACAAAAGTTGTTTAAAATCCCACAAAAGTTGTTTAAAATCCCACAAAAAAAGTGTAAAAATCCCACAAAACTCATATGTAAATTCCTAAAAAACTGATGTTCAAAATCCTACAAAATTGATGTGTAAAATCCCACAAAACTGAAATGTAAAATCCCTTAAAAGTGGTGTGTAAAATCCCCCAAGACTGATCTGTAAAATCCCACAAAAGTGAGGTTTAAAATCCCACAAAAACTGGTGTGAAAAATGCCACAAAAAATGTGTAAAATCCCACAAAACTGATGGGTAAAATCCCACAAAACTGGTATGAAAAATCCCACAACAGACTTGTAAAAATCTCACAAAAGTGTTCTTTAAATCCCACAAAATTGATGTGTAAAATCTCACAAAACTGATGTGTAAAGTCCCACAAAACTGGGCTGTAAAATCCCACAAAATTGATGTCAAAAATCCCACAAAAGACCTGTAAAAATCCCACTGGTTTGTAAAATCAACCAGAACTCATTGTAAATCACTCAGAAACTGATGCTGAAAATAACACAAAATTGATGGTAAATTACTAAGGAACTGATGGGTAAAACCGAACAAAATTGGTGTTTGAAATCACAGGAAAGTGATGTGTAAATCACTCTATGACTGATGTGTAAATTGGTCAAGAACTGATGTGAAAAATCCCACAACATTGATGTGTAAAATCCCACAAAGGACATGTAAAAATCCACAAAACTTGTGTTTAAAATCCCACAAAACTGGAGTGAAAAATCCCACAAAACTAAAGTGTAAAAATCCCACAAAAATTATGTGTAAAATCCAACAAAAGTGGTGTATAAAATCCAACAAAAAACATGTAAAATGCCACAAAACTGATGTGCAAAACCCCACAAAATTGATGGGTAAAAACCCACAAAACTGATCTTTAAAATCCCACAAATCTGGTTTGTAAAAATCCCACAGAACTGATGAGTAAAATCCCACAAAATTGATGTGTAAAATCCACAACATTCATGTTTAAAATCCCACAGAAGACGGGTAAAAATCCTTCAAAACTGGGGTGTAAAATCCCCCAAAACTGGGGTGTAAAATCCCACAAATATGTGTAAAATCCCACTAAATTGATGTGTAAAATGACAGTAAATTGATTTGTGAAATCACACAAACTGGTGTGTAAAATCAGAGAGAACTGCTTGTAAATTACTCCAGAACTGATATTTAAAATCCCACAGAACTGGTGTGTAAATCCCACAAAACTGAGGTGTGAAATCCCATGGGAAAGATGTGGAAAATCACTCAGAACTAATCACACAAAAGCTGTGTAAAACCCCACAAAAATGGTGTATAAGATCCCACAAAAAATGTGTAAAAATCCCACAAAAGATGTGTAAAAATCCCACAGAACTGGTGTGTAAAATCCCACAAAAGTTGTTTAAAATCCCACAAAAAACGTGTTAAAATCCCACGAAACTCGTGTGTAAAATCCCACAAAATTGATGTTGAAAATCCCACAAAACTCATGTGTAAAATCCAACAAAAATGGTGTGTAAAATCCTAAAAAATTGATGTGTAAAATCCCACAAAACTGATGTGTCAAATACTAGAAATGATGTGTGAAGATCCCACAAAACTGAAATGTAAAATCCCTCAAAAGTGGTGTGTAAAATCCCCCAAGATTGATCTGTAAAATCCCACAAAAGACATGTAAAAATCCCACAAAACTGATGTTTAAAATCCCACAAAATTGCTGTGTAAAATCCCACAAAAACTGGTGTGAAAAATGCCACAAAAAATGTGTAAAATCCCACAAAACTGATGTTTAAAACCCCACAAAACTGGTGTGTAAAATCCCACAGAAGACCAGTAAAAATCCCACAAAACTGATGTGAAATCCCACAAAACTGATGAGTAAAATTCCAAAACTGGTGTGTAAAATCCCCAAAAATTTATGTGTGAAATCCCACAAAGGACATGTAAAAATCCCACAAACCCTGTAATTAAAATCCCCAAAACTGGTGTGAAAAATCCCCCAAATCTGGGGTGTAAAATCCCAAAAAGCTGATGTGTAAAATCCTCCAAAATAGATGTTTAGGTCCCACAAAAGACATGTAAAAATCCCACAAAACTGATGTGTAAAATCCCACAAAAGGTGTGTAAAATCCCCTTAAAATGGTGTGTAAAATCCCACAAAACTGGTGTGTCACATCTCACAAAGCTGATGTGTAAAATCCCACAAAAAATGTGTTAAATCCTTCAAAATCCATGGGTAAAATCCCACAGAACTGATGTGTCAAATCCCACAAAAGACCTCTAAAAATCTCACGAATCTGATATTTAAAATCCCACAAAACTGATGTGTAAAAATCCCTAAAAATGATGTGTAAAATCCCACAAACGACATGTAAAATCACCCAAAATTGTTCTGGGAAATCCCACAAAACTGATGTGTAAAATAAAAAAAAAGATGTGTAAAACCCCACAAGATTGATGTGTAAGATCCCACAAAACTGGTGTGTAAAATCCCACAAAATTGATCACCATAATACAAAACTGATCTCCAAAATCCCATAAAAGTTTAGTAAAACCCCACAAAACTGGTGTGTAAAATCACACAGAACTGATGTTTAAAATCCCACAAAACTGGTGTGAAAACCCCACAAAACTGATGTGAAAATCCCACAAAACTGATGTGAAAAATCCCACAAATCTGGTCCGTAAAACACCACAAAATATGTGTAAAATCCCTCAAAAGACATGTAAAAATCCCACAAAAGAAGTGTAAAATCCCACAAAACTGCTGGGTTAAATCCCACAAAACTGGTGGGTTAAATCCCACAAAATTGGTCTGTAAAATCCCACAAAACTGGTGTGAAAATCCCACAAAACTGATAAAATCCCACAAATTATGTGTAAAATCACAAGAAACTGGTGTGTAATATCCCACAAAACTAATGTGTAAAATCCCACAAAACTGATGTATAAAATCCCACAGAAGTGATGTTTAAAATCCCACAAAATTGGTGTGTAAAATCCCCCAAAATTGATCTGTAAAAATCCCACAAAATTGATCTGTAAAATCCCACAAAACCAATGTGTAAAATCCCATAAAACTGGTGTGTAAAACCCCACAAAACTGGTGTGTAAAATCCCCCAAAATTGATCTGTAAAATCCCACAAAAGACGTTTAAAATCCCACAAAACCAATGTGTAAAACCCCACAAAACTGGTGTGTAAAATCCCCCAAAACTGATCTGTAAAATCATACAAAACTGATTGTAAATTACTCAAGAACTGATATTTAAAATCCCACAGCACTGATGTGTAAAATCCCACAAAAGACGTGTAAAATCCCACAAAATATGTGTAAAATCCCACAAAACTGTCAAATCCCACAAATCCTTTGGTGTCAATCCCTCCCCAGAGCTCTTGGCTCAAACCCCCTCACCATTTCCTCCTGCGATCCCAAATTCCCTCCCGGGATCCCAAATTCCCTCCCGGGATCCCAAATTCCCTCCCATGATCCCAAATTCCCTCCCAGGATCCCAAATTCCCTCCCAGGATCCCAAATTCCCTCCCCAAAGCCGCTCAGAGGGAGCAGAAGCCGCTGCTCTTTGCCAGCAGAGCCCTGAAGGTTTTCCCCCACTTCCAAATCCTGCCCTGGAATCTTTCCCAGCTGGAATGGCCGGGAATGTCCCGCTGGAATGGTCGGGTGGGAGATGAGAACTTTGATGCTCCACTCAAACCCCGTGGAATCCCGAGACATTTTGGGGTATCCCAAAAAAAAAAGACCCCTGAAATCTCCTCATCCCCTCTTCCCGAGCTCCCACATCATCCCCATTCCCAGAGGGATTTTCTTTGGGATAACCCATCCCTGTTTTCCTTGCAGGGAGAGCCGGGGGAGCCGAGTTCGCCGGGCCCTGCCGTGAGTTGGAACGTTGGGATGAGGGGATGGGATGAGGGGGAGTGGGATCCCAAAAAATTCCCATGGGCAAAGAGGTTTCGCTGGAAAAACAGCTCTGGGAATGGTTTCAGAGAATCAGGGAATGATGGAATCAACTGGGACGGGAAAGAACTCCGAGATCATCACGAGTCCAACCCTTGATCCAGCGGGGTTTGTTGAAGGAATTGCTGGCTGGGAGGGTGGGGAGGGGTTGGAATGGATTTTCCAGGGAAGTTGTGGCTTCCCCTGGATCCCTGGGAGTGTCCAAGGCCAGGTTGGAGAAATCTGGAATAGTGGAAGATGTCCCTGCTCATGGAATGGCTGATCCTTCAGTTCCCACCCAAACCACTCTGTGATTCCATGATCCAGCTTTTTCCAACCTCCAACTCACACAACCCCTGCTCTCCTCTCTCCATTTTCCCAGGGAGCTCTTCCCACTCCCAGGAGGATTCAGGGAGCTCTTCCCATCCCCAGGAGCTCTCTGGGAACCCTTCCCACCCCCAGGAATTCTCAGGGAGCTCTTCCCAACTCCAGGAGATCTCTGGGAGCTCTTCCCACTCCCAGGAGGGTTCAGGGAGCTCTTCAAAGTGCTCAACATTTTCCCTCTTCTTCTCTCTCTTTTATTAATATTATTTTTCTCTTATTTTATTAATTTTTTCTCTTATTTTTATTATTTTTTTCCCCTTTTCCACCTTTTTCTTGGCTCCTGGGTGCAGATTTCCTTGGGAATCCTCCCCTCCCTGTCCTGTTCCCTCCCAGCTGCAGCAGTGCCTGTGGTACCTGAGTCTTTGCAGATGATGAAGCTGCTCCAGCAACACTTCAATGACAGAAAGAGCCATTTCCACCACTCAAATTCCCTTTAAATTGCTTTTTTTCCCAGTTTTTATTTACCTGGAAGGAACCAGATAATCTGAAAGGGACACCTCCATCACCAGCTCTTCCCTTTTCAAACTGCTCAACATTTTCCCTCTTCCTCTCTCTCTGTATTTTTCATTAATATTATTTTTCTCTTATTTTATTAATATTTTTCTCTTATTTTTATTATTTTTTTCCCCTTTTCCCCCTTTTTCTTGGCCCTGAGTGCAGATTTCCTTGGGAATTCTCCCCTCCCTGTCCTGTTCCCTCCCAGCTGCAGCAGTGCCTGTGGTACCTGTGATGAAGCTGCTCCAGCAACACTTTAATGACAGAAAGAGCCATTTCCACCACTCAAATTCCCTTTAAATTGCTTTTTTTCCAAGCTTTTATTTACCTGGAAAGAACCAGAATGTAAATCTGCCCCAGCTGGAACTTCCCCCATCGATTGTGTCAACAATCAGGAATAGTTTGCAGGACACGCCCGGGCCCGAGGGTTGATTGCAGGTGGATTTTCCCTGATCCAAACACGACCTGCAGAGCTGGGTGGCTCCAGCAGCTCCAAAATGTGGCAAAAAAGGGTCTGAAGCTGCAGATCCAGAGCTCAGGAATGTGTTTGACCCCCTTTGAGTCACTCCCAGTGTCCTCTTTAATGTCCTTGTTCCCATCTCCAACCACGGCCACCACTTGTCCATCTGCTCTGCTTTGAGCAGCCTCCTCTGTGCACTCAATGCCTCAAGTGGGGATAAATCCCATTTCCTCACATCCAGGGGGGCTGAAAAGTGCCAGGAAAATCGTGGCAGCCTTGCAGAAAAATCCCTAAATAAATGGGAATTTCCTGGAGCTTTCCATGTGCTACAGAAAGAGTGGGAGATTCCCTGCAAGGAGGTCCCGGTGCTGGACGTGACTCTGGGTCCCCTCTGAGCTGGGTGGCTCCAGCAGCTCCAAAACGTGGCATAAAAGGTCTGAAGGTGCAGATCCAGAGCCCAGGAATGTGTTTGACCCCCCCTCCTCAAATCCCAGTGTCCCTTTTCCAACCACAGCCGTCACCACCGGAATTCTCTCAGCCCAGGATGCCTCTTTAGCCACCACTTCCCTGGATTTTCCGAGCTGGAATTAGGAATATAATGTGGTTATAACCAACTCACAGGTTTTATTTGCCAGCTCTACAAGCCCAAGAGGAGTTTGTGCTCAATCCCAACCTCAGATCCTCAAGGATGTTCCCAGCAGGGACTGTGGAATCCTGGATTCCCGGGATCTTCCCTGTGAACCTCCATCCCGACGATTGTTCCCAACCCCTTCAGCCACCACTGAAATCCATGGGTTTTTCCCCATTTTTTGGCAGGGGGCAGCAGGTCTGGATGGGAAGGACGGGAACAAGGGAGCCAAAGGTGACAGAGGCCTCCAGGGGCTGATGGGGAAGCCGGTGAGTGGCGGGAAGGGCCGTGGATTGTTCAGTGGGAAGAGCCGTGAATTGTTCGGTGGGAAGGGACCTGGATCTTTCAGCGGGAAGGGACTCTGCTCCCACCTTCATCTCTCTTCCCACACCCCACCCCTCATTCCAACACCCCATTCCCAGCATCAGGTGAGTCTTTCCTGAAGGGAAATCACTCCTTAATCTGCTGGAGGAGCCTCCAATGCGCTCCTTGGGCTGATTTTTGGGAGGATCATTTTCCCGCTCCCAGCAGACACCCTGTCCGTGTTTCCAGCCTTCCAAGTTATCCCATCTTTTCCAGCCTGGGTTTCCCTTGGTTTCTTTGCCAAGGCCCAAATTTCGAGTTCCTCCACGTGCCCAGTGTTGAGCTGCCTGGTGGAGAAAGCAGGGAATGATGGAATAAATCCCTACAAAGCCCTCCTCGTTTTCCTGGGACGAGCTGGTTGGACCCCTCCCTTGATCCCAAATAATTTCCTGCCCGTGGGTGGGACTGTGACCCATAATTGCTTAGAAATGAATCCTCAAAGGGATGCCTGGTGGGAGCAGGGCTTTGTTTTCCAGAGGCAAACTGGATTCCAGAGGTTTTTCCTGCTTTGTTTTTCCGTGAGACCAAAAAAAACCCCCCAAAAAAAACAGTAGGAGATTTTTTTGGGAGGGAGCAGGAGAGGAAGATTCCATTATCTCCCAAACCTCCCTCAGGTCCTCAAGAGGTTTTTCCCAAACTTCTCCCAGTGGTGGCTCAGCAGAGGATCCTTTCCCACTTCCCTCCATCTCCCAGATCATTCCCAGCCCCTCCTTCCAGAGCTCCTTGCATTTCCAGCCCCTCAAAACCACCCCAAGCCCCGAATTTCCACGGACCTTTTGGTCAACAAAAAACCCACAGAATTCCTCCTGAGTTATCCCCACCCTTGGATCCTTCACCTCTCATTCCAAACATGGAATTTTTGTCCTGGTTTTTTTTTTCCCCATGCAGGGATGGAAAGGTGATCGTGGGACCCCCGGAGACCCCGGGCAGAAAGGAGCAAAGGTGAGGAAGGAGATGGGGATGGGGAGATCCTGTGGAATTCCCGATCCTTGGAGAGATTCCAAAGCTTTCTGGGCTGGTCAAACAGCTCTGAATTCCTCCCTCCTGCCCCTCTCCTTGATCCAACACCCTGTGATCTCCTTTATCCTCAGGGATTCCGAGGATTCCCAGGACACGCCGGAGCTCCCGGAGCCAAAGGCACCAAGGTGAGCGAATCCCAAACTTCCCATCCCCCTCCAGCTCCCCTGTTCATGGGGGAAAGTTTGGAGCTGCATTTTTCCCTGAGAACACCCTTTAATTCCTGGTTTGAATCCCTGTTTTCTCCCTGCTGAGAAATGAAGATGGAATTCTGGGCCACAAGATCTTTGAGGTCTTACAGAAACTCTGATTTTTCCCCTTAAATCCCCTCTCTTCCCATTCCTTTCCCTATGGTTTTGTGGTAAATCCTTCCTCTCTGGTCATTCCATTCCCTGTTGATTGGGGAAAGTTTGGAGCTGCATTTTACCCAATAATACCCTTTAATTCCTGTTTTATTCCCTGTTTTCTCTCTGCTCAGAAATAAAAGTGGAATTCTGGGCCACAGGGTCTTTACCCTCCTACAGAAACTCTGATTTTTCCCCTCTTAAATCCCCTCTCTTCCCATTTCTTTTCCCTATGGTTTTGTGGTAAATCCTTCCTCTCTGGTCATTCCATTCCCTGGCTCAGAAATAAAAGTGGAATTTCGGCCACAGCCCTGCCCTCCTACAGAAACTCTGATTTTTCCCCTCTTAAATCCCCTCTCTTCCTGTCTCCTTTCCTGTGGTTTGTGGCAACTTCCTCTCTGGTCATTCCATTTCCCTGTTCATGGGGAAAGTTTGGAGCTGCATTTTACCCAATAATACCCTTTAATTCCTGGTTTCATCCCAGTTTCCTCCATGCTGAGAAATTATTGTGGAATTCTGGGCCATCAAATCTCTGCCCTCCTACTGAAACTCTGATTTTATTCCCCTTAAATCCCCTCTCTTCCCTTTCATCCCCAGGAAGAATCCCCCCCTCTCCCAGCTCTGGAGGGAAAAATCCCTCTGGGAAGCACAGAGGATGGAGAGATTTTTAAGGATTGCAGGGAATTTTGGGATAATCTGGGGCACAAACCGAGCAACAACCTGGGCTCGGTTTTAGCTCCTCATGACCGAAGATAACGACCCTTTAATGGGCTTTTTAGGCAGGATTTGGGAATGTTTGATAAGAAAGAAGGTAAACTGAGCCAGTGGGATTATTGGTGTGGTGATTATTATTAATTATTATTGTTGTTGTTATTAATATTTTCCTGCATCAGCAGGAAATTGTTGCCCAGGGAATTTCCCACCTCCTTTCCTGGAGCTGAGCTGGAAACAACCTAAAACTCCTATTGATTTAAAACCATCTGAGTTAAATTGCTCTTAATTAGCTTTTCCACTGGTCCAATTAGTGAAATTAGACCTTATTTAAACGAGGATCTAAAATTTACAGCCCCAAATTGAGACTTTGGATTTTCCGGCACCCTCAATTATCCTTTTCCTTGCTTTTTCCAGAGCCAGTTTTTCCCCCTCCCCCAAAATGTTTCAAGGCCTGTTTGTCCTCAGGGTCCACCTGGCTTCTTTTCCATCCCCAATCTGCTTCTTTTCCATCCCCAGGGAGAAATGGGAAGTCCTGGAAAACGGGGAATCCCAGGATCCGACGGACGGCACGGAATGAAGGTGAGTGAATTGTGGGATCACAGCGTGGGTCGGGTGGGAAAAGACCTTAAAACCCACCCAGTTCCATAAATAAGAGGCTTCCCAAAAGCTCTGCAGGTGCCAAGTGTTTATTCCCTTCCAAAGGCCCAAACTTATTTGGAATGTGTTCCCAGAAAACCAACGTGGAGATGTTTGGGACACTGGGGAATGGGGGACTTTTTTCCCACTCCACCCCCAGGACCACCCCAGAGAACTGGGATTCAGCCAGGGAATGCTTCTCAAGGGGCTTCATCCACCCCAGCCCTCGGTGCTCCAGGGGGATCTGTTGGAATTCTCAAGGAATGGGCTGTTTTTTCCTGGGATTTTCCCCCTCTCCTCGAGTGCCGAGCTCGGATTCCAACGACAACTCCATGACCCGAAGGCAAACCCAGGTCCTTCAGGAAATCCCAGGAAATGCCAGGAAATCCTAGGAAATGTTGTTATCCATGATGATTTCCCCTTTGGCTCCTTCCAGGGGGATCAGGGAGCAGCAGGGAAGGAGGGAGCCTCGGGAATTCCTGGGGAGAAAGGAATGAAGGTTTGTACTCCCCTCCCCTTTCCCATTTTCCCTGAGCTGCCCTTTCAGCAAAGGGTAAATAAATCCCACCCCTCTCAGGTTGGGTTAACAAAATAAGCCACCTGTTCCATCCCAGGTGTCCTTTCCAGAGGGAAAAGGTTGGGAATGCCCCTGGAAAAGGCAGGAGAGGGAGATCTCCTTGAATTCACCCTCTTGTCCTGCTTAGTGTGAGGAAAAACCACCCCCAAACTCCCCCTCCCCCAAACTGGGCGTTGCAGAGTTCATTCCCTCAGCATTCCCAGGATTAAAGGGTTCCTGGGATGCCTCCTTGGTTGAAATTTAAATTTAAAATTCTTTCTTTAAAAGAAAGGGACAAATAAAAAAATTGGGGTTTTTCCACGGAGGGAGGAGGGAAAAAAAAAAATTGGGGATTTTGGTTAAAAAAGTAACTGCTTTGAAAAAAAAAATTAAAAATAAAAAAAGGAGAAAGGAAAACATCCAACAATCCCAGCAGGTTCCACTTTCCAGCCCCTCAGGCCCTTCCTACATCCACTTCCACTGCCCAGGGCGATTTGGGATCTCCAAGGAGTTGCTGCTTTTATTGATTATTTTTTTTTTGGGGAAACATCATTCCCTGTCCTTCTCCTTCCCACAGAGCTCCGTTTTCCACCCTCAGAAGGAGGTTGGGGTAAAGGGGAAGGTCGGATTTTTCCTTCTCTGGGTGTCCCATCCCTGTTCAGGATGGATCCCAGAGGGTGCAGAGGAGCAGGGGGAATTTCCAGACCGGTGCTCCCTGTTTTTCCCCGAGGTCACAGCTAAAGGACTCTGTTTAGACCTGCTGGGAGAGCTGGGAATTAGGGAATGGTCAGGGGGATCATCCCAAGGGAAGGGGTGTCCAAAGCCAAAGCCATGGGAATGGTGCCCCTCCATCAGGGACCCCCAAATTTGGGTGATGTTGGACTGGAACACCTCCAAACCTGCTGCTCTTGGTGATTCCCAGGGAGCCAAGGGAGTTCCTGGGCTGGGAGGCTTCAAGGGGCAGATGGGATGGCCTGGGAAGGCTGGAATGGCTGGAGCAGATGGACCTCGAGGGCCCCGGGGAGAGCCAGGACCACAGGTGAGATGAGCTGAGCCTGCCCTGACCCAGGCACTTCCTCTTCTTCTTCCTCTTCTTCTTCTTCTTCCTCTTCTTCCTCTTCCTCTTCTTTTTCTTCTTCTTCCTCTTCCTCCTCTTCCTCTTCTTCTTCCTCCTCTTCTTCCTCCTCTTCTTTTTCTTCTTCTTCCTCTTCTTCTTCCTCCTCTTCCTCTTCTTTTTTTCTTCTTCCTCTTCCTTTTCTTTTTCTTCCTTTTCCTCCTCTTCTTCCTCTTCCTCTTCCTCCTCTTCCTCCTCTTCCTCTTCTTCTTCCTCTTCTTCTTCCTCTTTCTCCTCTTCCTCTTCTTCTTCCTCTTCTTCCTCTTCCTCTTTTTCCTCCTCTTCTTCCTCTTCCTCTTTTTCCTCCTCTTCTTCCTCTTCCTCTTTTTCCTCCTCTTCTTCCTCTTCCTCTTCTTCTTCCTCTTCTTCTTCCTCTTCCTCTTCTTCTTCCTCTTCTTCTTCCTCTTCCCCTTCTTCCTCTTTCTCCTCTTCCTCTTCCTCCTCTTTCTCTTCCTCCTCTTCCTTTTCCTCTTCTTCCTCTTCCTCTTCTTCTTCTTTTTCCTCCTCCTCTCCCTCCTTCTCTTCCTCCTCCTCCTCCTCAGGGTAGCCCAGGACAAAAGGGGGTGGGAAAATCCCAGGGCACTGATCCCATCCCATCCCATCCCATCCCATCCCATCCCATCCACTCTGCCCAGGGAGCCCCCAAGATCCACAGTGCTCAGGGTGCCTTCCCAGGGAATCCCAGAGTGGTTTGGCTTGGAGGGAACTTTGAAGGTCGTCCAGTTCCGACCCTGACACCTCCCACTGTCCCAGGTGTCCCCCAGGTTACTCCAACCCAGCCTTGGACACTCCCAGGGATCCAGGGGCAGCCACAGCTTCTCTGGGAAACCCAGTCCAGCCCCTCCCCACCCTCCCAGCCAGCAATTCCTTCCCAATATCCCACCCAAATCTCCACTTTTCCAGTCTGAAGCCATTCCCTGTGTCCTGTCCCTCCATCCCTTGTCCCCAGTCCCTCTCCAGCTCTCCTGGAGCCCCTTTAGGCCCTGGAAGTGGCTCCAAGGACCCTGTGGCCCCGTTTGGAACTGGAATTTGGGGGTGGGCTGTGCCAGGAGCATCCAGAGCTTTGTTTTCCCTCCTGGATGCCCCATTTCCCTTGGCTGGGAATGGTTCATCTGGAGAGAGACCTGGAAGCACAAGGGGATGGAGTTTAAACCTCCAGATTCCTGAGAATCATGGAATGGGTTGGGTTGGAAAAGACCTTTAAAGCCCATCCAGTTCCAACCCTGCCACGGGCAGGGACACCTCCCACTATCCCAGGTTGTTCCAACCTGGCCTTGGACACTCCCAGGGATCCAGGGGCAGCCACAGCTTCTCCGGGAAATCCAGTCCAGCCCCTCCCCACCCTCCCAGCCAGCAATTCCTTCCCAACATCCCATCTCTCCCTGCTCTCTGGCAGTGAGAAACCACTCCCTGTGTCCTGTCCCTCCAAACTCTTCTAAATATTCCCTTTCCACCTTTCTTGGCTCCCTCCAGGTCCTGGAAGGCCACAGTGAGGTCACCCCCAAAGCCTTTTCCAGGCTGAGCATTCCCAATTCTCCCAGGGGATGTTTCTTCTCCTGCCACTGCCCCAACTGGGCTTTGAGGGGGAAAATCCCCTCAATGTCTGGGATAATGTCTGGAAGGGGCTTTGACTGATCTTTCCTCTCTTCTCCTCTCCAGGGTCCTCCAGGGAAAAGAGGGAAGTGCCAGCTCTGCCTCAGGGGCCCCCCGGGCACGGAGGGACCGAAAGGAGCCACGGTGAGTGTGGGATGAGCCAGATCCACCTCCCATGGGATGAGCCAGATCCACCTCCCATGGGATGAGCCAGATCCAGCTCCCATGGGATGAGCCACATCCACCTCCCATGGGATGAGCCAGATCCAGCTCCCATGGGATGAGCCACATCCACCTCCCATGGGATGAGCCAGCCCCAGCTCCCATGGGATGAGCCAGATCCAGCTCCCATGGGATGAGCCAACCCCAGCTCCCATGGGATGAGCCAGATCCACCTCCCATGGGATGAGCCAGATCCACCTCCCATGGGATGAGCCAGATCCACCTCCCATGGGATGAGCCAGATCCAGCTCCCATGGGATGAGCCAGATCCAGCTCCCATGGGATGAGCCGGATCCACCTCCCAGGGAGCTTCCCCAGCTCCCACAGCCCTGCAGAACTCTGGGTAAACCTTGGATGCTCCAGGGGGCAATTCCCAGCTCCCCAAAATCCTGCAACAACAAAAGCAGGGATATTTTCCTCCCAAATACCAGGATTTGGATATGGGAATGCTCCATTTCTCCAGCTGGGACAATCCTGGGAGCTCTGTGGGCTTCCAGTTATTTTAAATCAGATTTCTTTGGGAAAACACCTTAATGTGTTTGCCATGGAAAACCAGGAAAGAGGCCTGGCTGCAATTCCCAGTTCTGGAAAAGCAGGGACAACATTTTCCACCCAAAAAACACACACTGGATATGGGAATGCTCCACTTCTCCAACTGGGACAATCCTGGGAGCCCTGGGGGCTTCCAGTTGTTTTAAATCAATCCTGGGAGCTCTGGGGGGTGTTTTAGATGAGATTTCCTCGGGAAAATATCATTTTTGGGCAGCACATCCTCAGTGTGTTTGCCATGGAAAAACAGGGAACAACCCCCTGGATGAGCCCTGGCTGCTCCAGGTTGTGATTCCCAGATCTCCAAATCCTGCAACTACAAAAGCAGGGACAAAAATTTCCCTCCCAAATACCAGGTTTTGGATATGGGAATGCTCCCCTTCTCCAGCTGGGACAATCCTGAGAGTCCTGGGGGCTGTTTTAGATAAGATTTCCTTGGGAAAACATCATTTTTGGGGCAGCACATCCTCAGGAAAACCAGGAGAATTCCCTCGGGGCAGCGTTTTCCACCTTTTAACACCCGTGGGGAACACAAACAAACAGGAATTCCCCCCCCACAACCCCAAATCACAGCCCGGGGTCGGGTCCCACCCACTGTCTCAGGGAATTTTGGGATCAGGAGATTCCTTTGCTTTGGCTCCCTGTGCTGATGGAAAATAATGGGATTTTTTTTCCCCCCTCATGTTCCAGCCGCGTGGATTGAGAAAAACGCCCCTCTAATTCGACCTTTAATATTGTTTTAAGCGTTTTTAATCAACAAATCCGATTTTCAGCCTCTCCCAGCCCAGCATTTGGCGGGGTGGTATTTTCTACCAGGAGGGAGCTGCTCCGCCTTTAACCCCTTAAATAAAAAACACATGGAAAAAACCCTGATTTAAGCCGAGGCTCTTAAAAAAAATCTTTGTTGTTCGAGAAAAATAAATTAAAAAATCTGGGAGGCTTCGCCCGGCTCTGATGGGCGCTTTTGTTGCTGTTTGATGAGCCCGTTCCTGTCTCCTCTGGGATTTATTCGCAGCTATCCCTACAGTTTACATAATTTACATCTCAAATCTTCCTTTGGGAAGCCTAGCCATGACAATTTACAGGGAATTCAGAGTGTGGGGAGGGGTTTTCCCATCTCCCGGGGCTGAGGTGGGAACATTTAGCGGTGAATTCTCGGAGCTTTTCGTGCTGATTGAAGTGTTTTGTCCCAGGGTGAGAACGGCCCGGCCGGCCGGAAAGGAGAAAAGGGACATCCCGGGCTCTCGGTGAGTATTCCAGGCACTTCCCGAGGAGGGAAAACAAGAGGAAGAGAGGAGGGAAATGCTGGGAAGTGGCTTCATCCCGAGGAAATGCGGGAATGAGAGCGCTGGGACAGCGGGATGGGCGGTGGGAACAGAGCTGGGACGTCAGACCCGAAGGAGGATGGAGAGCCTGAGGCACAATTCCCATCTCCCGGCCTCCAAATCCCGCTTGGCACGTGGGATCGGGGGCCAGCAGGGCTGATCCAACACCAGGGAAGGGCAGGAGACAGGAATGTGTTCCCATTTTTAAAGGGAAAAGCTGCTGCTCTGGGCTTGTCAATCCTGAAGGAAAACGATCCTCGTGGATCAGGGGAAAATCCCAAAAAATTTGGGTCTCCATCCTGTTGCAAATTGGGTTTTGTGCCACTTGATTGATGCTTTAATTTTTCCAGAGCGTGGAAAATAATTTTAGCAGCTCCTGTTTGACCCCAGGGCTGATCCAACCCTAGGGAAGGGCAGGAGACAGGAATGTGTTCCCATTTTTAAAGGGAAAAGCTCTTGGCTTGTCAATCCTGAAGGAAAAGGATCCACGTGGATCATTAATAAATCCCTGCTGGATCTCCCTTTAAATTTGGGTCTCCATCCTGTTGGAAATTGGGTTTTGTGCCACTTGATTTATGCTTTAAATTTTCCAGAGTGTGGAGGATTAATTTTTAACGTGGAAGGGGTGGCTTTCCATGAAAAACCCTATGTGGGAAATACCCCGAAATTTGGGATCCTTCCAAAGAATCCGAGGTGAAAAGGGCAGGGAAGGACAAAATGAGGCACCACTGGGACAATCCCATGGGATCATCTGAGTGGCCTTTTGGAGGGATGAAGGTGGAGCTTTATGGAGCTTCCCAGAGCTGGGGGATATCTCAGAGAACTTGGATTCATGGATCATTCCAGAAGGGTGGGGATGCTCCTTGGAAAGCCAAGCATGAGGTGTGACCTGATCCTCGTGCTGGGGCTGATCCCAGTCCCAGATCCCAGACCCCAATTCCTCCAGGCAAGAGGAGCAGGAGGCAGGATGGCCCTGAACTTCCAGAGGGAATGAGCCCCACACCTGGAATTTATCCCAAATCCCATCCCAAGAGGTGGCATCAAAGGTGTCTCTGCCTTGAGCTGTCCCAGCAGGGGAGGGGGGGACAAAATTTGGGATCCCTGAGCGGAGGGAGACGGTGCCAGGATCCCAAATCCTGCTTTTAAGCCTTCTTTCCCACCTTGGCCCAGGAGGAAGAGGTGAGGGAGGTGGTGAGGAGCGAGCTGAGAGGCAGATGTGGTGAGTTTGGCACCTGCCAGTGGGTGAATTGGAGCGATCCCAGAAACATCCACAGCTCACCCCATCAGCAGCACAGGGGGCTCCCAAAGGAGGGGGCAATTCTGGGCCATCAAATCTCTGCCCTCCTACAGAAACTCTGATTTTTTTCCCCCCTAAATCCCCTCTCTTCCCATTTCTTTTCCCTGTGGTTTTGTGGCAAATCCCTCCTCTCTGGTCATTCCACTCATCCCACATTCCATTTCCCTGTTCACTGGGGAAAGTTTGGAGCTGCATTTTCCCTGAGAACACCCTTTAATTACTGATTTGATCCCTGTTTTCTCCATGCTCAGAAATAAGCATGGAATTCTGGGCCACAAAGTCTTTGAGCTCCTACTGAAACTCTGATTTTCTTTCCCCTGAAATCCCCTCTCTTCCCATTTCTTTCCCTGTGTTTTCATGGCAAATCCTTCTTCCCTGGGTATTCCATTCACCCGTCATTCCATTTTCCCGTTGATTGGGGAAAGTCTAGAGCTGCATTTTCCCTGAGAACACCCTTTAATTCCTGTTTCAATCCCTGTTTTTTCTGTGCTGAGAAATTATTTTGGAATTCTGGGCCATCAAATCTCTGCCCTCCTAGAGAAACTCTGATTTTTCCCCTGAAATCCCCTCTCTTCTCATTTCTTTCTCTGTGGTTTTGTGGCAAATCCTTCCTCCCTGGGCATTCCCTTTCCCTGTTCACTGGGGAAAGTCTAGAGCTGCATTTTACCCAATAACACCCTTTAATTCCTGTTTCAATCCCTGTTTTCTCTCTGCTCAGAAATAAGTTTGGAATTCTGGGCCATCAGATCTCTGCTCTCCTACTGAAACTCTGATTTTTTTTTTTCCCCTGAAATCTCCTCTCTTCCCATTTCTTTCCCTGTGGTTTTGTGGTAAATCCTTCCTCTCTGGTCATCCATTCCCTGTTCACTGGGGAAGTTTGGAGCTGCATTTTCCCTGAGAACACCCTTTAATTCCTGTTTTATTCCCTGTTTTTGTGGCACCCCTGGACCCACAGACCTCTCCTCCTCAAACCCACCATCAGACTGGAATCCCAGTGCCTGGAGACTCCAGGAAACACTGGGATGCTTTGAAGAGTGGGGGGAATAAAGGGATGGAAAAGGGGCCATGGAAGCGTTTGCTGCCCGTAAAAATCGGGATTTGGTGGGAAAATCTTCTTTATGCACAGGGAAAAAAGGCAGCAAACTCTGCCCTGTGTTGTCTTTGCAGATGGTGGAGCTGAGATGGGAATGGTGCTCCTGGAAAAGGGTAAGGCTGCTGAAATCCATGGGAATGCAGAGTAATTTGGATCACCCAGTGGGACCCTGGATCACCAGATGGGATCTCGGATCACCCAATGGGATCCTGGAACACCCAGTGTTGCAAATCCTCCCTCCCTGGGCATTCCATTCATCCCTCATTCCATTTCCCTGTTGGCTGGGGAAAGTTTGGAGCTGCATTTTTTCCCCACTCACAACCTTTAATTCCTGGTGTAATCCTGGTTCCTAATCACCAGCTGTGACCCTGGGTCACCAAATGGATCCTGGATCTCCCAGTGGGATCCTGGGTCACCAGATGGGATCCTGGATCACCCAAGGGGATCCTGGGTCACCAGCTGGGATCCTGGATGACCCAGTGGGTTCTTGGATCACCAAATGGGATTCTGGATCACCAACTGTGACCCCATATCACCAATTCTGACCCTGGATCACCCAGTGGGATCCTGGATCACCCAATGGATCCTGGATCACCAAATGGGATCTTGGATCACGAACTGTGACCCCATATCACCAAATGGGATTCTGGATCACCAAATCTGACCCTGGATCACCCAGTGGGGTCTTGGATCACCCAAGGGGATCCTGGATCACCAAATGGATCCTGGGTCACCAACTGTGACCCCATATCACCAAATGTGACCCCAGATCACCCAGTGGGATCTTGGATCACCCAGTAGGACCCTGGATCTCCCAGTGGGATCCTGGATCACCCAATGGGACCCTGGATCACCAACTGTGACCCCATATCACCAAATGGGATTCTGGATCTCCCAGTGGGACCCTGGATCCTCCAGTGGATCCTGGATCACAAACTGTGACCCCATATCACCAAATGGGATCCTGGATCACCCAGTGGGATCTTGGATCAATTCCAACCTCAGGTCCTGAAAGCTTTTGGAGCTGAGGAGTGGAAATCCAACCAGAGGGGGATGCAAAGCTTGGGTGGCCACGTGGACCCAGCTCAGAGGGGGTCCTGTCCTAGATGGGACAACATTCCAGCCCTTGGGAAGGGCTGCAGCAGCTCCAGGGGCAAAACAGGGGGGTATTCCAAGTTTCCTGCCCAGTTTGATGACGCTGAGCTCAGATTTCCCTGCTTTTGGGGTAGAGGGATCCTCCTCATCCCCATTGTCCCACCTCCTCCTCCTCCCCTCGGCCATTCCCAGGACCTGCTGTGTCCGTGTTGGACGTCACAGGTTTGACCTCCCCCTCTTTTCGGGGCCGGATTTGGGATCCTGGGCTTGACCTCCCCCTCCTGTCGGGACTGGATTTGGGACCCTGGATGTTCTCAGACCTTCGTGGGCTGCTCCAGCCAACAATCCCATTAAATCCCGCCTCATAAATCCCCCGAGGGGGGGGAGGAGCCGCTTCCAAAGGCTCCGATATTGCCGCCTGATTTACGATCGCTCCATCGCTGCCGGCTTTCCAGAGGCTCCCGAGCTTTTCCAAAGCTCCAGCCTGACGTTTATCTCCTGGCAAACAGCTCCCATTTCCACCCCCCGGGGCTGTTTAAGTGTGGGTTTTTTTGTTTGTTTTTATTGTGGCCATTGAGTGGTTTTTGGTTTTATTGCTCCGTGACATTCCCGTCAAGAGGGACTCGTTATCCAGGGAAAGCTCCAGCGCTCCCTGTTTAAACAGGGGGTTAATTGGTTTGTGTGCCCTCATTAAGTGTGATTTCCATTCGCTTCCCCCCTCCCCGATCCAGAGGCTGAGGATACGATGGATCCCTGGGAGCAGGAGCCGCTCCAAGGAACCCGCGGGGAATTCCCAGGTGAGGGGAGGCGACGTTTAGGGAAGGTAATTCCCTACCTGGGAAGGGTTTTTTGGGACAATTCGGGATGGAGGGAAGTGGCGGCACGAGCTTAAAACTGGATTTAGGACTCGGCTTCCAGCCGGGTTTGCCCAGGGAGGGCGTTCCCGATCCAGCCCCACCAGGAAAATCCGCCGGGAGAGCCCTCCAGGCAGTTCCTCCCAACCCATCCCAACATTCCTGGCGGGATTCAGGGATTTAAATCCCCTCCTTCCAACAGGTCCCAGCCCACCCTGGTGGGCACGGCGGGGGTGGATCACGGAGCATTCCCGTGCTCATCCCTGGATGCCCCTCCTGGTCCCCGCTGCTCCTTCTGCTCTGCCAATCCCATTTCTTTGGGATCGAGGGGGGTTGTGGATCCCCCCAATCCGAGACCCCGCAGGTTTTCCCGGGAAAACGGGGCTGGCCGAGTGCTGTGGCTTTTTCCCGGCTGGATCCAAGGGATGAGCGGGGTTTTTTGGGGATGTTCTCCCTCAGCCTCCTGCCTGCAGCCCATGGATGAGGGACCCTGCCAGGATTATTCCCTGCTCTGGTACTTCCACCCCGAGGCCAAAACCTGCCGGCCCTTCGTTTTTGGGGGGTGCCGCGGGAACGGGAATCGCTTCCCATCCCGGCGGGAATGCGAGAGGAGCTGCGGAGCCCCGGCAGGTGAGGCAGCCCCTGGATTCCAACCCCCCTAAACCTCTTCCAAACCCAGCCAGGAGGGAGGGAGAGGTGGGAAACCCCCCCTTCGTGACCGTCCCCACCATCCCCCCCTCCGACAGAGCCGGAGCGCTGTCCCCGAATTCCAAGGGTTTGTTGTTCCCCTCTCATTCCCAGCCGGCTCTGATCCCTTTCCAGGAGCTCCTGGATGTCCCCTCCTTTGGGTTAATTCCACTGGGAATGAGGAGGGTCCAGTTGTGCCCTCTGAGGGTGGAATTTTGCAGGAATTTGGGATGTGGTGCCCTCCAAACCCCTCCATCCAACCCCCTCCTTGGCACCTGCAGCCCCCAGGGTGTCCAAGCCTGCTCCAGATCAGATTGTGAGCATTCCCAAAGCACCTCCAGCATCGGGGTCCCACCTGATCCAGGGAAAAACTCCCTCCTGGAAGCACGGCTGGGCTTCCATCACCGGATATCCAGGATTTGTGTGGATTTTCCATGGCCTCCAGGGGGGAAAAGGGCCCTGGCAGCAAGTCAGACTCTCTGCTGCCCAAGCTCTGGTTGAAACCCAAACTGGAGGGATCCAACCCAAACTGGAGGGATCCAGCCCAAACTGGAGGGATCCAGCCCAAACTGGAGGGATCCAGCCCAAACTGGAGGGATCCAGCCCAAACTGGAGGGATCCAGCCCAAACTGGAGGGATCCAGCCCAAACTGGAGGGATCCAGCCCAAACTGGAGGGATCCAGCCCAAACTGGAGGGATCCAGCCCAAACTGGAGGGATCCAGCCCAAACTGGAGGGATCCAGCCCAACCTGGGGGGATCCAGCCCAACCTGGAGGGATCCAGCCCAACCTGGGGGGATCCAGCCCAACCTGGAGGGATCCAGCCCAACCTGGGGGGATCCAGCCCAAACTGGACATTCCCTTGGTTTCCTCTTCCCTCTCTCCCCCAAAAACCAGGCAGAGGGAGCTGAGCAGCTGCAATTCCCTCCTTGGAATCCGAGAGAAAAGGAGCTGGGAGAAAGTTTTCCCCAGGAACGTCTTGGATGAGCAAGAGAAACCTTTGGATGTGAAAAGGGATGTTTGGGGGGAAATAAAACCCACCAAAAATATGTGGGAAAACTGGAATTCTGAACAGGAAATCCAGTGGGATGAGGAGAGGGAGACACCTGATCCAAAGGCTTCATCCCACGGGATTGGAAGGTGGGGGAAAAAAACAAAACCAAAACAACCCTGAGTGTATTTTTGTAAAATAAAAGTGTGTTGATGCTTTTGTGGAATTCCTGGATCCTTTTCCCCTGGGAAAAGGAGGGACAAGAGGACCCATCCCAGAATTTAGAATTTACAACGGGAAGAAAACAGGATTCAAAACTCAAGGATTGGTTCAACATTCCAAGCTCAGGTGCTGAAGGTATTTTTGGAGCTGAGGAGCTTTTGGAGCAGCTCCAGGGGACAAAACAGGGGGGTTATTCCAAGATTCCTGCCCAGTTTGCTGACCCTGAGCTCAGATTTCCCTGCTTTTGGGGTTGTCTCATTCCCTTTATCCACAATATCCCGGGCATGGGAAGAGGGAGCAGCAGAGATTTGGGGAGTTTTATTCTCCTTGCTGGAAACACTTTTTTACTTATTAAAAAAACAACCCAAACCAAACGAAAATGGGATTTTATAGAGCCCCAGAATGCCAGGCTGGGAAGCTTCCAGAATTCCCAGCTGGGGGGTGGGGGTGGGAACCGTGGAGGGATTTGAATTCCAGCTCTCCCGTGCCCAGGAGAGGTGAGACCGTCCTGGGATGGGGAGGGTGAAGCGAAGGGTTTGGAATCATCTGGAAAAAAACCCATCATTCCTAAATTACTGTGTGCAAGAAAACAGGGAATGGGGGGGCTGGGAAAGAGAATTGTGGGTGGGTTGGGTGGGGAGAGTCTCCCGGGGGGGGATTTGGCTCCAGACCCTTCATGGCACCCTCAAAGCAGCAGCCCCCAAGGGAACAAAGTGACTTAATTCCCAAATTTCCCCCCCCATTTTCCCCCAAATTCCACCCCCAATCCCTCCAAATTTCCCTCATTTTTCCACCCCAAAATCCCCTCAAATTTCCCAGCCCCAAATTCTCCCATTTTCCCCCTGAAATTTCCACCCCAAATCTCCCCATTTTTCCACCCCAATTTCGCCCAGTTCCCCCCAAAAATTTCCACCCCTAATTCCTCGATTTTTCTCCCCAAATTTCCTCTGTTTTTCCACCCCAAACTCCCCCAAATTTCCCCCATTTTTCCCCAAGTTTCCCCGAATTTTCATCCCAAAATCCCCAAATTTCCCCCCAAAATCCCCCTCCCCACCCTCACCTCTCTTCTTGGCTCAGGCTCCGTCCCTTCACGCTTTTCCAGCCCGGCTGATTGTGTGACTGGGTGATTGGTTAATTGGTTAATTGGTTAATTGGTTAATGACTCGATTGGTTGTCAATCAGGTCGCCAATTTCCAATGCCCGGCTTGGTAATGGAGGATTTATCATTTTGGGTGCAGTTCCCCGCTTGTCCACAAGGCGGCGGGATTTCCATTGATTTGCCCCCTGCACTTCCCGCTTTCCTTCTCTGGGAGCCCCACACGGGTTTTTTTTATTCCCCGCGTGTTTTTGTTGCGGTTCTCCCGTTTTTTGTCGGTTGATGGCAATGTCGGCTCCAAAAGTTTCCTGCAGTTCCCGTCTTTGGTCACTGGGTGGAAGCGCTGATTTTACAACAAGTAATTCCCGAACTCCCGGGAGAAAAAAACCCCTCCTTTGTTAATTGGCTAAGCCGGGTTAATTCCTTCGTTAGTGGAAAAAACTTCACCTGCCATTTAACTGATGAGTGAAAACCAACCAAGTGCTGGAAAATGTCATTCTTTAATCATTTACTTGCTTGCACAACCGTCATTTTCTAGTGCATTTACGTACAGGTGGGATTTGTAGTGGGCAGGTGAAAAAAAATCAGGTAGTTAATTAATTATTTGCTTATTAACGCGTTATGATTCGGTACTGCAGAGTGGAGTGGGGGGTGGGTCACCTGCTGCCACCTGAGTATTCATTAGGTAATTAATTAGGTAATTAGTTAGCTGCTGTATTGCTTTAATTGGTTAATTATTAGGTTCGTTAGTTGTTTACTTAGTTATTTGGTTAATTGGTTAATTGAGTTGTCCCCTCCCGTGTCCAGTCCCAGTCCCCTCGCAGTCCTTGCCGATTTTCTCCTCTCCCCATTTCTACTCTCCCTTCTCCCAGATTCTGAGGAAGGATAATGTGGAAATGCTCTCTTGAAGTGCCCAAAAGCCAGGGGAAATCGTTCAGCTACAGAAGAACTGGGACGTTAAAAATAAAACACACATCTGCAACTCAGTGTGGTGACAGCACGGTGTGGGCTCTCTTATCTGTTACAAATGTGTCATCACTGCATCTCAGCTGGGAATTGTTTCATCAGCAGCAGTAACAGCCAAGGGAGAACCGGTTTTCTTTCATGCCAGTTAAATAATAAATTAAACTCCACTTACAAATATTTAGGATTATTTTTCGAGGATTTCCCTTCTCCTTTATGCACATCAGGAAGGTTCCACGCAGTGCATGTGGCAACACTTGCTGCAGCACTGCTGGCACCTGCAACTTCTCAGTGATTCCTTTAATTAATAAACCAGATCCACTGACAAAAATTCTTCCTGTTCCTGAGAGCTAAAAAGAGGGGGAGGTTCTGGCATGTCAGGTGATGAGTTAAAATGCAGTTTTACATGTAAATGGCCCCCAAAACTGCAGGAGACTCAGGACTTAAAGTCCAGGACAGGTTCAAGAGAGTCTTGGGAAAAAAAACCTGTGCCTTCCTCAGTCCAAAGGGACAGCAGAGCCCAAGCACATCCTCTCACAACCATCCTCTGGGGAATGGAACAATGTTTGCCAATCACCTGGCTGGGATTCCTCGTGGGAAGCTCCAAGACCACACACTCCAGTGGGATCTGGGCCGTGGGGCCACCTGGCAAAACCACCACACCATCACAGACAAAAGAGACCCAGCTTGGAGAAATTCATTGAATTTATTACCAATCAAAATCGCACGAGAAGCAAAACAAAGCTTAAAAACATCTTAAACATCTTAAAAACATCTTAAAAACCACCACCACCTCTTCCTCCTTCCCAGGCTTAACTTTATCCTGATTCTCTCTCTCCTGTTCTTCAGGAACAGCTCCAGTGAGGGCCATTCCAGGGTGTCAGTCCTTCAGGAACAGCTCCAGTGAGGGCCATTCCAGGGTGTCAGTCCTTCAGGAACAGCTCCAGTGAGGGCCATTCCAGGGTGTCAGTCCTTCAGGAACAGCTCCAGTGAGGGCCATTCCAGGGTGTCAGTCCTTCAGGAACCTTTCCATCACGTGTTTCTCTCCACAGGCCCTGCCAGGCCCCTGCTCCAGCGTGGCCCAACCACCTTCAGCATCCACCTGCTCCAACGTGGGGCTCTTCCATGGGCTGCAGGTGGATTTGTGCTCCTCTGTGGGACCTCCACGGGCTGCAGGAGGACAACCTGCTGCTTCACCACGGGCTGCACCGTGGGCTGCAGGGGAATCTCAGCCCCAGCACGTTTGACAGCATCTCCTCCCCTTCCTTCTCCACTGGCTTTTGTTCCTCCCACATCTTCTCACCCCTCTCTTCTCTGGCTTCTTAAACACCTCATCCCCAGGGTGTCAGTGCCATCTCTGCTGGGTTCAGCCTTGGCCAGTGGTGGGTTCATCCTGAGGACAGCTGGCATTGGCTCTGCCAAACAGGGGGAAAAGTTCTGGAAGCTTCTCCCAGAAGCCACTCCTGTATCTGCCCCCCCTTCCCTCCCACCCCACCCCAGCCAAAACATGGCCATGCAAACCCAACACATGAACATCAAAGAAGCTTAAATATGAGCAAGTCCAGTATAAAGTCTGCAAGTTCTTCCTCCTGCACAGGTAAAAAAGGTGCCAGCCACAGCACAGGCACTCGGCTGAGCTTTCTTCCTTCTTCCTTCCTCCTGGTTCTCTCTCCAGAGTCAGAGGAGCTTCTGATCATGAGCTCATCTGACGGCAGGGATGCCACTCACCCGCTTCAGGTTGCTCAAGCCTCGCTCAACCTGGCCTTGAACGCTTCCAGGGGTTCAGCTGGACGAGAGGAGAACAAGCAGGACAAGGAGTGTATAAAAGGTTTGATTTCTCGAGCAACGCTTTGGGAGACTGAGCAGCACCTTTCCTCTGAGGAGCTGCTCCAGACTGTCGACTGGTTTGGTGGAGCCCTTTGATCACAGAAAGCTCAAACATCTGACAGTGTGGGCTTGGGGGACAGATTTGCCACCACCAGATTGGTTTTCCTTCCACTTCCCCTGATCTTCTGACTAAAACACTTCCCGTGATCTTACGACTAGAAACTACCAAACACAAGCACACCTAGTATGGACAACCACGCTGGTGCTGATGAACCGATGGAAAATGACAAGAGCAGCCCAAGCCACGCTCTTTTGATAGTTCTCTACATCAATAACAGATTGAAGCTCTTCTTTTGTGCGTGTCAGAAATCCTCCACGCTCCCCCATCCAGCTCTTCCCGTGCTCTTCACAAACTCGGCATGACTGTTGCAAAGTGACAGTGTGGGACACAGAATAAAGAGGACATTTGGGCCCTGGAGTTTGGTCTTTAGATTTTTTTTAGGAAGTCAAGTCAGAACACTGACACAAGTCAAAACCAGTTTTTTTTGACCCTGCCCTGCATTTGTGTGGCTGAGCTTCAGTCTTTGTGCAGGAACACGCACTCGAGATACAAACACAGCAGTGTCTTTCTACTTCCATATTCATGCTGATGGAAATCTGGTTTTAAAAATAAAGGGTGTCTCTCTCCTTCCTTTCTGTGTTCCTGTGCCCTCCTGCCCACGGGCACAGCAGTTTTCTCCCCCCCCTTGCTCTATATGCTGTGCCGACGGTTGTTGATCATGGCCACGATGTGAGACAGGTCCAAGCTTTTCATCATAACCTGCATGAACTCCTCGTCTTTCCTCGCCCCCTCCACGAATTCCTCCAGGGAAAGCTCACCTGTGGCAGGCACAAACGAAAAGGCATCAGAACCCACCTCTGAGAGGAAAAGGAGCCCGGTAATCTGTCATCCTGTGAGTAAAGCTGGATTATCCACCTCCTTTTTGGCCCAACCTATCCTAGCCCTAACCTGCCCTGTACTTGCTGGTTTTTTCATGGATAAAGGAAGTGATAGAAGGAGTTAAATTAAATTCCAGTTCTTCCTTTCCTTGCTGAAAAACAAAACTCCCACTCCAACACCCCAAACTGATGTGGCCAGAAGGAACACAGCTGACCCTCAGTACAGGGAACAAATCTGGGCATGCTGATGATGTCTGATGCAAGGAGAAAAATGCCTTTTGATTCTCAGAGAATGCACATAAAAAAATCCAAAATAAAGAGGGATAAAGCTCAATCAGGAAAGGAAGACAGTGGTGATTCTCTGCAGGACAGAGGCTATCTGAGCTGGGTGACGAGGGCAGGGATCTCACCATCTCCATTGACATCGATCCTGTCAAAGACTCGGTTGGTGAAATCCTCTGCGCTGGTTTCGTGGTCACCGCCGTTAATGGCTCGAATGGCCTAAAATGGAAGGGCAGGAATAAGAAGTCAGATCCAACAAGTCAGTCATGCCTGGCCCTTTCCCTGGACAAATGATCAGCATCACGGGAAAACACAACACAGACCATCAGGGCTTAGGGCTGGCACCTCACAGTGCAAAGGGAGGATGGTTCTGGAGCGTGGAATGAGCAGCACAACCCAGAGAATCCCCCTAAATCTGCTGAGGTGCAGTTCAGGTGCCACAGAAATGGCAGAATCAGGATCCACATGACTGATCCAGTGGCTCACCCAGTAACACTGTCAATGCCCTCTGCCTCTGACTTCATGAAATTCCTTTGTTAGGTGCTGTGGTAATTTATTGCTACCTCTTGCTTTCCCCATTTCCATTTACATACTGCTTCCTGTGTGTCTGGCTTCTCCTGAAAGCTCGGTTAGGAATTCATTTTCAGCTGGAGAAAGGCAAAGCATTATCCACTACTGTTTGCTGCAATTCTTCTTGTTTTATAACTGCATAGAACATCTTTGCTTCCCATGCCTGATTATCTCCTTTCTTTAAGGCTGTCAATGAAATATGTGATCCCAGAGCCCTTGATTCCTAAGACTATTGATTTTCTAATTTTGAGAGTTTGTAATTTTCTTCATTCTTTCCCAAATCCTGTTTTACTAAAATTAAGAATCACCTCAGCAACTTCCCGAGGCTGCCAAAAAAAAGACACTGAACTACACCCACAAAATCCAAAGGGCAATAAATAGCAATTTTATTTTATATATAATTTTTTTATATATAAATTAGCAATTTTAAATTGTTGCCTACGGGACTTGTTTCTTAAGAGCTCTGTTGCTTCACTGGAATGTCTGAGTATTTCTATCCCAAACTGTTACTTGGAGGCTGTAAATTATTAGTCATTGGTTTTGGTTTGGTCTCTTTGATATCCAGCACTAAAAATGCATATCCAGGTGAGAATGCCTTACTAACACCTTAGTGTTTTTATTTGTGGGCAGCTCAGGCTTCAGATCTTGATTGCACCAATTTCCTGACAGAAATGGAATTTATTTGGGATCTGCCATTCATTTGAATCTCTCCTGCATCTTGGTGATTTCTCACTGCCTACAAAATAATCTGAACTTGCAGCACAATTAATTCTGAGGTATTCACAGCGATCTTAACACCAGTAGTTCCAACTCTGTCCAGAGTAGCTATTTACACACAACCCTTTCCATTCAAAACTGTTCTCCTTCAAGCTGTTTGCCAGCATCAGATGTGGGTTTGGTTTTTTTTGCACTGATATTTAGGAGCTGGTTCAAAAAAAAACCCAAACTGAGAGTAACTTCTCACGAGTAAAAGGATGCAGGAAGGACCCATCACAGAGATGGCAGCTGAGAGTTGGAGTCTGAAAGCTCGGAAAGGGAACTCTGTTAAAGATCTCCCCCACGTGGGGAACAGAAAAATGTGATTTTTGTCTTTAAGGAGAGAGGAAAGATCACAGCCCCCCCTCCCGGAGATTCACCTTGATGATGTTGAGCAGCTCGTATCGGTCGATGCAGCCGTTGCCATCGACGTCGTAGAGCTTGAAATACCAGCGCAGTTTCTGCTCCATCTTCCCTCGGAGGACGAGGCTGAGGGCAGCCACGTATTCCATGAAGTCGATGTACCCATCCTGTGGGAAAAGAAAATTCCTGTGGCAGGAATAAACTGAGGAAGTGACCTCATTGCTCCTGAGATTCCCAACTGAAAGGCAAACAAACGGCACAGATCTGGACTTAGGAAAAAGCTGGGAGAGAACACTGAGCTTCGAGTTTCCTTCCACAGACCTCTTCTCCATCCTCTGGGAAGCAAAATGACTAGGGATGTTTTTTTTAAAATCCGTAGAATATGATTTGATCAGCAGAAAAATGGTCCCTATTTCATTTTTTTAATACTCCGTTTCTTGATTCTACAAAGAAACTCACAAAGCTCTCGTTTCTTCTGCGAGAAAAATGCCAGGCAGTAAAGGCTTGTAAGCCTTAGGTTGAACACTGAAATTTCAAAGCAAACTACAAATAAAACACTTATCTCCATCAGAGATTCCAAATAGCTACTTCAACAAATTAGAGCAAAAAAAAAAAGAAGATACTTTCATTTATTGAGGTATTTGAATAAAGTCAGGTGCCTCTCTGGAATGGATGTAAATAAGCATGTGAAAGGTGAATGTAGGTGGACTAGCAGTGCACTGCTGTTTTAAAGCAAGGCTCAAAACACTTAAAATATTCATTCAGGGTGGGAAGAAGGGCATGACAGGATGAGAGAGCTGGGGCTGGTCAGCCTGGAGAAGACTCCAGGGAGAACTCAAGAGCCCCTTCCAGTACCTAAGGGAGAGGAACTTTGGACAAGAGTATGCAGTGACAGCACAAGGGGAAAATGGCTTTAAGCAGAAGGAGGGCAAGTTTAGATTAGATGTTAGGAAGGAATTCGTGGCTGGGAGGGTCTGTCAGTCTGCTGGGCTGTTCACATTCATTCCTCAGCCTGGGGAAGGCTCCAGGGAGACCTCAGTGCCTCTTCTGGAGCCTAAAAGGGGGTTCCATAAAGGGGGAGAGTGGCTTTTTATGTGAGCAGGTCATGATAGGACAAGGAGGAATGTTTTTAATCTAAAAGAGGGGAGATTTGGATTAGATTTTGGGAAGGAGTCTTTTACTCAGGGGGTGGGCAGGCCCTGGCACAGGTTGCTCAGAGAAGCTGTGGCTGCCCCTGGATCCCTGGAAGTGTCCAAGGCCAGGCTGGACAGGGCTTGGAGCAACCTGGTTTGGTGGAAAATGTCCCTTTCCCATGGCAGGGAGGTTGGAATGAGATGATCTTTAAGGTCCCTTCCAACCCAAACTATTCTATAATTCTATGATTGCAATTTATAAAATCAGTCTATTGAAAACTTATCCTCTTTGTCTTCAGCACAGACCTCAGACTCTGAAGGTCCAGAGAGCAAACGATTCCATCCATCATGTCTGCATTACTACAGGGTGGATCTTCCTCTGGGTGCTCTTGTTCCTTGCACTTGTTCATAAAAGAAGCTAAAGGAGATTAAATTAAGTGACTAACTAATAACAGAACGAGGTTAACTGACTGATGCAGGTCCATCTCCACTGCTTGCCACACTCTTTCTTCATTCCTCTAGAGATGGCTATCACTTTATTTAGATTTCTCACAGGAGAACTCTGGAATGCACAACATCCCTGAACAAACTTTAAAGTCCTTCAACATTTCACTGCTCATTTTGGCTGCCAAATGCCTGGAAATCACTCCTCTTTCAATGCTATGATAGTTTCTGTTCTGTCTGATTCCTGTGGTCTCTGCAATCTCATACAGATATATTTATTTTTGAATGATAAGAACATGTAAGAAAAAAGTATAATGAAATTAGCACTTTGATAGTCAAACAAGTCAACAACAAGGAACCCTCAAAATCTGAAGATGAACTTGCAAAAGGGTAGGTAGCAATCAGGTATTATTACCTGTAATAAAAGGGTTAACTTTGTTCATAAAATCTTATGTGTATGAGGGAATAAGAAACTTTTGTTATAATCCAACAAGATAAGTTTCGTAGACATCCTGTTAATCAAGTAAGTGTCAGTAAAATTAATTACAGACATCTTGCTAAACAAACAGCGTCAGTATCGGTAGAATTTACAACTGATAAGAACTACAACTTTCATCCCTGACAAATCCCAGACGGCCACCTAACAACAAGCCACGAACTCACAGCCACAATGCACTTGCATTCAAAACCCAGGATCTGAAAATGTATCAAAAGGGACATTTACTACATTTTAATGTGGCTCCCCAGACCACCCAGTGCTGTCTTTGCTTTATTATCACTTGCTTAATAAATATACCAATGTTTAATTGGAAGTGAGTTGTCTAAATTCTTATATTAATTTATAACATTACCTGTGGTTACGTTTTGTCATGATATTATCTGTGCACATTAATTTAGCGTTTCGCTCCTTTACATTCACACCCCTCAGCACCTTTCCACACCAGCGTTTCCGAGAGAGGAGCGAGGGCTCCAAAAGTGCTTTCAAGCAGCACGAGAGGGATGATTCCTGGCTGGAGAACTCACCTTGTTCATGTCAAAGGTGCGGAACATCTGCTCGATGTAGCTGTTGGCCTCCGGGTCCAGCCCCCGCAGCCCGAAGAACTGCTTGAATTCATGCTCTGTCAGCTGCCCAGAAGGACACTCTGTCATGAACTTCTTGTACCAGTGGTGGATCTCGACAGCCTGCAGGTCATCCACCGTGGAGCTGCTGTTGTTTCCCATGAGTGTCTTACTGTGGTCAGGAGAATGATGCTATGGGAGTGATCCTCTCCCTCCCGTGGCTCTCACAGCACTGCCCGCCTGCCCCTGTCCACATTCAACACCAGTGTCACTCATGGGAGGGATTTAAGCCAATTATAAACGTTAATCTGCTTAGAGGCTGCTCTACAAATCGGAAAGTTTCAGCGATACAAACAGTCTTCTTAAAATGGGTGCAAGATAAGCTGGTAAATCACTGCTATTTCGGGAGCTAAACCAGAGAGGGTGGGAAGGTTAATCAGACACCAGGCATCGGGAGCTGTACTGGTTTGGTTGGCTTCCCTGGATTTAACCTTGATATAATTATAGCTGAAGATAAGAGGAAATGGCTAGGAGAGGTGGGATGTGAGGTTAAGTAACGATCTACAACTCTAACTGGATTTGATAGTTTGTTTTCTCAGACACGGTGAATTGAACTGGGTGAGTAGGACCAGAAGGTGTTACAGAAGTGGCCCAGTGTAAGAGTGAGGCTGTGTGGGAAAACTTCACCTCCGTGCAAACCAAGTGGCACAGAGGAACGAGGGCAGGTGGGGGAACCTGGCCTGGCTAACCCCAGAATCACCTGCAGTCAACCCAGGAGAGGCTCATCTGCACAAAGCTGTAGGAACAGAGAGACAACCACAGGCTGGGGACCAAATCACCCCGCAGGAGAAATGCAGGCCCTGTCCCAGCTCCTTCTAAGCCTGTCACAGGGGAGCCACCAGCCCCACGGGCCTAGAGGTGACACCATCGTGGTGAGTGAACGGGAGAATTTGTCAGAGGACCTCACAGACCAAGAGGGTACCACCTGAGGGCATGGAAAACACCGTGGGGTGCAGGGGAAGAGCATCTGGGAATTGGTTGTACAGGACTCACAGTGAGATGTTTAGGGGAGGAGCAAAAGGTGGGAAAAGGGATGGGTCGAGGCGGTTTGGGGATGAACAAGCTTGGGAAAATGGAGGTAAAGTGGATACAAGAGGCTTGCTGCATGCAGAATGGTGTTGGTTAGCATGTCTAGCCATACCCTGTGCCTGATCAGCACAGCCTTTCCTTTCCTCTAACATTTCTACTTCTTTTTTTTTTCCATCTGTGCAGCCTAGTTCAAGAGCCATCATTAAACTAGATTTGATTACAATAAGCGAAGAAAAATAACGTAGGCCAAGTACTTATATACAAGAAAAAACATTGCATTACCAGCAATAATCCAATTAAAATTACAACACACCTGCCTTTTGTTTCTGTGCTTTTTTTCTGGTGTTACACTCACTGCCTGGTGCTCCTCTGGGAATTAAGATCTGTGGTTCCCTTGGGTGCTCACAGAGGGGAAGGGAGTGTGATAAGGGGTGATCAAAATATAAAGTGATGACAAAAGATTGTAGCCTTAGTTGTTTGTTTACTAGAGCTAATTTTTAGATAGAATTACTGTTGAGTTAGAATAGGGCCTTGCTTGAGCTAACTTTCAGACAGGATATGGTTAATTTTATAATGAGGATTCCAGCAGGAACAAAAAAAAAAACCTTGGAGTTTCCTTAAGGAGCTTTGGGGCTTTGAAGGAGACCTTGAAGGTTGATAAAGGGGGGCTCCCAGAGACAGGGACAAGATGAACCCGGTTTGGAGGTGATCGGCCAGCTCAGCAGCTCTTCACAAAGGTGAAGAGTTCAGAGCCGAGGAAGACTTCTCATTTCACCCAAAAGACCCTCCAAGAAGATTCCCGAGGGGCGTTCTGAGGCGGAGTTGTAGGAGGGGTGGATGTTAATGATTTCCTCTCCCGCTTTTCGGGAATTTGCTGACGCAGCTCATGCATATGGAACACAACTGATGTATATGTAAAATAGCTGATGCATATGTAAGTTTATATCGCATAAAGGGAGCTGAAGAGGGCCAATGGGTGTGCATGCCGGGCGGGGATAAACCCACGCACCCGGCGCTGTAAATAAACACACCTGCTTCAATCCTCTCGGGGAGTTTTGCCCTGCGTGAACTCTCGCCCTGCACTGGCTGGGGACACCCCCTGGGAACAGGGCAGGCCGGGAGATGAATGGAATGAGAGTTCTGAGGAGAATGACTCAAAGTAAACAAAAAAAAAACTGGACAGGAGCTGGCAGTGTGCACATCCCCAGGAGCGGGGGCAGCAGAGGAGGGGGGGATTCTGTCCCTCTGCTCTGCTCTTGTGAGATACCTCCCAGCAGAGTTGTCTCCAGCCCTGGGAACAGCAGCACAAGGACGTGGAGCTGCTGGAGAGAGTCCAGAGGAGACCCCGGAGCTGCTGCCAGGGCTGGATCCCTCTGCTCTGGAGCCAGGCTGGGACAGCTGGGGGGGATCACCTGGAGAAGAGAAGGCTCCAGGGAGACCTTCCTGCGACCTTTCCGTATGGAGAGGCAGCTCAGAAGAAAGACAAAACCCTTTTTCTGCCTGTAAAGGGCCGTAAATGCCCTACAAGGGACAACTGTGCAAAGAGGGCAGGTTTGCTTTGGACACCTTCACCGGGGTCCAAGGCCAAGGCTGGACGAAGCTTGGGGTAACCCGGGTTAGCGGAACCCGTGGTTAGAGGGGGTGGGAGCGGATGATCCTAAAGGTCAGGTACGGGCACGGGCTTAAGCTCTGTCAGGGGAGCTTTAGGCTGGATATTAGAAAGAAGTTCTTTCCAGAGAGAGTGCTCAGGCACTGGAATGCCCTGCCCAGAGAGGCGGCGGATTCACCGTCCCCGGAGGTTTTCAAGACGAGGCTGGATGCGGCACTGAGCGCCATGATCTGGTGATCGCAGTGGGGTTGGATCGCTTGATGGTCTCGGAGGTCTCTTCCAACCCAGTTAATTCAATAATTCTATGATTCTATTCCACCCAAATCGCTCCGAGCTCGGGACCCGCCCCGGGCGCTCCGGGCCCCGAACGGGCGGGACCTCCGAACCCGCCTGGCCCCGCCCCCTGCCGGCCCCCGCCGCTGATTGGCCGCCGCTCCGCTCTTGGGCGGGGCCTCCCGGGGTTGGTAAATCGGTGCCGTGTCTCGGGGCGGCGATGCCGCTCCGTGGCGATTGGCCGGGAGTCCCGTCCATCTTCCGAGCGCCGCTGCTGATTGGTGGCTGCCCCGGCGGGGCGGAAGCGGCGGCGCGTTCCGGTGCTGAGGTGGCGGCGGGAGAGGAGCGGCGGTGGCGGCGGCTCTGGGCGGTCCCCTCGGTGCTGCTGCCCCGCCGTGTGCGGGAGGTCAGTGCTTCCCCTCGGTGCTGCTGCCCTGCCGTGTGGGGCAGGTCAGTGCTTCCCCTCGGTGCTGCTGCCCCGCCGCGTGGGGCAGGTCAGTGCTTCCCCTCGGTGCTGCTGCCCTGCCGTGTGCAGGCAGGTCAGTGCTTCCCTCCGGTGCCCTCCGGTGCCCGCCGGCCCCGGGAGCACAGCCTGGCCGGGGCGGGTTCCCGCGTTCTCCGGTAGGTCTGCGGGGCCCCGCACGGCGCTCCGGAGCCCCAGAGTGAAGGGTTCGGTGCAGGGCTCGTGGACGGCAGCGCTGCCTTGTTTGGTTTGCTCAGAAGAAGGAAATGCAAGGAATTCACTCCGTTTGTGTGTAATAAACTTAGAATAGAATGAATCCTCTGCTGTTGCTGGTGCCTGGGGATAGGAAGGCCTGATTTACGCCCTGCTCGCTGCAGGCTGTGCTGTGACACTTGCAGGGGGCTAAAGCTGCTTGGGGCAGGAGGAGAAATGTGTTGCAGAGGAGAGGAGTCTCTGCTGGCAGGTCGCTGCTGGCAGTCCCAGTGTTCAAAGTCAGGTCTCCCCAGGGAAAGCTCATTAGCCATAGGAATGGGGAGCAAAAGGTTATTTTCAACTAGAGGCAGAATGCAGGGCTGGGAATCCACACCCCAGGGAGAGGGAGAGCAGCAGTCTGGTCTCTGAGAGCTGCTCTGTTTGCTTTCCTGGGGTGAGGCAGTGGAACTGTGACTAACCCCTGTCCCTCAGTGTTTGTGGGGAAGCCAGCCAGCATTATATAACACCAGGATGTTCCTGCCACAGGTCCTGGAAGCTCATGCACGTGGCAGCCACCACCCCACTGCTGGCTTTGGGACAGAATTTAAAGCTGTGTTATGCCTGTTCCTGGATTTGCTCTCAGGAAGGGTTTGAAAGAAGGCTGAGCCAAGCTCTTTACGGGGGTGTGGGGTGTCAGGGTGAGAGACCATGAGCTGAGACACGGGAAGTTCCCCCCATCATCAGGAGATGCTTTTTCACTGCGTGGGTCACTGAGCACTGGCACAGGTTGTGCAGGGAGGTTGGGGAGCCTCTGTCCTTGGAGATGTCCAGAAGCTGGCTCTGGGCAGCCCATTTGAGCAGGGAGCTTGGACCAGACGACCCAGCTTCACCCACTCTGGGGTTCTGTGATAAAATTCTCTATGGGCCTTTTATTTGTTGGCCTTCACTGAATTTTCTCCCAACAGGTTGCCCCCTCTTTCCTTCTGGGGAGCCCAGGGCTGGCCATGGTGCTCCAGACATGGCTCAGCAGGGAGGAAGGATCACATTCCTGCTGATCTGCAGCCCAGGATGCTGCTGGCCTTTGCCATGAGGGTGCACTGATGGCTTGGGGGCAGCTGCCCTTCTCTGCAGAGCTGCTTTCCAGGGATGTTTCCAAGGGATCCAGAGCAGTGGCCAAGATATGGGAATGTTTTCCCTGTTTACTCTAAACAGCAAACCCGTTGGCTGTTCACAGAACTGCAGAATCAATTCCTACAATTTCCCATTCACATTCTTTGTCACGTTCAGCTGAGCTGAGAAGATAATTGAAAAGTGAGTTCAACAGACATGAATCTCTAAGCCTTGAGTGCAGGTTATTAAAGTCCAGCTCTGTGCAAATAGCTGCAGGCAGGCCTCAGTTTCTCTGTTTGCTTTTTGAGGAGGAAAACTCTGAGCCAGACCCAGGAAGGTTTATTAGCTTGTGTGCAGTATCAGGTTGATGCAGCCAACCTGGACAAAGGCCAAGGAATATTTTTCTCGACAAAATCCAGATATGCA